TATACCTGTTGACTTCACATCGTGTACACATTTAATTTGGAGCAAAAACACACACTTCAAGTCAGATCATCACCCTTAGCTATTTTAATTACCTCTCAAACAACCTAAACTAGTTATAAATGTTTATTTTTACTGTCGGCCGGGTCAGCTGCTGCATGAGACAGACACTGAAAAGTATTATCATCTGAAATTAATCATTATGTTATTAGTATTAAATATATATAAGTATTTTTACAGCTTGTATTTTTTTACCAAGTGTTTTTATTGCTCTTGGGGCATTAAAAACATGATTTTAACTTTAGTTTTTTATATAATATCTGCATTTTCTCTTATGAAAAACTAAGTCTTAGTTTGGCCATAGTTATTTAATATATAAAGACTATATATTATTGAATTACAAGATTAGATATACTTTATTTGATCTAAAATATTGATGTGTTCAAATGCTCTTCTAAACAAAACTGAAAGTCCATGAAAAGTTGTCTTCTGGTTTTTGTGAAGGAAGCGCCATCTCCTGGTTAAATCCTGAAATTGAAAATCTGGCAACACCCTCTTGGAAAATAGTGGGAGGGCTTAACATTCCCAGATATTGGTCTTTGGCAGGTCTTAGGCAGGTAACTGGCAGGAAGCAGTAAGCTGGAGTCTGAAATAAGATGCTCCATCTGTATGAGCATTAAATCAAATCAAATCAAGTTTTATTTATATAACACATTTTTAAACGATTTTTGGTCGAGCCAAAGTGCTGTACATATAATAAAAATACCCTACAGTAAAGACACTTTACAGCAAATACAACAGCACAGTTTGTTCAGAATATCAGTATGAGAAAACGACACCCTCTGTCCTTAGACCCTCACATCGTACAAGGAAAAACTTCCGGAGAAAAACCCACATTTCAAAGGGAAAAATGGGAGAAACCTCGGGGAGAGCAACAGAGGAGGGATCTCTCTCCCAGGATGGACAGAAGTGCAATAGATGCCGTGTGTAAATCTAAGACATAATACATTTTACAGCGTAGGTAGACCGCATGACAAATAAAGAAGTGTAATGTAAACATTTACATTATTATTATGATTATTTAATATATAAAGACTATATATTATTGAATTACAAGATTAGATATACTTTATTTTATCTAAAATATTGATGTGTTCAAATGCTCTTCTAAACAAAACTGAAAGTCCATGAAAAGTTGTCTTTCTGTATTTGTGAATGAAGCGCCATCTCCTGGTTAAATCCTGAAATTGAAAATCTGGCAACGCCCTCTTGGAAAATAGTGGGAGGGCTTAACATTCCCAGATGCTGGTCTTAGGCAGGTCTTAGGCAGGAAGCAGGCAGGAAGCTGTAAGCTGGAGTCCTATCTGGAGTGCTACATCTGTAGGTCAAATCCACCCAAATGACCCCAGAAGTGGGTTTATTTAGCTAAATCTCTATAAAAAGGTCAAATGTCACTTGTTTTGCATCAATCTTGATACAGGGTACTTATTATATGTTATAGTTTGGATTCCTAAAGCTTTTAGTCTACCATCCCATCATTCAAGGGTGGTTTTCACTATAAGTAATTTTTTGGACGGACACTATAATTCTTTTTTTTTTACTATGTTCAATCTGAATTTACTTTAAAATGAAAACATCTATATTGATTCTGACACTTATACATCCAACTCACAGATGTAACCTTGCTTTGAGAAAAAAGATTATTAATTTACCCCTTTTATAATGGCGCATTTCCATTGCAGCGCGTAGCTCGCTTTAAGCGTGCCGTGTCGTGCCGTCCCCTTTTTTGGTTGTGCTTCCACTAGGCCTCGTTCCGGCGCGGCACGGCGCGGGGCCACTTTTTCCCCTCTTTTCTGGCCCTAGAAAATTGTGGTTCTATCGGGGCCAACAAACAGGACTGAGTCGGGCTGAGTATGCTAAACTAGAGAGAGGAGCGCTGGCAAGAGCGCTAGAACTACAACAAGATGGACATATTTGACCGTGATTTAATTGTAATACACGTTTCAAAATGATGCCGAAGTAACAACATACTGATACCGGTTAGTAAAAACCATGAATTAATGCTTTGTCAAGTCTGCAGACAGATGGCAGGCGAAAAACCTTTTAAAATTCGTGTTTTTCTAGATGGAGATTGGCTAAGCTAACGCAGTATATGCCCCGACCGTCCACACTCACAACAACGGCCTATACAGACATAAATAAAGCAGCGACTGTATTCACCATGACACAGGCAGTCTGTGGTGTGTACTTGTTTAACTTTTGTCGAGTTTCTGAACATATATAAGGAGCTGTGAGCTCTGAGTGCTCACAGCTAACGGCTGTGTTGTGTTTCTGGATTTCTCATTGAAGATGACGTCACGGCTCCGCCTACACTGCGTTACTATAGTAACTACCCCAGTTCCTAAACTGTAATGGAAGCGCAGCATGAAGTGAGTCGGCCCTGTTAAGGCCCAACGCGGCCAAGCCGTACCGAGCCGTACCGAGTGTGGCCGAGGCCGACCGTGTAGTGGAAATGCGCCATTAGTGAAGATATGGTCATTTGTTCTGGGAATGTCATTTTCGAGCCTGAGACCTGAAAAATAGGCTCAGGGCTTAACAGCCAATCCAAAAACCACACCTCATCAATCCAGATATTTAGCATCCTCTTCATCCCGCCTCTTCATCAATAAAGATCTTCAACATCACCACCAATGCCTACTCCTATTATACTCACGGCTGCACTATGCCCTCAAGATATACGATTTTAGGATTGGGTCTTATCACCAAAGACTTTTAACATTTCTATCATATCGTGCATGCATATATGTTCTTTACGGCAAAAAATAGGTCTTTCATGATTGAAAGATTAAGTCAGTCCCTCACATAAAACATTTAAGAAAATTACATTTTACAAACATAGCAACAAATAAATACATGATATGCAAAAAGTGCAAAAGAGCAAGAGCAGCATACACAAGTATTTATGACATGGCAATACAATATAGCAGCAACGACACATAAAGTGCAAGAGAAGATACAAGAGCTACCTAAAGTGCAAGAGGAGATACCCCTGTGTTAGAGTGCATTTAGCGGTGATTGCACGTCTGTTTGTTTCTCAACCATTCTTATTGTTATTGAGAGTGAAACAATCCCGTATCTCAGTTGGGAGGCTATTCCACAAAGAGCTGCCTTTAATGGAGAGGACATTTTGTCCAAAAGTGGTCCTTCTACGGTGGACCTCACAGTCTCCTCTGGTTTCTGACCTAGTGCAGCGTCCAGTGTGTTTTTTGTGGATGAATCCCCCTAAGGGAGGGGGGGGGGGGCAGTCTATGTAAACATTTATAAAAAAAAGCACATACTTTTAAAAGACTTAAAATTGTCTAAGCTCAAGAAATTGTGTTTTTCAAGGATGGTACAGTGGTGGTATGACAACCCAGTCTCACGGCATTTCATGTTATAGTCACGACATGTAATCTATTGATTCGTGTTCACCATCACGATTTTTTTTTGTGTCACACAGAACGATTTTTAAAAGCAATGTATTTCTATTGGTAGTGTGTTTCGTGCCTGCAACTCGTTTTTTTGTCCGGTCGGGTCTCGGAAGACCAGAAGCTGTGTGGTTCATAAAAACATGTTCTTACTCAATATCAAGCCACGATTATTGTTTTTATTTTAAATCGTATAATGTCGGACTTTCTTTGCCGTCTGTGAGGAAAAGAAATGGGGCTCAGAGCCTCAAAATACTGAAATCTGTATAATAGGGATGCCTAAAATAAGGCTTTAGGTTCAAATGAAGAACCTATTCCTGCTACGGTTTTGCAAACGATGCATTTACTTTTGGATGAAAATGGGTGACTCACAATTCAACATTGCAATCCCTGAAACCCCACTGATCCTAAAAACAGGAACGAACACAGTGCATGGTGGTTTTGTTGTGAACATCATCATTAATGTTAGATTTGCTCTTCACCTGTAGTATTATGGTATGAGGTGCAGGGTGTGCACAGATCTCAGGAGAAGTGTGACTAACCATCACATCAAAGATGTACCCCTGCCCTCTACAGTTCATATTTTTTAACGCACTCTGATGGAAATGTCCAGATGTCTGTGAGAAATCCTGTATTTTAAACATTTGCAAATAACAAACTGCTGGTGTCTTATAAATGATGCCTGATGATGACTGAACTGGATCTGCTAACGTTTGATTTTTAGTATTAATATCAATATAATTCATACAGGGAATATTCAGCCAAGCTTAACATAGACATTTTTCACTTTTTAAAATGTGTATTTATTAACTCTCTCTTGATAGAAATAGCACAGTAGACAGTTACATTACAGACGGACAACCTAACATATTGGTCTCATGGAAAACAGCAAGATTATATTTCCAAAAGCTAAAAAAAAAGGATTCAAATTAAGCTCAGTCACATTTTTATAGTTGTTTACACTTTAGACTCTATAACAATTCAGAAATGAGAAGGAAACCAATAGCAGTCCCATTTTCAAGATGTACTGTCTGATTAAACATTGAAGCACAATCTATGATGAGGTTTAAAGAAGAACTTAAACAACATTTAAAAGAGGAAGAAGACATGTTACAGTTATGTATAAACGATACTGAGAAGAACAGCTGTGAGAAAGAGAATGAGGAACTGGTTTAACCTTCATTTAACAACAAGGAGTCAAATGTAAGCATAATTTTAGAAATACAAAAATAACACATATCTATACGTATATACATATTTGGAAAAGTGGAATGAATGGATTAATATGAGGATCACAATTCAACAATAAGTAAGGCGTTTGAAGAATCAACCTGTGTGTGTGTGTGTGTGTGTGTGTGTGTGTGTGTGTGTGTGTGTTTGTGTGTGTGTGTGTGTGTGTGTGTGTGTGTGTGTGTGTGTGTGTGGTGTGTGTGTGTGTGTGTGTGTGTGTGTGTGTGTGTGTGTGTGTGTGTGACCTAGCATTACTATCCTTGTGGGGACCTACATATGTTTATACAGTCACGTGTGGGGACATAGGGGAGTGTTTCTTTTTTTCCCAATTTTACTTTTATCATGATATTTTCATTATAAAATATATACACATTGAAGGAATGCTGCAAATATGATAAGTAGTTAGAGTGCTAAATGTAAGCTGATGCACATTTCTGTTTACACCCCCACTCTTGCAGTAAAGTGTGTGTATATACTGTACATTAAAATAAACATTTTACTCCATCTCCTGTACATGTTGTTTCTGACTGCTTTCACTCCTACCTACTGTTACTTAACACCATGAGAACTTGAGGGTAAATGTTTCCTCTTCAATGTTTCACTTCTTTCTGTTTCATCCAGGTGAGTCTCCCTCTGGTTTGATGCATCTAAAATAAATCATGTAAAGTTCTGGTGAGTTATTTCTCAGGAAGTTGTTTTGGGTTTGTTTTCATAAATACAGCTGAGTGAGAGCTTGCTGACCTTCACACCAGGTCCTCCTGCTCCTCTGGTTCTTCTGTCTGTTCTGCAGAGACCATGTTCAGGTCTGAGACGTCCTCATAATCAGAAAAAGGGTCTAACTGATGGAGAGACAACGAGAGGAGAGTCAGAGGCCATCATTTGAGAGAAATACAATTATTTTTTATAATAAACTAAAATTAGGAAACAAAGTAATGTATATGTGATGTGTGACCTCGTTTATTAACAACAGGTAATAACCAGTTTCTAGAGTAGGAACTGTCACTATGTAAATACACATTGGTAATTCCTTTAAAGGGGACCTATCATGCAAAATGCACTTTTGTACGTCTTTTATACATGAATATGTGTCCCCGGTGTTCCAGGGAACTCACCAAGTGTCAGAAAACACAACCCTCTCTCTTTTCCTCCATACCCAAATCTCTAAAAACGGGGCTGCAACGGATCTGATACAGACTGATCCAGATTTGAACATTTCTCTGATGTCAGGACGGAGGAGCTGACCTATCAGGGGAATGAGAGGTTGCCATGGCATGGTAACAGCATGGTAATACGACGCTCGTAACTCGGCCCCCTCCTTTGCAGGGGGGCGTGGTCAGCTGCAGCGCATGCAAAGACAGGGTGGAGGAGAGCAAAATAGAGCGAAATGAGGCATGGCTAAAATGCATGATCTGTTTGGTATTTTGAAAAAGAAAACGTATAAATATACCTTATATAGGTATGGCCCTACAATATATTATTCAAATATAGCATGATAGGTCCACTTTAACAAAGTAGTTACTAAGGTAAACGCACATTTTCCAGATGACCCTATTTAACAACAGGTAATGACCAGTTGCTAGAGTTCGATCTGTCACTGTCTCACCTCCACAGTCTCTATGGGTTCATTTGCTTCAGTGGTGGAGCTCGAAGCCTTCTTCTTCCTGAATTTAATCCAAAAACAAACAGATTTATGAATAAAAGGATCATAAAAATCCATCTTTGAGAGTCAGTACACAGGGGAACATATCAATGCTGGATATGATTATATATTTGCAGAGTTACCTCATCCAGAGAAAGACAAGGAGCAGAGGAATCAGCACCAGAACCACCAGAAACAACCTGGTGATGTTCCTGACATCTGAGAATCCCTCTAGAAATTGAGGTAAACAGTTGTGAGATACTTTACTGTAACATACTTTAACTGGAACCTTGAACAAAAACAAGCCTGTTTGCTTTCCTGGTTCAAAAATGTTAGAACGAGCTGCCCATCAACACTAGAACAGCAGAAAGGACACACAACTTGCTTCATAGACTGAAAACCCACCGGTTTTAACTTTATGTTGGCCATTAAAATCCAAAAACAAGTAAAAACTTCATTTTCCTCTATATACCACTTTCAACCAGGGTTGGACAGTGTATTAGAAGCAAGGCTCCATTAAAGCTGTTATAAAGGAAGCATGTTACGCTGTTGAACTCAACTGATGAGGAGAACAAAGTGGATTCTTGCCTGGTTTTGGAAAAGTACCAATTTGTCTACTCTTGCAAGGATCCTGGATGTCTAATCGGTCTTCATGTGTTTTGTGATTTTTGAGAAAGCATACGACCGGGTTGCGCTGCTCATGTTTTTTACCTAAACATCGGGTCATACTTATCGTTTTATCTTTACTGTGTAGCTGCATTTTAAACTTGGTCTGGTCTTACATATTGGTTGTATTGTTTAACACTTCAGTTTGGGTCCCATAACTGCACTGAAAAAACTGAAACGTTGACTTTAATTAAAATGTTTATTATCACAAATGTATTGTGTATAACTGTATTTGATTAGTTGAAAGCAATAATATTAAGTAGAACGTAATATTTCGTATTTAAACTTTTTGTTATTGCTTTCAACTAACCTAATACAGTTATGTGACCTTTGTTGACATAATACATTTAATTAAATTCAACAGTTCAGTTGCTCACCTTCAACTGGAGATCTGGATTTGTGAAGAAGAAACAGGAACAAAACTCTCAACATGCGTGCAAAAACCACACCGCACAAAAATATTATTTTGAGCTACTGAACATTTGGAAATATAAAACATGAGTGTTACTGTACCTGTGGATATGAATATGAATTGATGGTGAAATATGTCTAGGTTTGTTTGGATCCTGAACTTGTACTCAGCTGAGTCGCTCTTTGTCAGTTTTTTGATTCTCAGAGTGCAGATGTTTTTTTCACAGAGATCCTCTACACCAGGGGTTCCCAACCTTTATTGTGCCAAGGACCGGCAGATACATTAAAAAAAAATCGCGGACCGGTTGTCAATTTTAACTGATTTAAATATTTACTCACCAGCAGCAGGTAGCAACAGAGGCTAATTGTATGTAACAGCCTGAACAAATACTAGAACAATATGCATCCAAAACATATTAACAAAGTTTAAAGTGTGTGTGTGTGTGTGTGTGTGTGTGTGTGTGTGTGTGTGTGTGTGTGTGTGTGTGTGTGTGTGTGTGTGTGTGTGTGTGTGTGTGTGTGTGTGTGTGTGGGTGTGTGTGTGTGTGTGTGTGTGTGTGTGTGTGTGTGTGTGTGTGTGTGTGTGTGTCTGTGTGGGTGTGTGTGTGTGACACTGGCATTTGTTTTCAGAAGATATTATGATAGTGTCGTTCGTTCCGGTGCACTCCGATAGCACTACATCGAGATTAAGATTAAACTAATTTATTTTGGGAACAGCTGCATATATGGAGTGTAAATTACTGTTCATAAACATTTGAAAACAAATGCCGGTGTCGGACAGACACAAACACACCGAACACACAGAGCTGAGCTGAGCAGAGCACATACACACACACATCATGCGCCTTGGTGACTGACTGGACATCTCCTTCATAAAACTAATAAAAGGGGGAGTAATCGGGCAGTTCGATGTGTGTAGAGATGTGTGTAGAGGTGTGTGTAGAGATGTGTGTAGAGGTGTGTGTAGAGATGTGTGTAGAGATGTGTGTAGAGGTGTGTGTAGAGGTGTGTGTAGAGGTGTGTGTAGAGGTGTGTGTGGTTAACACGTAGCAGCCTGCAGTCACTCTTAAACTGTTCTGATGAAGTTAAACACAGCGAATGCGGTGCGTAAAAAGGCACAGCTCTTTACGCGCTGGTGCTGCACTTCTCAGAGGCGGAGTATACGTCCCGCTGCCTCCTGATGCTGCAGCCATTTCATGAAGTGAAGGAGGGTTTCCTTCTATAAAACAGCTGCGGGCAGCAGATACCGTGAGAGTCCCGGACATTAATTCATAGATCAAGGCAGACTGGTTTACTCTCCTGTTTTGCCAATCCGGTGCTTAAACAAATAGCTCCCTCTACACCCCTGGCCGACATGTCCTTAAAATGAAGTCCGAGTTTGAAATATATCTCAAATAATGTATGCACCACCATTTCCCCACATAAACATAATAGTCTGCAATCAAACGGTTGTCTCCTGTGCGCTCCTCTTCCTACTTGGCGCACCGGTAACATTCTCGTGCGCACAAGAGCCGCCGAATCCCTCGGAACATCATAAAAGCCATTTTCAACGGTTTTCTGGTGAAAGATTAACTAGCTACTGGATGAAATAATATGACTGGTGGCATAGGTGCGAAAATTAAACACTTTTTGAAAAAAATATTATGATCAAATATTTTTATATATTTATAATTCTGCAAATATTACGATAAACTCACAGCTATTTCGCGGCCCGGCAGTAACACCTCCGCGGCCCGGTACCGGTCCGCGGACCGGGGGTTGGGAACCCCTGCTCTACACGATCTGCATACTCTGATTCTGTGGTCAGATCTACAGGTTCACCATCTTCCTTTTGAGTAAACCAGAATGTTTCCTCAGCTGTGGTAATCTCAATATGGCCTTCCAAAATCGATGTGTATGTGTATCTGCATCTTATTGCCACTGTTGATCCTTTTACTGCAGAGATCTCAGTAGAAGTGCAAGTCATTCTCCAGTCATCCTGACCCTGAACCACTGTAACACAGAGCACATCAGAAACTATTATTAGACTCATATCAACATCAGGAGACACATTTTCATTGGTGAAGCTGCTTAGTCCACATTTCTCACAGCTACATATTCTCCAACGCCATCGAAATAAAATAATGTTATAGCGTCAACCTTTTTTAGGGTAAAACTCTGACTGTTTTATTGCAGATTTATATTATTTCTACCTTTTTGTCTTCATTGGATGGACCCCCTTTTTGTACATGGCTTTCTCTAACAGGTGAGCTACATGAGTGCCCCTTGTTGTTTTATTTGACTAAACTGAGCCAAGGCTTGAGGTTGAATTGTCATAAAAAATCAGGTCCTATTGTTAAGGTTGAGCAGCGCAGGGTGGACCCAAGTGCATACAGACGAATATTTTAACTGAAAACAAACTTTATTCAGGGAAATGGATAAATGCAAAACCGACAAGTACTCTCATTCCCTCTAATCGCAAAAAGAACCCACCAAACCAGAACTTAAATACATACATGACCAATCAAGACGACAAGACACAGCTGGGGACAATACTTGTGCACCGATACTTTTCATAAACGTAGCTTCTTCTGCATTTCTGAGGTGCATTCACTGCCTTAAAATATAAAGAGATGTACAGTACCTTGTGTAGAGAGAAGGAAGACGACAAATCCTCTCGCTGTTAAACTCATAGTTGCTCCTCACGTCTCTGATAAATCAGGTATCACATACAGGAGAAATAGGACGTTTGCTCTGTTACTATGTCAATGTGCTAAAAACACTGCAGGGGTTTCCTTCCTCTTTTCAGTTTGATAATAGAGATGCCTAAAATAAGGCTTTAGGTTCAAATGAAGAACTTATACCTGCTATGGTTTTGCAAACGATGCATTTACTTTTGGATGAAACTGGGTGACTCACAATTCAACATTGCAATCCGTGAAACCCCACGGATCCTAAAAAGAGGAACTAACAATTTGCATGGTGGTTATGTTGTGAAAAATCACAATGGACATTTAAAAATATCTAAAAAAAGTTTAAATCTTGTTTTTTCTGCTTAAAGAGCAATACAAATACGTAATAAAACATTCCTGACTGAGGTTGTCATAATTCATGTATGAAAGGGCTAGTTACTTATCAGGAAAAAAATATAAGCAATTAATCAGACAAGTCATATTTTCATGGCCCTTTTTTAACAGATGCTTTATTATCATTTGGATTGACAGAAGACATCCGGAAATAACGGTAGTTGTTTTCATTTTACTTTAATCAAATTGTTCCTTGCCTAGAGGACAATATAAGTAAACAATTGGCTCATATTACCCCACTCTCCCCTACAGTACAGTAAGTACAGTACTTTTCAGTTAGTTCTTCAAGTATACTGTGATGCTAATACTGTTAGTATTACTTACGTTAAATGTAATTTAGCTGACACTTTTATCCAAAGATGATAATGAAGGATAAGTTAAATATGAATAAAATGAATATTATCAAAATGTAAAACAATAAAAAGGCAATTAAACTGAACAGCAGAGCAGAAAAAGATTGTGGTAAATATATATTGTACATAGAGAAATGTAGGCTACTTTGACAAGCTTAAAAATAGTTTTTCTGTATTGGTATTTATAAATTACAAGCTTCAGCATACGTTAGCTACATGATACTAGTAATACAGCAGTGAATGTCATAACTCAGACCTTATATTTATACATGTATGTTTAAACTGTTTGAACACTGTTTAAGAGAACATAGATGTTATGTCAATACTCTTGGTTTTTTGTTGACTATGCTGTACAATGCAGATGGATCCTCCGCAGCCTCATGACGCTCTGATCTGTTGATGAAGCAAATTATAAACTCACATTATTGACTAATAGTACATGTTTTTGTAAAGAAGGATGAAACAGCCAGAATAACGTTATGTAGCAAAGCAAAATGATCTTTTACTCACTCTGCAGTAGCACTGTGACTTTTAAATGTGACAGTAGAGTGGTCAACATCATCCTCCATGTCCTTCTCGTCCTTCTTGTGTCTGCGGAGATGAGCGGGCTTGATGTTGGAGTAGAGAGCCTCTTCCTGGTTTTTAATGAATCTCACGCTGGCATAGCAAACCTCGGCCTCCTGCTCTGGTGTTGTATTCTGTACTGCAGCTGAAGGGCTGACATACATGCGTACCTGAAGGAAAAATCACAAAGACAAACACAACATATATTTGTAGTGGTTAGTGTCTCATAGATTGGCCTTTAGCCTGTTAAACCCGAGAGACCCCGGTACCGGGGCACTGCCGCAACATCTTGCAGGAAACAGTGTCTGAGGGCATGTTCATTTAATAAAACTATGAATGTTTTATATCCATGTAACGGGAAGAAACTCATCTAATTGATCTTTTTTTTTTTTTTTTCAAAAGAAAACCCACAATGCTAACACTGAGCCTCTGAATTAGCAACGAGCGAAAAATGCTAACACCTTACTGAATCGAAAATCACTCACAAAACCTTATTATTTATCTTTTTCACGACATCCAACACATCGATTCACATCGTGAGGTGACACAGAATCTATTGACACCGACATTACCACTGAATTATACGTATTTGCGACGTTATAAGCAAAAACGGACATCAAAACAGGTGACGCTAGGTAGCTAAAAATGCTAACATTTTTACCTTGGCTCTGTAGTCTCTCCAAAGTGGTCTTCAATGGCATTAAAACGATAAAAACGCTGCTGAAGTTAATCCATAGGTTAATCTAATGTGTCTGTGTCCCTTTGAAATGATTTCTGATAATCCATAAGCATTAAAACTGCTTTTCCGTTTCCAGATGTCAAAGCTAGAGATAGGTTCACTCTGATGGAAAATTACATGCGCGAAGCCCCCACCTTTTCTCTTCACAACGTGTGTGTATGGGGGACTCCCCCTTCGATTCTATTGGCTCTAACGGTCAGAAAGAGGTGTCAACCATCAAAATCGAGTAAGGGGGGCCAGAGATATGGAAAATCCACCCAAATGACCCCAGAAGTGGTTTATTTTTGCTAAATCTCTCTAAAAAGGTCAAATGTCACTTGTTTTGCATCAATCTTGATACAGGGTACTTATTATATGTTGTACTTTGGATTCCTAAAGCTTTTAGTCTACTAACCCATCATCCAAGGGTGATTTTCACTATAAGTAAAAAAGAATTTTTGGACTGACACTATAATTTACAGTTTTTTACTATGTAAAATCTGAATTTTCTTTAAAATAAAAAACATCTATATTGATTCTGACTTTTCTACATCCAACTCACAGGTTTATCATTACTTTGAGAAAAAAGATTATTAATTTAACCCTTTTAGAAGGGAAGATATGGTCATTTGTTCTGGGAATGTCATTTTCGAGCCTGAGACCTGAAAAACAGGCTCAGGGCTTAACAGTTTAAGACAAAATGACCATTACTTTTGCAATGAGGCTTCTTTGCAATTTCAGTACATTTAAAAATTCCAAATCAAGCACCAAAGACTCCTCGATTTATTAAATGTCCTCATCTTTTAGGGTCAAGCGCAATTTTCAAAGCCTAAAAGTGATTAAAAGGTTTGAGGCATAGACTGTATTTAAGAAGTTGACATGATCAATATGAATTTAGCTAATTATGGTTTTGAAGCCTTGAATTTGGTATTTTGCCCACTGCCACCTCAATGTTCTGTTAGTGACATGAAAAGGTTTAGCAAAGAACAAAAAATATGTAACAAAAACTATATTTAGGACTGCAAATGGGTTCAAGTTGTAAAAAAGAAACTGTGGACAACATGTTTTTTGACAACAAGTTGCCCAACAAAAAAAGACTTTGTGCTGCATTAAAGAAGACCTTAAACCAGCAATAAACTCATCAGGAAAATGTATACTGAGGTCATAAATCATGTTAAAAGTAGGGCCATTTTCTCATAGAATTCTACACAATCAGATTCTGTGTTATAGCCAGTGGATTCGCTCTCTGCTGGCCATTGGAAAGAATGCACCCTTAAGGCACTTCGGCATTGGCTTCATTTTTCAGACCTGAGGTGGCTGCTTGCTTTGAGATCACTTCTGTTATTGTCATTGTATCCCCCAATATTTAAAAAATGCTTACATGTATGCAAAGGTTTACATCCCAAGCAATGGAAAGACCAAAGACACCATACACATAATGTTGATAACCGTATGACACAGAATGACTGAGGAAAGGCAAACTAAGGTATGACAAAAGCATAGCTATGGATTTATCAAATTGAATTTAACAGGAGGAAAAAATAAAGTATGATAGGGACTGGAATGATAATCGACTGCACACTAGTAAGCACTGCAAAAAGGCCTCTCATTCACCAAACTCACACACAGATGGCGACAAAGCTTCACCGAAAAAGTACTACATGGCCCATGAAGAGCATCTTGATTACGTTTATTTTGGTCTTTAAACATACAGACAGGGATCAAAGCCCCAACGCTGTGATTAATGGATGACTCGCTCTACCTCCTAAGTCACGTTTCCCAAAGGTAAAATATTTAGTTTGGGAAAAGGACGTTTCCAAACTGGGACATGATGCACTGTTCAAATGAGTTTGCAGGTGAGGGTTGACCCTAAGTGATTACCTGAAATCTTCTTTCTCACCTGAGCGTCGTTGTCTGGTCTCTCTCCAGCTTCCGTGGTTGGTTTCGAGGACCTCTTTCTTCTAGAAAAGAAAGTGAATTAACAAAGAAATGAATCTTAAAATTAAACAACTGTGGCCTTACTGAACGTAATCAAAGTAAAACAGAACTGCTTACCTAATCAACAGAAAGGCAATGAGGAATATGATACACACAATAACAGCAGTTATTGATCCAGCAGCGACTGTTTTCATTGAACCTGGGAAACAGTGACAATTAGCTTTTTTATTACAGGTATTTTTGAGTTCCTTAACAGGTAATAATTAGTTATTAAGTCTTAGATCTTAAGAGAGAAGCATTTAAAATAGTAACTCATCACAGTTTTATTTGCTTTTGCGTCCCATAAATGCTCAACAGCACAAGGGTGTTTTAAAACCAGGAACAACCATTGGTATTTGGTGGTCCCTAATGCTTTGACAATTGAGTGTCTGATTGTGGCCAACCTTGCTCCTCAGACTAAAGATTAATCGTTGACTTTCTACTCAAATGATCAAATCTCTGTCTTGGATTCTTTAGCAGAGCAGTCAACTGATCCCAACTTAGTGATGAGGTTAATCACCTTATCAGGAATGCTGCCCACTCCAAAGAAATACTTTGGGAAACTATAGTTTTCGATGCCAAAGAGAGGGACTCGAAGATATTCTGGCAATCTGTCAGGTGACTGAAAAAAGGGAGGCAAGACCTTTCCTAGCATCTCGTCAAAAGTGAAGAAGTGCTGACCTCGACTGGGAGAGCAGAGAGTGTTGGAAGACTTGCAAGTAGTCAAAAAGCCTCACGCCAGATGACAAGGGGTAAGGCAAAACACATTATTGATTGGTTGTACTGGTTGACAACCCACTGCAGAGTAATGCAGAGGTTGTGGTCGATGACTGTGGCCTAGCAGAGAGGGGAAGTAGACTATGTGTGTCCTTGAAATTATTGGGGTATCACAAAAAGTCTGGCAACTTTGAGCAGCAAACCTCAGATTTAGAATTTAAAACATAATTCTGTCTAGAGAGTGTAACAGTAAATTGCATCTTGGCTCAACAAAGAACTGTAGTGGTTCCGATTTTATGTACTTTTCTACATGTATGATATGAACTTGAAAGTTGCTGTGCCTCTTGGGATGTCCTGTGGTGCAAAATGACTTACCTGCCACAACACTCAGATGTAAGGTAGAGTTAAGACGTCCTAACTTGTTCTGGGCTCCACAGGAATAATTCCCACTGTGTTCAGCTTTTAAATAAGTGATGGTGAAGATCTGTCCTGAAGCTTTTGGAGAGTCATCATTCTCCTTGTACCAGGTGTAGTTAGCTGCTGGGTTAGCATCACTGCTACAGGTCAGAGTCACTGAACTGCCCTCCTCTATCTCAGCAGAGGGACTCACTGACACAGAGGGAAGCTTTGGAGCATCTGGAAGAGAATGTGTAGAAGTGTATCTTTAGTAAAGTAGATCTACTAATTCCCCACTTGATATCATCAAGGTGTGCGGAAGGGGCCCAACTTGGCAGTGGAAACTACCATCTACGGCAAAAAAGCCTACATATTGTTGGATATATCCACTTGAGGCCTTGCTTGTGACACGAGCACTGCAATTTGGATTGTTACCATGCATTATTTTAGGAGATTGATAAGATCGTTAGTTAATCAATCTATTAGCAGCAAACACATGTTCTTGATCCTACGATGTGTACTTTGTTCCTGCAAAGATTGTGCCACTTAGCTCGAGTCGTATCCTTAGTTGAAAGCCACAGTTTATTTGATTGAAACGTTGGTTTACTCTCTCAGCAGACATAAGAGGACCAAACAAATGAAACGAGAAAAATGAAAAATGTTTTTATCCTTAAGATTTACATAAAGAAAGCCAAGTAGGCAAATCACGGAGTAACGTATGGAGAGCTCATGTCACGAATGGCGCAAATCCTTCAGCTGCAGCCAATAAAGTGTAATTCCTTTATCAAACACAGAGGCATTTTGTACTAAATCAAATGAAACCTTAGAAGTAACAGTAACATATTAGCATTACATGAAATCCAACTCTTTTTAGAGGTATTGCTTCCAAGCTGGCATGGACTGGAGGAATGAGTCAAGGGATCACAAACCTTCTTTTAACGTACTGTACACATGGCATGTGAATATGTTAGACATCAAAAGCTGAGAGACGTCCTCTATGAATTTATTTCAGATAATGTTTTTACCAGGGAAAGATTATCACATGTTAACAATCACTATCTATACTCAACACATGTATATTAGGTGACTTGTTGATGTTTTGTACTTACATTGGACATCTATGTGTACTGATGTAGAGTTGATCTGGCCGTACTTATTCTTCGACTCGCAGTGGTAGTTCCCTTTGTCCTCTAAGGTGATAGAGGCAAGTTGATAAATGTCTTTTGACCCCCAAGGCAGTGTTTGGTTGTCCTTGTACCAGGTATGTGTAGCTGCTGGATTAGCGCCACCTTTACAGGTCAGCTGCAATGATTTGCCAATCTCTATCTCAGCAGAGGGACTCGCTAACACAGAGGAAGTCTTTGGAGCATCTGGAGGACAAAAGAGAGAAACCAGTTTTTTTGGGCATATGGCTCCAACAAACCAGAAGCAGCAACACAGTGATTAAGCTCACTTCACTTCCATCTACAATAGAAACCCTGCTCCATGAGACAGGGTGTTATCACATCTGCAAAGATGGCAGATTAAAATATTTCCTGATAGACCTGATCATGAAATTTGGCCACAAGTTTATATATTCAAAGTTAAGAATGTGTTGCTCACTAGATAGCAAAAAGGGTAAACAATAAGGTACACTTGAATTTAATCACTACTTGACAGACAGTTGTTGAGTATTTCCTAATCACATTTTTCACTGTAGCTAATGATTACATTATAGAGAAACAACTGTTAAATATTATGTACATGAATTAATATGTACTGTAAATAATTGTTCATGGGTATTTCTGAATTCTTTAGTCATAATAAAGTAATGATTTGTCATTGGTTAAATGCCGTTTAGTGCATCACTTAATCAAGTCACAACTATGAATATAGTCATGGAATTTAAGGATTTAGAGATAGCCTCGTAAAGTTAATAACAGTAAATATTAGTTAAATATAACAATATTTAACAGTCGTTTCTCAATGATGTCATCATTAGCAACTCTATAAAATGTGATTAGAAGTTACTGCCAGTTCACTTTTCGTTACCCACTTGTTCCCTGGATCCCATGTAATGTAAAGCAAGCTGAGCTGAAGAAAGCAGTGATGATAAGTAACATCTTCTCTTGAAACAACTAGACAGATATAAGCTTGTTATCTTTAAATAAACTGTCTTACTCACATTTCACATCAATAAAGGTGTTTGCAGATGTCCTCCCCAGCTTGTTCTCAGCTGTACAGAAATACTGCCCAGAGTCAGAGGACTGGATGGAGCTGAAGACAAGCTGTGGTCCTTCACTGAGAAGAGGAACGTCTGCATTGCTATTCCTCTTGTACCAGGTGTAGTTAGCTGCTGGGTTAGCTTCACTGCTACAGGTCAGAGTCACTGAACGGCCCTCCTTTATCTCACCAGAGGGTCTTGACGAAGAAGGAATCCTCGGAGCATCTGAAAGAGAAATATTAAAAATGTGTTTCTCACTAGATTAGCACAAAGGGTATCTACATTATTGAATGCTGAATGAACTGTCGCTGCATTTAGGACTTCAAACATGGTTTGACAAAATGCATGTTTGTTTGACGGATTTAACCTTTGTCCAAAAGGTGCACAACATTTAAACTTTACACCACAATAAGGTACACTTGATTTGTAGTCGATACAGGGCAACGAATGAAGACTGTGATGTTAATCACTACGAACTAAAATGTATTATTGAAGATTATTATAATGTTGTACATCTCTCTGTATGAGAACCTTGTTTTATTTATTTTTAATTACCTTATTGTTTGTTCACCTCCTTAACCTGTTGTTGGGTTGAGGAGCTTGGGGGAAACGCTACAAAACTCAGTATTAAAGGTTTTTCTTACATTGTTCATATTATAATAATTTTCCTTAATGGGTTAAATATATTGTGAATATAATTTTAGTGTTGTTTCCATTTGATGCCATAGTGAACTGAGGTATAGAGTTATGAGTCAGTGATGTTAGTGCACTGAGGCAGGACAACATGCACCACGTGTTGAAACTGTAAACTTTAACACATTGTTTCTTAGACAAAATAAATGAATAAATATTAGAGGGTGTGGTACATAAAAAGAGTCTTCTTTGCTATGTTGAGTATTTCTCTGTGGAAAGGCTGCTGCAGGGCGTGAATGGAAACTTTAAAGAAAAGCAGAACATTGACGCGTGTAAAACTAAGATAACAAATTACTGACAGAGAGTTTATTTTTAAGCATTGGACTAATTGCTTTCAAAAGTCGACAAAAACATTGATTACTTCCTGTATGCTGCACCTGCTATATCTCTCCTCATTGACAGAAGGAAAGCATCATCTCTGCAGAAATGTCTAGATATTTATCAAAGCTACAACAGCAACTGAACAACATGTATTTAAAGTTATGTTGAGGACTGCAGGACGATAGAGGAAGTTCAACACAGCGATGAATTGGCAATTATTTAAAGCATGAGTAGTTTGTTAATGTAGGTACTGTATGTACAGTCATTATTTCCATCCATACAGACATAGTGTTACCATGCTAAATGGTGCTGTATTTCTAAAGTGTTTAAACTATCTTACAATATAAATGTAGATGTACAGTACGTCTCACAGAGAGGAGGAACACAACAAATCCACTCGCTGCTGCAGTTCAACTCAAAGCTGCTGCTTTTATTATTTCACCTCCTTAAATTATCTTGTGGGCTCTCATCATGATTACATTACGTTGCAGGAGCTTCCAAAATCTAAATGTTCTCATCTATCACCTGCAACCTTGAATGACATGAAGAACAATTTAAAGCTAACCTCATTTGTGATATCTTTCTTTGTGGGGTATCTTGGTGCCTAGAGGATTTACTGTTATTGTTGATATTTAGTTTTGTTTGTAACTCTTCTTTATTCAAAATGAGGTCTCCACCTAAATCTATGTCTTCTGTGTGTCTCTTTACCTAAGATGGCTTATTTACTGGATGTAGTTAAGCTTTCTTTTTCGATATATAACTGCGGCATCTGCATTCAGATTCAGAAGAATCCTCTGAAATTGTCATTGTAATGTCAGTGTGTGTGTGTATGAGTAAACTCACACACTGCAGGAGAGGGGAAGACTTCATGACCTTTCAGAGCACATGAGATCCTGTCTGCGTGGTGAAGCAAGCCTTTATAAGAAGATGTCACCGTCGTCATGATTTTCTCTCGGTTCTTGAACCAGACGTAGGAAACACCAGCTGGACTGCAGCTGCTGTGACACTTCAGCTCTGCATAGGTATTAGACTGCTGGACTGTTGCTGTGATCACCTGCACCTGCAGAGCTGGATATGAGAAAAATAAACATTTGAAATGACACAATATTATATCACTTGGTCCAGCGGTTTATTTGGGATTTGTTATATAAGGGGTGGGGGGCTGATAGATGAAGTGAACAATCTTTTTAATAGTCACACATTCAACTGTTTACATCTTAAAATATTGCAATATAAACACCTTTTCCGATATCAAAATGTTTCCTCTACTTCTCTAAGTGCCTTTTTCAATTACCATTTCCTTGTAATCAAGCTAAAGGAAAGTGAAATGCAATTAAAAGTGACTGAATACACCTTATCAAGCAGGACCATGGGGAAAGTGATAATCATAATTATATATCATAATTATTGTGACATAAACATTAAAGGTGGGGTAGGTAAGTTTGAGAAACCGGCTCGAGATACACTTTTTGTTATATTCCATGGAATGCTCTTAACATCCCGATAGCAATGAATATCTTAAGTGCTTTGACAAAAAATCCATACAAAAATGTCATCTGTGGAAGCCGTAATACTGTAAAAAGCACGACCAATCATTTTAGCCGGCCCGGCTAAAATAACTGGATGGCCTACCTGCCTGTCAGCCTTCCATCTGTGCACAAACTTATCTCGTGCCCTCATTGGTCATGTGCGCGTTCGTGTGTGTTGGAGGAGGGGCTCTGTAAGGAAGTGGCAGATTTTCTCCGGTTGTGTATTTTCAAATTCTAGCGATCTCGAGCCGGTTTCTCAAACTTACCTACCCTACCTTTAAGTAACGGCGCACTTCTCTGATTTCCATGTTGTGCCAATGTTAACTTTTTTTTGTAAACATATTCATTGTTGAATAGCTGCAAGGCTGATGACGTGAGAGCGAGGACTGTATTTGAAGGTATAACGTGTAGGTGTATTTTCATCAGTGTGTTGATCAGTACCTGTGACAGTCAGAGTTGTTCCAGGTAAATCACTGCTCCATTCAAAGCTTGGTGTTTTGAATTTGAAGAGATACTGAGCTGAATCTGAGTCTCTCAGGTCAGAGATCCTCAGAGTGGAATACCCTCTCCATGTTTCAGTGATTTGAACACGACCTGCATACTGGGAGTCTTTACTAAGGTCCTCAGGTTGAGAGGGATTCTGTCCCTGATGACTACGCTCAGGAATGAACCAGAACTTTGATGTAATACATTCATTACTGCTGTACGTGCAGGAAATGTCCACTGATGATCCTTTGGGGGCGCAGATACTTCCTTGAATGGAAGTCACCGTGTTGCTGTGTCGACCAGTGACACCTGAAACATTCAAACTGATTTTTAAACCATTGTTTTACCAGAGTTGATGAGAAGTCACATACCCATACAGTTAGCTATGGCTTCCACTTGATGGTGTTATGTTAGAATAAGATAGTGAAGTGAACTCACACACTGAAGGGGAGAGAGAGTCCTCATATCCTTTCAAAGCACAGGAATAGCTCTCTGGATAATTAAATTTGACTTGAAGATAAGAAGATGTTGCTGTTTGAATCTTTTCACCGTTCTTGTACCAGACGTAATCATTATCAGGTACAACACAACTGCTCTGACACTTCAGGTTTGCACTGCTAGGATCTTTGCTTTCCACCTGCACCGAGAGATCTGTATTTGTGAAGAAGGAACAGGATGGTTATTTAAGAATAAACTCTCAACATTCATGTATATAAAAACAAATCGCATTTATATTATTGTTTTCTTAAAGTTGAACATTTGGAAATGATTGGCATGAATGAAAGTATTACCTGTGAGAGACAAAGTGACTCCAGGTGTACCAAAATATCTTCCACCTTCTTGGTTTGTTTCGATCCTGAACTTGTACTCATCTGAGTCGCTCTCTCTCAGGTTTCTGATTCTCAGGGTGCAGATGTTCTTTTCACAGAGATTCTCTACACGACCTGCATACTCTGAGACTGTTTTCAGATCTACAGGTTTCTTATTGTTCCATTTAGTGAACCAGAATGTTTTCTCCACTGTGTTAACTCTGCCTCCCCATGGAGATGGGTATTTGTAGCTGCATCTTATCTCCACTGATGATCCTGTCACTGCACAGATCTTAGTAGAAGTGTAAGTCACTCCCCAGCCATCCTGACCCTGAACCACTGAAACACAGAGCACAACAGAAACATTCATCAGTCTCGTCAGTAGGCAGCCTTTCTTAGCTTTATCAAACACATCTTTTTACTATTTCATATTATATTAATTTACATAGACGGGAATGTTCTGATGTTTGTTTCTAACTGAGTTTATACTTTTAAAAAGTCTTAATATTGTTTCCAGTGAACAGAGGGATCAAAAACATATATAATGTTGACGTAGGACATCATGCTGCAGTGTATTTAACCTTTAACGCATTATTTACCTGATAAATACTTAGATAAATACTTAGATTTTGAACCTTAGAAAAAGATGAGAATAACATATTAGAGGGTGTGGATCAGAACAAAGAGTCTTCTTTCCTGGCTTGCTTTTCTCTCAGTGATCAGGCTGCTGCAGGGCGTGAATGGAAACTTCAAAGAAAAGCAGAACATTGATAAATGATGATAAAGATAACAAATGACTGACAGAGAGGTTATTTTTAAGTGTTGGACTGCTAATTGCTTGCAAAAGTCGACACACATGTTGCATGTTGCACCTAGGTCTCCTCATTGTCAGGTAAAAGAAAGCATCTGGCTTCTCTGCAGAAATGAGATATTTATAAAAGCTACAATATCCACTAAACCACATGAGTATTTATGTAAAGTCATGTTTCTAAATGACTCTTAACATAAATCCAATCTTCAGTCTTGTTTTGTCAGATAAATATTACTATGTCCCCATCTTCATGCTGCAGTAACTTTGTCTATCCTTATGTTGGTGATGCCTGAAGTGTAGAGTTTTAAGAGGTCTTATCATTGAAGAAAGCTGCATATAGCAGCGTTGATAGTTACTTACTGCACTAACTTGTTACTGTGATCGCCCCAGTGCCTTTTTTGCATGTCATACCCAGATCTCTCTTCCTGTTTCCAGTAAGTCTTTACACTTTTCACCGTCCAATGGAGGCAAAAAATGAAGAAAATGCAAAAGCTACGATCATGTACATGCATGCAAACAGACGTTCATGCATTCACGGACACACACCTTCACAAACACTTGACCTGCAGGAACAAAACTGTGGCCGCCATAAAAGAGAGAAAGAGCGTTCAGTTGCAGGGCGCAGCTGAAAAAAAGTAAAGTAGTTTTTTTGCCATAAAGCAAAACAATAATCTAAAATAAGCTTAAACTTTAGTGAGGTGATTATTATTATGTTTTCATTTCTACAAGCAACCATTCATTCCTTTGACTCATTGTTCATTTAAAAATGATTCATTAGTGATGCTTACAATATAAATGTAGATGTACTGTACCTTGCACAGAGAGAAGGAAGACCACCAATCCACTCGCTGCTGCTTTTAAACTCATAGCTGCTCCTCACGTCTCTGTTAGATTTGCAGGTAGATCACACATGAGAAATACTCATCATCAGTATATCACCAAAAACATCTCTACAGAAATAAGGAGGATGTGGTCTTTGAAGGCAGTGTGTTCCTTCTGCGGCTGGTTTCCTTCCTCTTTACATTATTAATATGCATGAGCAAAATGAATTACTGTAAATCCCCCAAATAAAAATATAGTTAATGGAAATGACAAGCAGGGACTCCTTTTGTCCCCGAAAGTGCATCTCACAATTATCTTAAAATGATAAGTAAAAGACAACCACATTTTCTTTATTTATTTGGCTTTCTAAATGTTCACATTAAGCTGGTAGACAGAGTGCACGTTGTAGAGAGAATGTTTGAGAGCAGACGTGGTTTGCATCTGTACTGTACATCATCAGAGCTTCCTGTTAGAGTTTCAGAAAGACTTGTGGTTGTGGTTTTATAAAAGGAACAGCTGAGGTGGGAGGTCACAGCTGAGGTGGGAGGTGTACAGCTGAGGTGGGAGGTCACGGCTGAGGTGGGAGGTCACAGCTGAGGTGGGAGGTGTACAGCTGAGGTGGGAGGTCACAGCTGAGGTGGGAGGTCACAGCTGAAGTGGGAGGTGTACTCTTAACAACTCACCTGCTACCATCATTACTACAGACAGACGTGTCCCTTGAGAACAACGCCATGAAAATAGTTTCATCGTTGTATAGATACTGAGATAAAACGACTGAATAAGGAGAAAGAAAGAAGTTGCAAAGTGAGAAACGTACTATCTGTCAACATGACAAATCCTTGTTGATAGATGATCCAGTAGTCTTAAACAAACCACCTGATAAAAATGTGCTCTGTGGGGTTACTCAACAGCAGAGCTTAAAGGTCACCTATCATGCAAAATGCACGTTTTGATGTCTTTTATACATAAATATGTGCAGCTGGTGTGTCAGGAGACTCACAAAGTGTCTGAAAATACAACCCCCTCTCTTTTCCTCCTTACCCACATCTCTAAAAACGGGGGTACAACGGAGCTGATCCAGATTTGCTGCGTCATGACGACATTACTCAAATGTGCCCACGGTCCTATCAGAAACGTCGCTATCAGAAACAATGCGCGGCCTGTTTTGGGAATAAAATATGGTCTTTGTTTACATTAGCATAGCTATTACTCAGAGCTAACCTGTACTGGAGAGAGTATGTGTAAAGAAGCAGGATATAAAAAGGAACTCACCTTGTGGTAAACCTGAGAGAGAAAAAGCATTTGAGCTCCATACTGTTTTCAGAAATGATCTTTGATGTGGTTTGGAACATAATATGGCGTTTAATCACGGCAGCATTTAGCTGAGAATCTGGGTAGAACTCTTCTGCATGAGCTCTCCTCTCTTTATTTTTTGTTTATTTTTTAAAGCTATGGACACAGAATCAGCACTTTAGTAACAGGGCTGAAATAGAAGGGTTTGAGGGAAGAATGGGTGATCTGTTTGGTATCTTGAGTAAAACACTTCATAGACATGTTATTATATCTGAGACCTATAATATATGCCTAAAAATAGTATAACAATAGACCTTTAAAGCTAAATGCTAACATCAGCATGCTAACATGCTCACAATGACAATGCTGCCATCCAGGTGATTAGCAGGTTTATTGTTTACCACGTTTAACAGTTAGATTTAACGTGTTAGCTGGCTGGCTAGCATTTGGTAATTAGCAGTTACCACAAATGAATAGCTAAAGAAAAGTATAGGCCTGTTGTATGTTGAATTTCACACGCTAACATGTGGCAAAACAAGGACGTCTCGGCTAACCAAACGTTAAAATAACATTTTCCCAGCGGTGGAAAGTAATTAAATACATTTACTAAAGTATTGTACTCAAGCACTATGTTGAAATTATTTTCTTTATTTTGAGAGCATCCATTTTATGCTACCTAAACTTTTACTCCACTCCATTTATTTATCAGTTTTAGCTTCCATTTACATATAAACACTTGATATGACATGATACAGTACTGTGCTATTTGGACGACAAGAGTACTTGAAAAATTGCTTAACATTGAAATAGTGGGGATAAAAACCCAATTATAATATTCTAAAATACTTTGCTAATTCAATCCTGTTAAAGGACAATTCTGCAATATGAGTACTTTTAGTTTAATATTTGAATTACAATTGACTGATTCTTCTGTACTTCTACTCAAGTCACATTTTCAATTCCTAGCTTTAATTTGTGATCAAGTTCATAGTATTTCTAGTTTTTCTTAAGTAGAGGATCTGAGTACTTCTCCCAACACTGCTTTGTTTCAAAGGTAAGACATTAGTAGAACAAATGTTTAATTATGTGGTTATTCTAATAGGGACTTGAAGGACTAAACCAGAGTTTATTAGACTAACTAGTCTGTTTGTTGTTGTAACACCTACTGGTCACCAGCAGAGGTCAATAATATTCACATTTTACTACACGCCTCATTGGGACCTGGAGTTAACTGAGACTAATGCTGGTTGGTAGAGTCTGACACTTTGGGGGTTACCAGTGAAAAGGTTTGATGGTTTATAAATAAATACACTTTAAAAAGGTTTTTCTTTTAACTTCTTTATTTCACACACTTTTTTTGTATTTGAAACACATAGGCAATACAATGGACTAATGATAACACAACAGCTAAGTGCCTTTGATAGAAAAGACACTGCACACTCGAAAGGGCAACACAGATGGATAAGACATACTCTATATCAGTGGTTCCCAAACTTTTTGTGCCCAAGGCACACCAAAGGACAAGTAAAAATCTCAAGGCACACCTATTGTGCAAAATAGCCCTAAAACACGTGTTATCACTCATATCATGTAAAATATCTGTAAATGTGCATAATTATTTACTAATGCCAAATAAAATGTGACAAAGACAACTATATTACTCATGAAATATTTATTAACGAAATATTTCAGAAATTAATTTGAAACTTTATCAAATTAGGCTTCATCAAAGCAGCAACACACTCATTTAAACCAGTGAGGTCACAAAATAAAAAATTGTGGAGGATCAGGCTTTGGTGGTCGGCTCCCATCTCGGCGCACAGCTGGGAGAAGAGGCGAGATTTCAGGGGCCTTGATTTGATGTAATTCACCATCTGCACAGCCTGATTCAGCACCTCAGTCAACTCCGGGGGCATGGTTTTGGCAACTAATGCCTCTCTATGCAAAATGCAGTGGTTTGTCACGATATGTGGGTTTTGTGCTCTCACCTTAGCAATACATCCTTTCACTCTCCCCGTCATGCTTGCCGCACCATCTGTGCAAAGACTGACGCACATATTCCAGGTCAGACTGTTCTCTTTTAAATAGTTATTAGTTACCCTGAATATTTCTTCTCCCGTAGTATGGCTTTCCATTTCTTTGCAAAAGAAAAACGTCTCTTTGATAGAGTCAGCATTAGGGATGCCAGCGATTATTCGATTTTTCGAATATTCGTTACAGTCTCCATAATCGAAAATTATTTTTAAAATTCGATTTTATTTATATATATTTTTATTATTATTTATGTCTTTCTTTTCTTTTTTCTGGCTTAGTTTCAACCAAAATATAAACTAATGCTAATAGTAATAGTATTAATAATTGTAAATGGCCATTGGTCACACCACCAGTTTGTTTTACTGTAAACTTGGAGGAAGAGTGCAGACTGCTGCTGCCTGCTGCAGCCTGCTACACACCGACCCCCCCCCCCCCCCCCCTCTCTCTCCGTCACACGTGCAATTGGCGATATACAGAACAGTGAGAACAACACAACTAAAGGTGAACAAAGCGGCACGTTCAAAGAAGCGAAGTGACTAGTGCAAATGAAGTAAAATGCAACCTCTGCGAAAAGACTTTTTTTTCTCTCCCGCGGCGAATAATCGAGTAATATTCGCCAGGGCTGTCCGATTTTCGAATTTGAAAATTTGAATTTCAGTTTCTGGCATCCCTAGTCAGCATCAACATATCTGACGTTTGCCAGAAGTTTGGCAGCCCCACTTATGTCAGTAGGTTCGTCTATTTGTAGGGAAAATCTGCCGCTCGCCACTGAAGCCATAAGACAGGTAACTTTCATGATACTGTCTGCTGACAGTTTTTTTCCTCTTTTCTTTCGGTGGTGGGTTGTCGGCAGTCTCTGCACTGGTGGTTGGTGGTTTGCTCCGCACAAGAAAGCGCTCCATTTTCCCTCTTGCGTGTTTCTCTGTTTTAATGTTGTCCTTCAGCCTTCGATGTGTCACGGTCTTATAATTCCCACCTGCAACTGCGTTAACAGCGAAATATGGGGTTCTGTGAGGATTTTTTTTTTAAAGAATTGTTTTTAGGTATAGAGTTTGCCTCTGTATTATGAAATGAGTGCATACAAAGTACTGATATAGTAAATTAAAAAATAATTATTTTTGTGTAGTTGTATATTGCAATAATAACGTATGGTTGTCACAAAATCCCACGGCACACCCGGACTTGCCTCACGGCACACCAGTGTGCCGCGGCACACCGTTTGGGAACCACTGCTCTATATAACTCAATATGAAAACATAAATGTATAATATGGACAATGTGACAAAGGTTTGGTCAAAAGGACTGCAAATGTATTTACAAATACTCATTCAGAATTAAAAGACAATTTACAACTTAAAAAATACTTTATCAATTTAACCTGTTTCACGCCTTCCCCCCCGGTACCGGGCGGATAAACGCGTCATTTGCAGGAAACAACGTCTAAGGAATCTTAATATTGAATAAAACTATGAATGTGTTATATCCATGTAACGGGAAGAAACTCAGCTAACTGATCTTTTTAATTTTTTTTTTCAAAAAAAACCCACAATGCTAGCACTCAGCCTCTGAATTAGCCTCGATCAAAAAAACGGGACCGACAAAGGCACATAAACTCACTCAGAACTCCCTTATTACTTATCCTAGATGCACAACCAAACACTATTTTTTGGTGTCCTGGAGACACTGAATCTAACGGTGCCCACCTCAACACTCAGTGATAAACATTCGCGACGCTATCAACGAAAGCGTACATCATCACATGTGGAGCCAAGAAGCTAAACATGTAAATATGGCTCACCTTGGTCAAAAGTGGTCTTCAATGGCATTAAAACGATAAAAAAAACGATGCTGCAGTTAATCCATAGGTTCATCCTATGTGTCTGTGCCTTCTTTGAAATTATTTCTGATAATCCATAAGCAATACAACTGCGTTTTAGTTTCCAAACTCCAGAAGGAGACATTCCTCCAGTTTAGTTTCGCTTTCCACACGCGAAGCGGCAACATTTTTTCTTTATAATGTGTGTCTATGTGAGTCTCCTCCTTCGATTCTATTGGCTCTAACGGTCACAAGGGTATGTCAACCAACCAGATCGAGCAAGGGGGGCCAGAGATAGGTCAAATCCACCCAAATGACCCCAGATGGCCCAGTTTTTGGCTAAATCTCTCTAAAAAGGTCAAATTTCACTTGTTTTGCATCAATCTTGATACAGGGTACTTATTATATGTTGTACTTTGGATTCCTAAAGCTTTTAGTCTACTAACCCATCATCCAAGGGTAGTTTTCACTATCTGTAAAAAATAATTTTTGGACGGACACTATAATTTACAGTTTTTTACTATGTAAAATCTGAATTTTCTTTAAAATAAAAAACATTTATATTGATTCTGACACTTCTACATCCAACTCACAGGTTTATCATTACTTTGAGAAAAGATTATTAATTTAACCCTTTTAGAAGGGAAGATATGGTCATTTGTTCTGGGAATGTCATTTTCGAGCCTGAGACCTGAAAAACAGGCTCAGAGTGGAACAGGTTAAAGGGGACCTATCATGCAAAATGCACTTTTGTACGTCTTTTATACATGAATATGTGTCCCCGGTGTTCCAGGGAACTCACCAAGTGTCAGAAAACACAACCCTCTCTCTTTTCCTCCATACCCAAATCTCTAAACACGGGGCTGCAACGGATCTGATACAGACTGATCCAGATTTGAACATTCCTCTGACGTCAGGACGGCGGAGCTGACCTATCAGGGGAATGAGAGGTTGCCGTGGCATGGTAACAGCATGGTAACACGACGCTCGTAACTCGGCCCCCTCCTTTGCAGGGGGGCGTGGTCAGCTGCAGCGCATGCAAAGACAGGGTGGAGGAAAGCAAAATAGAGCGAAATGAGGCATGGCTAAAATGCATGATCTGTTTGGTATTTTGAAAAACAAAACGTATAAATATACCTTGTATAGGTATGGCCCTACAATATATTATTCAAATATAGCATGATAGGTCCACTTTAAAAAAGAGAAAGCAACCAAGAGCATACCCCTTCACAAGATCTATGACTAAACATATTTCATAAGGACAAATAATAATAATATTTCCAAAAACACATAAAATAAGGCTTGTGCTACGCTGAAGGACAAGATGCTGAGGTTAAGACTCTGTTGAAAGAGGAAGAAAACATGTTACAGTTATTTATAAAGAATACTTAGAAGTAGAGCTAAGAGAAATGAGGAACTGATTACAACTCAACCTTCATTTAACAACCAGAGGTCAAATGTGAACATCATTTTAGAACCAGACACAATAACATATAAAAAAAGACGAATCAAGAAAGATAATATTTGAACAAGTTGAAAATATTGATTAAATATGAGGGTGTGTGTGTGTGTGTGTGTGTGTGTGTGTGTAGGTTTGTGCAGATGTATGCCTATATGTATATCAACATATATACCTAATATGTATAAGCCTTCTTTATTTCATTTTTTCCTAATTTATCCCAACTTCACTACTATTATAACCTTTTGACTACAACATGTATACAAAATGAAGGAATGCTATAAATATGATAGGCATTCTTGATGATGGATGTTAGCACATGCACATTACTGTAGTAAAATGTGTTTATATTTACAGTATAACAAGTTGCAATCTACTCATGCCTGTATATCTCCTGCTGTCTGTGACTGCTGACTCCTACCTGCCGCTAACAATGAAACTCTTATATTTGAAGGTAAATGTTTCCTCTTCAATGCTTCACTTCCTTCTGTTTCCATCCAGGTCAGTCTCCCTCTGGTTTAAAGCAGCAGAAGAAAAGCATGAGCAAACGTTAGTGAGTTATTTCTCAGTAATGGACCTGAGTAGTTGTTTTGAGTTTGTTTTTCGACACATGTAGCTTCTTATTGGCCTTTTTACTGCCATTCAATTTGTGTTAAAGTCCTTGCTGAAATTACAGGAGGCGTATTGGGTCAAACTTGGTAATGTGACTAAACTGCTATTTTTAAATCCAGGATGAAGTTTTACACTGCACTGTGATTTTATTTATTTTTTTGCTTTGGTCGCTCTGATCAAGGGACTCAGTGCCGTCAAATCAACCCGCCGATGGAAGTCCGGTCAATTTAACGTCAGCAATGGACAAAAAGTACATGTTTTCCTCCGTCAGAAAACGTTATTAAGCATTAAGGCGTTTTGAAAGACCTATAACGTCTAAGGTTTGAACATATATGTCTACACAAATAGATAGGAATTAACTAAAAGATGACTTTAGAGCACATGCTGCTGACTGATAGCTGGCTGACCTTCAGACCAGGTCCTCCTGCTCCTCTGGTTCTTCTGTCTGTTCTGCAGAGACCATGTTCAGGTCTGAGACGTTAGTATAATCAGGACCAGACTCCAACTGAAGAGTAGAGACAAGAAAAGATGAACGTTCAAGTCCTTTGGATACAATTACACCTTTTAATAAAAGAAAGACTGTTTAATATATTTCTCTTTTGATTCGAATGACAGGAGGATTAGTACATATTGGTAATTGTATATCAAGAAGCAAGGCATATTTACATTCTCCTTGTGAACACAATTATTAACAATTCTGTAATATCACTTTGCTGGAGTTGGATCTGTCACTGTCTCACCTCCACAGTCTCTATGGGTTCATTCGCTTCAGAGGTGGAGCTCACAGTCTTCTTCTTCCTGAATTGTGTTCAAACATAGTCAGATAAATAAGTAAAAGTGTTACTCTAAGTACCCCAAATGATAAATGTCAATGCAGAAGTTGAATAGTCTCACCTCATCCAGAGACAGACAAGGAGCAGAGGAATCAGCACCAGAACCACCACAGAGAACCTGGTGATGTTCACGATCATTGGGGATGTATCTAGAACAGGAGGTAAACAGTTGTCAGATACTTTAACTGTGAGTGGGATCCAGGAACCCCTCAACAAACACACGCCTGTTTGCTATCCTGGCTCCACACTGGTAGAAGGAGTTCCCCATTGCTATCAGAACAGCAGAAAGTCTACACATCGTGCGTCATAGACTGAAAACCAAATCTGTGTCCACTGAACCCAGAGATGGGGTCGTTACTAAAAAAAAGTAATATATTACATATTACATATTACTTTAAAAAAAGTAACATATTACACTACTTCGTTACTCTCTACATAAAGTAACTCGTTACTTTACTCGTTACTTTACTCGTTACTTTACTCGCAGGGCCGGCCCGCCCCTCCCTACAGGCAGATCACGCAGACTGCTAAAGTTTAAAATGTTCTCTTTAGTTCAGTTTCCATTGTCACATAAGACTGATCCAGATAGCTCTGATTATGGCTGTCCTCTGTCTCCTGCTATCTGTATTTTGCGCAGTATATCTCTGAACGATGCGATGGTGATTCCACTGTGCAAATGGGCAACATTACCTCTACTATGAAGGATGCTACAAGCCTGTCCATCTCTGCTTTGGTTACCGGTCCTCCAAATTCTAATTTGTGCTGCTTCGGAGTCGGCAGCGGCGACTCACAACATCCTCACTCTGGGTTCGGGGGTCCTTAGCTTTTAGCTTCACCTTAGCATGTGTTCTTTGCAGGTGTTTGTTGAGGTTTGACGTGGTGTTTGCAGCAGTGGATAACAGCTTCTGGCCTGGACACAGTTTGCACCTCACCGTCACATTCCTGTCTATTCTTCGGACGAACTCAAAATAATGGGCATACCTCCACCCCTCGAAAGTTATCGCTGACTCAGCCATGTTTATGCAGCACTGCACGTGGAGATGTCGACGCGCAAGTCGCGCAGATTACGTACATATAAACCTGCGGCGGAAACCCCTCTTGTCTCTCAGTGTGATTATGACTAATTTTATAAAAGTAACGAAGTAACGCGTGTCGGGACAATGTTAGTAACTGTAGTGTGATTACTGAATTATAAAAGTAACGCAACTCTGACTGAACCTATGGACATTAAATTCTTTAAACTTCCCATTTCAGTCAACTTTTTTAGTTTTTACTTCCTGGCTTTGTGTTTTCCCGCCTGTGTGTTTGTCCGCCCCATCCTGATTATTTAACCTGCTACCCTTGTGTTTTTGAAGAAGAATCAACATTATGATAGTATTTAAGTCCTGGTCTCCTGTTAGTCTTTGTCAGATCCTTGTATGTTGCTATATCCTCAGGGTTGATTGCACTTATAGTAAGTTGCTTTGGACAAAGTGTGAGCTAAACGTAATGAAATATAAAGAACATATTTCTAACAGTTTCCCTCGATTCAATCTCTAGTTAAACTCACTCAGTGTTGACATGTATGGATGTGGAGTTTATCTTGTCCTATTTAATCTCTACTAATTTAAATAACAAATTGGTTATGGCTTTGTGAAGCTGTATTTTAGACTTTGAAGATGTCCGGACAAATGGATGTTTAAGGTTTGAATCTGGGTCCAAAAGCTGCATTAAAACTGCTAAAAAACTCCTAAAGCTGCAGCAGATGGTGAATATGAAGGAGGGACTGTTTTAGAAATTAAGATCAGTAAACGTTGCCCATCCAGGTACTGGGCACATTTTAGCTTTAAATAAACAATTTCACTCACATTTTACATTAATAAAGACTTTTTCAGATGTGCTTCTCCCCAGCTCGTTCTCAGCTGAACAGAAATACTGTCCAGAGTCAGAGGACTGGATGGATCCGAAGACAAGCTGGGGTCCTTCACTGAGAAGAGGAACGTCTGCATTTCCATTCTTCTTGTTCCAGGTGTATTTAGCTTCTGGGTTAGCATCACTGCTACAGGTCAGAGTCACTGAACGGCCCTCCTTTATCTCACCAGAGGGTCTTGACAAAGAAGGGCGTCTCGGAGCATCTGGAGGAGAAGTGTTAACAGAAAATATTAAGAATGTGTTTCTCACTAGATTAGCACAAAGGGTATCTACATTATTGAATGCTGAATGAACTGTAGCTGCATTTTGGACTTCGAACACGGTTTGACAAAATGCATGTTGGACGGATTTAACCTTTGTCCAAAAGGTGCACAACATTGAAACTTTACACTACAATAAGGTACACTTCATTTGTAGTCGATAGAGGGCAACGAATGAAGACTGTGATGCTAATCACTACGAACTCAAATGTATTATTGACGATTATTATAATGTTGTACGTCTCTCTGTATGAGAACCTTGTTTTATTTATTTTTAATTACCTTATTGCAGTGTTGTAGTCAAGTCACCAATTCACGAGTCCAAGTCACTCTCGAGTCACCACTCTTCGAGTCCGAGTCCAAGTCCGAGTCACCAAGGGAGAGTCGTAGTCGAGTCAGAGTCCAAGTCCGAGTCACCCAAGGAGTGTCAGAGTCGAGTCCGAGTCTCAGTCATCATTACCTGTGTTCGAGTCCGAGTCCAAGTCCGAGTCACCCAAGGAGTGTCCGAGTCGAGTCCGAGTCCGAGTCATCATTACCTGTGTTCGAGTCCGAGTCCAAGTCCGAGTCACCTAAGAAGAGTCCAAGTCAAGTCCGAGTCACAAGTCTTCATGTATTAATCTTTGTGGATATATGTGTTGAAATGTAGCTGCTCCTCTACATTGCTTTTATCCTGTCATGTTATACTAATCTGTCTATTGAACTGCTGTGAAGCCAGTTTGGCTACAATTTTTGTAATAGGTGCTATACAAATATAAAGCTTATTACCAATATTAATATTATTATTATTATTATTGTAAATGACCCATAATATGTCTAACTATATTTAAAATGAGTTACCTTTTAGAGAAGTGATTATATTTGTAATCCAATATTTTTCTATGGTAAAGTTTTCGTTTTGCACTTTTATTTTGATAGTAATAAGATCGGGACTCTTATTTTGAAGGAATTTTACCGATTAAATCGGTTTACCGATAAAGATTGAGCCCCAGAAAGCACATGGCTACTTAGCATGCAAAATGACGTCATTCTGTATGTTAAGTAGCCATGTGCTTTCATGTTATCGGCTGAATCTTTATTTATTGATTAGATCACGTTACTCTGATGATAGTGTTCTATCAGCCTATATGTCTGAACTCGATCCTTAGAGTAATGTGTTATGGAGCCTTCTCTTCTCTTCAATATTTTTTCCATATAACGAGCATTTTGCGCTGCTCTTTTCCAATGTGGAAGCAGAATGTGTGAAAGCATACAGCACGATGCGGGGTGTGTCTCTAGACATCTTTAGACTGGAATAGCGGGGCCCAGTACATGAACTCGCCTCGCAGGTGCACACGCAGGGATAGAGGACATCAGACTCCAGAGAAAACTTGCTCGAGTCCGAGTCCAAGTCGGAGCGTCAATGTACGAGTCCGAGTCATCGTGGGGGGGAACATTCACGAGTCCGAGTCCAAGTCATTGTAAGCGAGAATTCATGAGTCCGAGTCCAAGTCATCGTGCGCGAGAATTGACGAGTCCAAGTCCGAGTCGCGTCAATCAATGCGCGAGTCCGAGTCGAGTCACGAGTCCCGAAAATCGGCACTCGAGTCCGACTCTCCTCATTGACAGAAGGAAAGCATCATCTCTGCAGAAATGTCTAGATATTTATCAAAGCTACAACAGCAACTGAACAACATTCATTTAAAGTTATGTTGAGGACTGCAGGACGATAGAGGAAGTTCAACACAGCGATGAATTGGCAATTATTTAAAGCATGTGTTGTTTGTTAATGTAGGTACTGTATGTACAGTCATTATTTCCATCCATACAGACATAGTGTTACCATGCTAAATGGTGCTGTATTTCTTAAGTGTTTAAACTATCTTACAATATAAATGTAGATGTACAGTACGTCTCACAGAGAGGAGGAAGACAACAAATCCACTCGCTGCTGCAGTTCAACTCATAGCTGCTGCTTTTATTTTTTCACCTCCTTAAATTATCTTGTGGGCTCTCATCATGATTACATTACGTTGCAGGAGGTGGCTGTTTTTACAGAGCTTGCAAAAATCTACATAATCTCATTTTGCACCTGCAACCTTGAATGACATGAAGAACAATTTAAAGCTAACCTCATTTATGATATCTTTGTTTGTGAGGTGTCTTGGTGCCTAGAGGATTTACTGTTATTGTTGATATTTAGTTTTGTTTTTAATTCTTCTTTATTCAAAATGAGGTCTCCACTATAATCTATGTCTTCTGTATGTCTCTTTACCTAAAGTGGATTATTTACTGGCTGTAGTTAAGCTTTCTTTTTCGATATATATAACTGCGGCATCTGCATTCAGATTCAGCAGAATCCTCTGAAATTGTATTGTAATGTCAGTGTGTGTTTATGAGTAAACTCACACACTGCAGGAGAGTGGAAGCCTTCATGTCCTTCAAAAGCACATGAGATCATGTCTCTGTGTTGAAACCAGTCTTTATAAGAAGATATCGTTGTTGTGGGGATTTTCTTGTTGTTCTTGAACCAGATGTAGGAAACACCAGCTGGACTGCAGCTGCCGTGACACTTCAGCTCTGCTAAGGTATAAGATTGCTGGACTGTTGCTGTGATCACCTGCACCTGCAGAGCTGGATATGAGAAAAATAAACATTTGAAATGACACAATATTATATCACTTGGTCCAGCGGTTTACTCTGGATTTGTTATGTAAGGGGAGGGGGGCTCATAGATGAAGAGAACAATCTTTTTTAATAGTCACATTAAACTGTTTACATTAAAATATTGGAATATAAACACCTTTTCCGATATCAAAATGTTTCCTCTACTTCTCTAAGTGCCATTTTCAATTACCATTTCCTTGTAATCGAGCTAAAGGAAAGTGAAATGCAACTACAAGTGACTGAATACACCTTATCAAGCAGGACCATGGGGAAAGTGATAATCATAATTATATATCATAATTATTGTGACTTAAACATTAAGTAACGGTGCACTTCTCTGACTTCCATTTTGTTTCGTAAACATATTCATTGTTGAATAGCTGCGAGGCTGATGACGTGAGAGCGAGGACTGTATTTGAAGGTATAACGTGTAGGTGTATTTTTATCAGTGTGTGTTGATCAGTACCTGTGACAGTCAGAGTTGTTCCAGGTAAATCACTCCTCCATTCAAAGCTTGATGTTTTGAATTTGAAGAGATACTGAGCTGAATCTGAGTCTCTCAGGTCAGAGATCCTCAGAGTGGAGCGTCCTCTCTCTGTTTCAAGGATCTGAACACGACCTGCATACTGGGAGTCTTTAATAAGGTCCTCAGGTTGAGAGGGATTCTGTCCCTGATGACTACCCTCAGGTCTAAACCAGAACTTTGATGTAATACATTCATTACTGCTGTACGTGCAGGAAATGTCAACTGATGATCCTTTGGGGGCGCAGATACTTCCTTGAATGGAAGTCACCGTGTTGCTGTGTCGACCAGTGACACCTGAAACATTCAAACTGATTTTTAAACCATTGTTTTACCAGAGTTGATGAGAAGTCACAAACCCATACAGTTAGCTATGGCTTCCACTAGATGGTGTTATGTTAGAATAAGGTAGTGAAGTGAACTCACACACTGAAGGGGAGGGAGAGTTCTCATATCCTTTCAAAGCACAGGAATAGCTGTCCAAAAAACTCAAGTCGACTTGATGAGAAGAAGATGTTGCTGTTTGAATCTTTTCACGGTTCTTGTACCAGACGTAATCATTATCAGGTAAATCACAACTGCTCTGACACGTCAGGTTTGCCCTGCTAGGATCTTTGCTTTCCACCTGCACCGAGAGATCTGTATTTGTGAAGAAGGATCAGGATGGTTATTTAAGAATAAACTCTCAACATTCATGTATATAAAAACACATCACATTTATATTATTGTTTTCTTAAAGTTGAACATTTGGAAATGATTGGCATGAATGAAAATATTACCTGTGAGAGACAAAGTGACTCCAGGTGAACCAAAATATCTTCCACCTTCTTGGTTTGTTTCGATCCTGAACCAGTACTTCAGAGTCGCTCTCTGTCAGGTTTTTGATTCTCAGAGTGCAGATGTTGTTTTCACAGAGATCCTCTACACGACCTGCATACTCTGAGACTGTGGTCAGATCTACAGGTTCACCATCTTTCTTTTTAGTGAACCAGAATGTTTTCTGTACTGTGTTATCACTTCCTTTCCATCTGGATGGGTATGTGTAGCTGCATCTTATCTCCACTGTTGATCCTTTCTCTGCACAGATCTCAGTAGAAGAGTAAGTCACTCCCCAGCCACCCTGACCCTGAACCACTGAAACACAGAGCACATCAGAAACATTCATCAGACTCATTAGACTTTCTTAGCTTCATCAAACACATCTTTTTACTATTTCATATTATATTAATTTACATAGACGGGAATGTTCTGATGTTTGTTTCTAACTGGGTTTATACTTTTAAAGTTTTAATATTGTTTCCAGTGAACAGAGGGATCTAAAACATATATAATGTTGACGTAGGACATCATGCTGCAGTGTATTTAACCTTTAACGCAGTATTTACTTGATAAATACTCAGATAAATACTTAGATTTTGAACCTTAGAAAAAGATAAGAATATAATATTAGAACAAAGAGTCTTCTTTCCTGGCTTGCTTTTCTCTCAGTGATCAGGCTGCTGCAGAGCGTGAATGGAAACTTCAAAGAAAAGCAGAACATTGAGGCGTGTGATATTAAGATAACAAATGACTGACAGAGAGGTTATTTCTAAGTGTTGGACTGCTAATTGCTTGCAAAAGTCGACACAAATGTTGCATGTTGCACCTAGGTCTCCTCATTGTCAGGTTAAAGAAAGCATCTGACTTCTCTGCAGAAATTAGATATTTATCAAAGCTACAATATCCACTAAACCACATGAGTATTTATGTAAAGTCATGTTTCTGAATGACTCTTAACATAAATTCAATGTTCAGTCTTGTTTTGTCAGATAAATATTACTATGTCCCCATCTAGAATAGGGAGGGATGAAACCCTCTTTAATGGTCACACATGCAGAGCACACAGCACACACAGTGAAATTTGGCCTCTGCTTTTAACCCATCCTAGTACAAGGAGTCTAGTATTAGGAGCAGTTCATGCAGTTCTACTTCATGCTGCAGTAAGTTTGTCTATCCTTATGTTGGTGATGCCTGAAGTGTAGAGTTTTGAGAGGTCTTATCATTGAAGAAAGCTGCATATAGCAGCGTTGATAGGGAGTAACTGCGCTAACTTGTTACTGTGATCGCCCCGGTGCCTTTGTTGCATGTCATACCCAGATCTCTCTTCCTGTTTCCAGTAAGTCTTTACACTTTTCACCGTCCAATGGAGGCAAACAATGAAGAAACTGCAAAAGCTACGATCATGTACATGCATGCAAACAGATGTTCATGCATTCACGTACACACACCTTCACAAACACTTGACTTTCATGCAAAATGTCGGCCTCCTAGGGCCAAAACTGTGGCCGCCATAAAGAGAGAAAGAGCGATCCGTTGATGGGCGCAGGCAGATTGAAGGCAGATGATTATTCATTAGTGACTTTTTATCCACGTTGCAACTCCTACCGTAAGTTTCTTATATTAATTACATTATCAAATACAGCTGCTGAATGTATAATGCTGAGAAACACTTGCTAAAGTTAAGTGGTGAGGACTGCAGGAGGAAAGAGGAAGTTCAACAGAGCGATTCATTTTAATTAACAATTATTTAAATTTAAAAAAAGTGTTGTTTTGTAATATTTACAGTCATTATTTCCATCAACACAGACATAGTTTTACCATGCCAAATGGTGCAAACACTCTGTATTTCTGAGCTGCATCAACTATCTTACAATATAAATGTAGATGAACAGTACCTTGTACAACGAGAAGGAAGACGACAAATCCTCTCGCTGCTGCTGGTAGACTCATAGCTGCTCCTCACGTCTCTGATAAACCATCAGGTCGATCAAATGCAGGAGAAATACTGTTTGTCAGTGAATCACCAAAAAACGTTTGTACATCGAGCAGGGTGTTTTCTCTGTCACTCGTACAGCTGTGTTAAAAAGAGGTCAACGTGTTAAAAACTGCCCTTGCTTCCTTCCTCTTAACAGTTACAAGATACAAGAGACGGTAAACATAGTTAAAATGAAGAACTCTGTGGTTTTGCAAACAATGCATTAACTTGTAAACATATACAGTATGAAAATGGCTGACTGACAGCTCAACATTGCCATCCTTAAAGCCACAATGTGTGTAAAAACAGGAACGAACACGCTGAATGGTTGGTTTATTGTTAAAAATCATCATTAAAGTAAGAATTTGTTTTTCATCCGTAGTATTCATCCTACTGCATATAATCAGCTAATTATGGGCGTCCACTTTTAATTACATTTTACCACAATTTCCAGCAGCCAATCATTGTGCTGCAGTCAAACTTTACATCTGCTCTCCCCTCTCCTGCAGTCAGGTGTGATTTCAGGTGTTTCAAACATCAAGTCATCATATCCAGTGCCCAGGTTAAAACCTGTTAAACCCGAGAGGACCCTAATCCGGGTCTGGCGGGAATTTTTTTTTCACGAAACTGTGTCTCAGGGCTTCTTAATATTTAAAAACCTATTAATGTGTAGCACCAGATTAACGGGAAGAAACTCAGCTAACTGACGATAGGAACCATTTTTACCAAAACAAAAATCTCATAAGAAACGTCTAAATGACCCCCGAGCGAAAAATGCTAACGCACTTGGCACAGAACTCAAGGTAAAGATACCCTTATTACTTATCGTAACTGCACATACAAGATATCCAATTAAAGCTGAGGTTCCACAGATTATATAGGTATTAGTATCATCACTGAGCGATCAGAACTCGCGATAGGGGAAGCAAACACAGACATCACAACACGTAATCCATAATTCAATTTTTATGTAAAAATCGGAGAATAAATATTAGCTGCTAATGGTAGCCACCAGAGTGTATTGCAGCTTCCGGTTTTGGCTACGCGTCACTCTCACTCCTTATTTGGTAACGTGTGTGTGTATGTGGAACTTCCCCTCGATTCCATTGGTTCTAGCGGTTAAAAAGAGGTGTCAATCATCAAAATCGACCAAGGGGGGCCAGAGATATGGAAAATCCACCCAAATGACCCCAGAAGTGGGTTTATTTAGCTAAATCTCTCTAAATAGGTCAAATTTCACTTGTTTTGCATCAATCTTGATACAGGGTACTTATTATATGTTATAGATTCCTAAAGCTTTTAGTCTACTATCCCATCATTCAAGGGTGGTTTTCACTATAAGTAATTTTTTTTTTTGGACGGACACTATAATCTCTCCTGATTGAAAGAATAACAGTAATACAGAACACTAATTTATCACTTTGGGTCCTTTTTCACAAACACAGAGCACATGAGAAACTATATTCAGAATATATTTTTTCAAAGATGTACCCCTGCCCTCTACAGTCAAACCTTTGTAATGTTCTGTGATGGAAATGTCCAGATGTGAGAGAAATCTCACATCTCCTGGTGCCTCACTGAATGTGAAGATGCCGTCCACTTACAGATAATTAGATTATATTATTTTATTATATTCAACGTTATTGTCATTGCACATGAGTACAACAACATGTTTGCATTCAGTGAATGAGGTTACAGTACATTCACATAACAAACAGTGTTGAAGTAATATACATAAATGTTTAATATTAATAAGTAACTTTGGATAATTGGGATAATAATATTTTCATTTTATTTTATTTTATTTAATCGTTTATTTGACAGGGACAATGCACAGCAATGAACACTTAAAACATTCAAATGTATCAAGCGTAACAGTGCCAGATTTAGCTTTAAGCTCATTTCCATCCGCAGTCCCTCACATAAAACATTTAAGAAAATTACATTTTACAAACATAGCAACAAATAAATACATGATATGCAAAAAGTGCAAAAGAGCAAGAGCAGCATACACAAGTATTTATGACATGTCAATACAATATAGCAGCTACGACATATAAAGTGCAAGAGAGGATACAAGAGCTATACCGTGTTAAAGTGCATTTAGCGGTGATTGCACGTCTGTTTGTTTCTCAACCATTCTTTGAGTTGACCTTTGAAGTTATTGAGAGCGGGACAATCCCGTATCTCAGTTGGGAGGCTATTCCACAAAGAGCTGCCTTTAATGGAGAGGACATTTTGTCCAAAAGTGGTCCTTCTACGGTGGACTTCACAGTCTCCTCTGGTTTCTGACCTAGTGCAGCGTCCAGTGTGTTTTTTGTGGATGAATTCCCCTAAGGGAGGGAGGGGGGCCAGTCCATGTAAACATTTATAAAAAAAGCACATACTTTTAAAAGACTTAAAATTGTCTAAGCACAAGAAATTGTGTTTTTCAAGGATGGTACAGTGGTGGGATGACAACCCAGTCTCACGGCATTTCGTGTTATAGTCACGACATGTAATCTATTGATTCGTGTTCACCATCACGATTTTCCCCTTTTTTTTGTGTCACACAGAACGATTTTAAAAGCAATGTATTTCTATTGGTAGTGTGTTTCGTGCCTGCAACTTGTCTTTTTGTCCGGTCGGGTCTCGGAAGACCGGAAGCTGTGTGGTTCATAAAAACATGTTCTTACTCAATATCAAGCCACGATTATTGTTTTTATTTTAAATCGTATAATGTCGGACTTTCTTTGCCGTCTGTGAGGAAAAGAAATGGGGCTCAGAGCCTCAAAATACTGAAATCTGTATTTTTTAAATCTTTTTTTCCTTCTAATTTGTTATTCTTTTCTAAATAACACACTGTTATTTACTCAACAAAAAGAGATATTTTGATCTCAAGGGGCTTTCACCTGGTTAAATAAAGGCTACAAACTAACAAGAAGGACAACCTAACATATTGGTCTCATGGAAAACAGCAAGATTACTTTTCCAAAAGCTAAAATAAGGATTAAAATTAAGCTCAGTTACATTTGTATAGTTGTTTACACTCTAGACTCCATAACAATTTAAAAAAAAGAGAAGGAAACCAATAGCAGTCCCATTTTCAAGATGTACTGTCTGATTAAACATTGAAGCACAATCTATGATGAGGTTTAAAGAAGAACTTAAACTTTTTTTTAAAGAGGAAGAAGCAAGTTACAGATATGTATAAAGGATACTTAGAAGAACAGCTGTGAGAAAGAGAATGAGGAATTGGTTTAACCTTCATTTAACAACTAGAGGTCAAATGCAAGCATCATTTTAGAAATACAAAAATAACACATATCTATACGTATATACATATTTGGAAAGGTGGAATGAATGGATTAATATGAGGATCACAATTCAACAATAAGTAAGGCGTTTGAAGAATCAACCTGTGTGTGTGTGTGTGTGTGTGTGTGTGTGTGTGTGTGTGTGTGTGTGTGTGTGTGTGTGTGTGTGTGTGTGTGTGTGTGTGTGTGTGTGTGTGTGTGTGTGTGTGTGTGTGTGACCTAGCATTACTATCCTTGTGGGGACCTACATCTGTGTACACACTCACGTGTGGGTAATCACCTCCCTTATGGGGACATAAGGAAGGTCCCCATAAGGGGAATCATTCATTTTAGGGTGAAGACTTGGTCAGGGTTAGGCATGTGTTGGTTATGGTTAAGGTTAGGATAGGTCTCCAGGAATTGCATGTAAGTCAATTGAATGTCCCCTGAAGTGATGGAAACATGGTGTGTGTGTGTGTGTGTGTGTGTGTGTGTGTGTGTGTGTGTGTGTGTGTGTGTGTGTGTGTGTGCGTTTGGTTTGCTATACTTGTGAGGACCACTTATTGAGAAACAACTCGTTCTGTGAGGACATTTTTGGTTGTGAGGACCTTTTGGGTGGTCCTCACTAAAACAATGCTGAAATACTCCCCTGAAGGCCTGAACAACATGCTGTGTAATTTTCAGCAAAAGTCCCAACAAGAATAGTAACTATGGAAATGGTCGTTTTCTCCTGTGCTCTTGGGCTCCAACTAGAGGACACACACATGTACTGCATCTACTTGTACTGCACATTTTCTGATTGATTGGTCACTGCAGTCACATTGCTTAACTAGGGAGGGGTAAGGAAGGAGGTGGAAATATAGTTGCAGGTGACCTGACAGAAGCCTGTTACCAGCTACATGTCAACCATGTAGAGGTTACAAATTAAATATAAATGACAAATCAACACAATTCATGATATAAAATACTTGCATACTGTGCATTATCAGTTAAGAATTATTAATCACTAATTATTTTCTGAAGATTTAAGAAGATATATGCCTCCCAAAGCATAGTAGTGATGTGCTTAAGTTTATTAAAAATTAAAATGTCCGCTATTATACAAAATGGAGTCTTTATTATAAAATACGCAATAGTATTTTTCCCCTAACCTTACTGTAAAATATATTATTGGTAAATGTTGAGTTTAAAAATTAAAGTTTAATATAAGATAATTGCTGGAACATATTGTTCTAGTTTATTTTCTGGAAGTGTGTTAAAACTATGGCTGTCAAGCAATTACAAATATTAATCTAATGAATTATATGCTTTGTGATTAATTAATCTAAATTCATGTTAATAAATCAGATATAGCAATATTTGCTGTGAGAAGCATCTCAAGAGGTGGGAAGTAACTAAGTACATCTACTCAAGTACTGTACTTATGTACAATTTTGAGGTACTTATACTTTACTTGGGTATTTCCAGTTATGATAATTTGTACTCCTACCCCACTGCATTTCAGAGGTAAATGGAAATATAATCAAGTCTTAAATCAGACTTTAGTTCCACCTGGAGTAAATTCACAAGCTACCCTGCAGTATACAAAGTAATTAAAACTAGCTGCACCTTTACCAGCTTTGAGAACACTTTAATGATCAATCATTATAAAACATATCATATATATTATTCTGAAATGGACCAATCTGCACAATGACTACTTTTACTGTCGCTACTTTAAAGAGTTTACGAAGAAGTAGAAAATCTGAGTACTTTTACTCAAGTACAAGATCTGAGTCCTTCTACTTTTACTCAAGTACAACATCTGAGTACTTCTACTTTTACTAAAGAACAACATCTGAGTACTTCTACTTTTACTCAAGTACAAGATCTGAGTACTTCTACTTTTACTAAAGTACAACATCTGAGTACTTTTCCCACCACTGCACACCTGACGTTACTCGTAATTGTGGCAACAGAGCTATGAGTTTTGGCAGTGGAAAATATGAAGCCTTTTGGCCGAATGTTTGGACAGATCGCGATAAACTTATGAAAAGGAGCATTGTCTACATCGAGCCTTGTAATGTAACTATTTATCAAGTTGAAAACAATAAGATGTCTCTCTCAGTTCCTTAAATCCTCACCTTCTTCTCTTCTCCCATGTTGTTTTGTTACTAACCCTTTTGCCCTCTGTCTGTGTGAGTGGTTGGTGTTTCTTTCTTGCTGTATGGATGTGGCTCCCATCTTTAGGCCTCCCAATGCTGTCCCTGGTCCTGCTGTCCCTGCATGGCCCTGCTCCTCCTGCATCCCTCACAGCCATTCCCATTGTTTCATGCATTTACATACCATATTCTGTCTTTGCTTTCTAGTCTTGATACCTCCCTTGTGTATTAAACAGTATTATAAGCCATACTGTGTTATGTCCTAAGTATTCACTCTTTCAGGAAACTAAGGTTGCATTCACACCTAATAGTCCTCTTCTTTGGTGTGTTAAAACATTATAAACACATATAATGACAGACTGCAGTAAGGAGGGCTCTGATCAGATTGTACCACAGCCTTTTGTTGTACACAGGGGACCAGTGAGGTGAGCAGTCATAAGCAAATATAAATATATATATACCAGCCTTTGACAACACTTTCATGATCAATCATTATAAAACATATCATATATATTATTCTGAAATGGACAATCTGAACAATGACTACTTTTACTGTTGCTGCTTTAACTATATTTTGATGATAATACTTTTCTACTTTTACTTGAGAAACATTTTGAATGCAGGACTTTTACTGTAACAGAGTATTCTTTTAGACATTATCTAAAGTTATCATTATCATTACTTTAGTATCCACTTTAGTATGATGATTAATTGAAAGGGGACCTACAATACTATGCAAAATGCACTTTTTGATGTCTGTTATACATAAATATGTGTCCCCGGTGTGTCAGGGAACTCGCAAAGTGTCAGTAAACAAAACCCTCTCTCTTTTCCTTCGTACCCACACCTCTCTCTAAAAAAGGAGGGTGCTAACAAGCAGATCCAGAATTTTCGCTCCTATAACGTCATTGGCGACATCCGGCCGACGTGACACGTCCCAACCTATCATCTCCGGCACACGTAACACGTCCCAACCTATATTCTCCGGCACACGTGACACGACCCAACCTATCGTCTCTGTATACAGTCACAGCGCTGTGTGTCTGTGTATTCAGCAGGATGTCTGCTGGAGGCTTAGAGTAAAGTTGTTATATATAATACATATAATGGCACTGTTCTAGCGGTAAACACTTAAGAAAGAACATGTCAAGCTATGTGCTGTATCAGAAACAATGCGCAGCGTGTTTTGGGAGTAATACGCTGTGTGTTTACATTAGCAAGCATGCTAACACTCAGAGCTAACCATGGAGCTAACGCTGTAGGCTACTGGAGAGAATATGTGTAACATAATGCCCTTGTGGTAAAGAGAAAGGTTTGAGCTCCATACTGTTTCAGAAATAAAGCTTGAAGTGGTTAGGAGCATAACATTGCATTTAATCACCGCAGCGTTTAATCAAATCAAATCAAGGTTTATTTATAAAGCACATTTAAAAGCGATTTTTGGTCGGGCCAAAGTGCTGTACATGTAATATTTTAGCTGAGCTTCTCCCCGTAGAAATCTCTCAGGGGAAAGCTGCGTGACGTGACTGAAGTCTATCCAGTATTTTACAGGTAGCCAATGCAGACGGATGAGGATGGGGGTGATGTGGTCAGAGGACTTGGTGCGGGTGATGATCCGGGCAGCAGAGTTATGAATGATTTGAAGTTTATTGAGGAGTTTGATGGGAAGGCCTGAGAGCATGGTATTACAATAGTCAATATGGGATGTGACGAATGCATGAACCAGGACTTCAGTGCTGGATTGAGACAGGGCGAAGTCTGGAGAAGAATGCAGTCCGAGTGATGTTTTTTTATGTGGGGTGCAAATGAGAGGGAGCTGTCCAGAATGACACAAAGATGTTGTGTTTGAGTTGTGCTCTTGATAAGCCATTACAACAGTAAAATAAGTGTCTCCTGTTCACCAAAACATACCCATCTGTTATGGAAAAATAAAGTATTCCAAAAGTATTCTAAAAGTAATCTGAATACGTTACTTTTTTAAGACACGTAACTATTCGGATTCGGATTACTTTCAGAGCCATGTATTCAGTATTCAGGAACTAACTACATTTACAAAGTAACCCTCCAAACCCTGTATATATATATATATATATATATATATATATATATATATATATATATATATATATTACTGTATATCATAGAGTTAAGCTGAATAAGCCTCATACTGCTCTGTCCTGCCTCTTTCTTGTTGCAGAGGTCACAGCTTGGTCAGAGTGGGGGAGGGGAGGGCTATCAGGTGCACCTGCAGCTGCAGAAGCATGCTTTGCAAATGGAAGCTTTGAAGATGCACAGTGAAACGAGCCACAGCAATATTGCCATTTCTCCCGTTGTTGACTCCCTGAATCCTGATGCTATTTTTACATTTACTCAAGTACAAGATCTGAGTACTTCTACATTTACTCAAGTACAAGATCTGAGTACTTCTACATTTACTCAAGTACAAGATCTGTGTATATATATGTACAACATATCCAAACCTTTCAATTACTTCTTAAAGACTTGGTTTCAATTCCCAGTTCCTTGCAAACTTGCTAAAGAAAATGGAAAGACAACTAGGTTACTTTATGAATACATATTATCTATGTTGGTAATGGATGGTGGAGATGATCCAAGCCGTTTTTTAGATAAGCAGATTTCATCAATTAACACAATTCAGGAAGGACTTGTCCAAGTCTGACATGGCATTCACACCTGAGTCGTTCACAGATATTCCATCCAGACAAGGAACTTGACACCAAAAAACTAAAACAGTAGCCATTAACTGTTAGCCGTTAGCTGTTAGCTGTTAGCACACAGAGATCACAGCTCCTCATATCTGTTCAGAAACTGGAGAAAAGTTATAAATGTACAAACCAAAGACTGTCTGAGGTATGGTGGATACAGTCACTGCTTTACAGTATTTATGTCTGTAGGACGGTGTTGTGAGTGTTGACGGAGCAGATATGTTAACTTAGTCTAATCGATCAGATCTCCATTCAGAAATTCAACAAAATGATTCACGTGCACAATCTTCACTATGCTTCATCTAGACGTAGGCTACTTTACTTTAAATAACCTACATTTCTCTGCGCGCTTTCCCTGCACGTCCACGTCTCCAAGTGTCACTCAAAAAGGCCCCATTCGTTTCATATTCTACTTTAAATAACCTACATTTCGTTGTGCTTACAGTTGTGTTGAACTATTAAATATACACTAATGGCTCTGTTACTCGATTTTATGTACTTGGTTGTGTTGGCTAAAATATTTGCTTGCTTAATTCACCGCTTCTGAATCGTGGCTATTGTAACCTTTTGCTCCGATTCTCCCTCTCTCACACTTTCATAACACTCTCTCCCTCTTTCTCTTTCTCTTTGCATTTGACCATCAACTAGCATTGCCTCAGATTCCAAAGGCTCAAGTTGGACCTCTTATCTCTGATAAGTTATAACCATCATAAAATGATGTATGTACTTGAAATTGGTCTGGATCAATTCTCAAGGAAATTACTGCTGGTCTGATTTGAACTATATCAATGTAGTTTCATATTAGACCAGCAGCAGTTCTCACTACAAGGGTTAAACACACTTTTTTCATTTATCAAGGGTAGCCAACACTATGTCAGTGTGAAACTGCTGTCATTGTATTGTTGGGCAAAGAGCCATTGAACATTTGGACCTGTATTAAGGAAGCATATTAGATAGTTAGGTATTACTTGTTATACATTAGTAAAAGGGGTTTGTTTTCAGAGATAGCTCTAATATTTTCAATAATCGAATGAGGCAATCATCTGAAGATAAAATCATAGAAATTGTGAAAATTCAAATAACATAAAATTGTCCTGCAAGGTTAATAGAATAATAACAAGATATTAATCATTAAATGCATTGTCAATATATAGATGGATAGATAGATAGATAGATAGATTGATGGATAGATGGATAGATGGATAGATGGATAGATGGATAGATTGATTGATTGATTGATTGATTGATGGATAGATAGATGGATAGATAGATTGATTGATGGATAGATGGATAGATAGATAGATAGATGATTATCCATCTATCTTAGATAGATAGATAGATAGATACAGTTTTACTGACCCTGTTCATTCTTAATATATATATAGTTATTAAATAATATTTTAATTTAAAATGTCTAGAAAATTGTATAAATGGTAAATGGAAATATATATATATGTGTGTATATAATTGTGCACTCATTTTTATTAAACAAAAGATAGAGAGTAAAATAGATTTTAAGTTCTGTTGAGATATTGCTCAGAATGCATTTAAACCATACTGCATGTTCCTCTGTGCCTCTGTGTTTCAGGGGTGTGAAGTCCAGGTCAGGGTGGGGGAGGGGAGTGGTTAATCAAGAAGTTCATGCACATTATGAACCTGCAAACCTGCAGAGCAATTGAATACCACATTTGCCGCTAAAACTTCAAAGCAGCTAATGCTGCATTCATGCAATACAACAATTACAGTTTTACTGTCCCCGACTCAGTAAGAAGTCCCTATTACAGTTTCTACACTATGTTAAGTAATCTCTCCTTACAAATCTTATTAGGGATAGTTATTTCAAGTGAGAGCAATTCACTTCATAAGAAATATTTTGGTTTTGAAACATTTTGCAAACTCCAACATGAAGACGCAATGTACTTTACATCTGCACCTGAACGCATCATTACAAACATGGATCGGCACCATAGACTGTATATAATCGGCACAGAAGAAGATTACTGAGACTGAGAAGCAGCTCCACATGATGTGTGAAAGAAGCAACACAGCAATGAGTAACGAATTACAGCAGGAAAAACACACACAACTGCTCCAGGTAAGTGATATTTTATATATTTAACTATGTTAGGTTGTTTAATGTTTTAGCATTCTCCGGCATGAGTGGAACTGCTGAGGCTAGGCTAAACTCTAAATTAAGCTAACGTTAGCATGTAAGAGAGCAGAACACAAAGCGTAAGTCTCACATTTATTTTAATGTATGGTGTTGCATGTCAAATATATAAAATATGAATGCAAAAATGCATGCGTTTTTAACCTGACATCTAAAATAATTAAGGCAAGACTGTAACATCTAAAATGTTGCCTGATACATTTGTATATTTTTATCTAACTAATACATATGTAATCTCTACCATCTCAAACTACATACACTTACATTTATAAAATATATTATGCCTTTTATAATATATTTTGTTTGTTAAAATGGATGATGCTCTGACGTCATCACCCTCGCAAATTTGTCATATACAAAAAACTATAGGCTATGTTCAAACTAATTTCGTTCGTTCGGGTCGATATGTGTTGACTTTACTTTAAAATAGCAGATCTCTGTGACCGGATATAGTTTTTCGGTTTAGTGAGCATGTGTCTCTGCTCCGATCAGGAGTCACAGCCCGCAGCCCCCCTCCGATCGCATGACGTTAAATACATGACACTTTTCTCTGTGCGCAGCAAAACAAGCTCGCCAAAATAAGTTCACCACCAGTCTGGCAGTATTTTAAGGTGTCCGAAAATGACAATAAAATAGCGGTACGTGTGTGAAGCAGAAATCCTGCAGCTCCACCCGCTGTGAGGGACTGGTGAGCGGAGCAAAACACACACTAAGAGTTAGACCTAACACACTTAGCTATTTTATCTACCTCTGGAACAAGTTAAACTAGTTATACATATATTTATTCTTCACTCATTACTGGATCAGTGAGCTGCATGAGATACTGAGAGGCTGTCAGGAGAGAGGGAGAGAAGGAGAGAGGGAGAGAAGGAGAGAGGGAGGGAGAGAGAGAGAGAGCCAACCAATTAAAAGGACATGACAATATGTTTATCAGGTGGTTGCTTTTGTATTACTATGTAGTTGATATGTTGTTATTGTGAAGTGTTATAAGTTTGTACAGGAAATAAATACTGATTGCTTTCATTATTGATTGCAAATGGCATGAAAGATCATTCTAATGTTAAAGTAACTCTTAATGTCTGATGTTCGTTTCTCTCTTAACAGAGCTCTCACGACCCGAGCACAAGAGGCTTCATCCAGAACCTGCTGATACAGACGAGAGAGGGAGAAATAGAGTTAAAAGAGTAAGAGAAGTACTTCATTTTATTTCTGGTAGCAGTCAAACTAGTACTGAGTCCAACAGTGTCAGCCTTATTAAGGACTTATGTTAAATATTACTCAAAGATATCAGAAAAACATGCATTATTGTACCCTTGTACTAGGCTATTACCGTAAAGGCACTATTAATCGTCACCTGTATCGTGCAAGAGGGTCTAGCTGGATTGTTAATAATGGCCACTGATATTTATTTGAAGCTTAAAGTAGGCTATCAATTTGTGACTTTATTGCACTTAAATGCCTTTAATAATTATGAGTTTCAGTATTTAATGGTGTGCATTTAGACTGCTGTGTACCATTTTAATTCATTGAGGATTTTCTCAAAGGTAATTTGTTGTTTTCACAGATAATGGAAAGAAGAAGAAGAAAGCAAAACGATCAACTGGTATGTATCAAATGAATGTACACTTAAAATTATAACACACTTTTAGTAGCTGTGACAATAAATCTTTATAGAAAAAAAATGTTATAACCACATTTTTATAACCACAATTAAATAACGAGTCACGGGCAGAATTAAAGTTTGATATTTAATTTGTGTGATATGTGTGTCGCGGAAATACACTTACACACACACATACAACACATTGCTGTACCCTAAATACCCTAATAAAATATACAATATAGACTTTATTGTATTGTGTGAAAGCCTCCGAATGTTTGTAGGATAAGTCGCGAACAATTGTGGATGCCTTCCAGCTGGACACCTGATCTCCAGGGCGGGGTAGTGATGTATGAATACGGCCCAGTCACCTGGGGCTGACTGGAGAGACCCGCTCCGGGGACAGGGTGGCAGTGGGGAGTTTGAATGGGGCGGTACACCTGTCTCTTAAGGCAGCCCCTGATGAAAGCCCTGTTACTGGGCTAAATACATTAGTTACATCACTTCACCACTCCTTTCCTGCAGGGAGACATCCATACTCTCCCCAAAAAGATTGCACTTGGAGCGGGCAAGTAGGGCTCACTCCATGCTCTGGACCGAGGAAAATCATCTCCAGTCAGCCCCAGGTGAAAGCCCTGTGACTGGGCCGTTTTCATACATCACTACCCCGCCCTGGAGATCAGGTGTCCAGCTGGAAGGCATCCACAATTGTTCGCGATTTATCCTACAAACATTTGGAGGCTTTCACACAATACAATAAGGTCTATAATATATATCATATTAGGGTATTTGCTGTTGGCATTTAAATAAGTACCACTTTTTAGTGTTACTACACCTTTACTAATTACTAAAATATAGGCTTTACTACTTTATACTTATTTGCTTTCTAACATTCTTGCATAACATCACATTGTACAATCTTACATTGCATATACTTTCTAACTTCCTTGAACCTACTCATTTACTTACTTACTTTTACTCACTAACTGCATTTTTTTAACCCACGAGTCAGCCCTGTTGATGACTGCTCGCAGTTTACTTTTGTTGACTTTCATTGAGTGATCGTCTTTTTGTTTACTGTTCATTAAGGTTCTGCTGTACAGAAGGGAAACCAAAGAAGGCCCTGGAGTGAGGCAGAAAAAAAGGCTGTGTGGAGTCAACTTGGCAATTGGATTACGCTGATGAAAGTCCCTGGTAAAAAAAAGTGCACTGAGAGATACATGACTCTAAATGAATGCTAATGTCGCGCCGTATTTCCGAGTGTAGATAAGCAGCTGTGTGCTAGCATGTTCACCGTGTGAAATATGGTGATGTCTACGGTGGCCCTGAAGTGCAAGTCAAAACAACATTTCAGGAACCACCACAGCATTTCACTAAAACACCACAGCATTTCAACTTATACGGAAAGGGTATTCCTTTAGGGAGAACACTTCTTGTTTGTGATTGGACAGAGCCAGCCAGAGAAGCACTGCTGTGATTGGTTGTTTTTGCTGCCAGTCAAGAAATGACACTTCGTGATTGGTCAGCACCCGACAGCGCAACATGTCCCAACACATCAGCCGTTAGCTGTTAGCACACAGAGCTCACAGCTCCTCATATCTGTTCAGAAACTAGACAAAAGTTAAACATGTACAAACCACAGACTGCCTGTGTCATGGTGAATACAGTCGCTGCTTTATTTCTGTCTGTATAGGCCGTTGTGAGTTTGGACGGAGCAGCTACAGGTTAGTTTATCCTGATCGATCCGATCTCCATTCAGAAAACACGCATTTTAAAAGGTTTTTCGCCTGCCGTCTGTCTGCAGACTTGTCAAAGCATAAATTCATGGTTTTTACTAACCGGTATCAGTATGTTGTTACTTCGGCATCATTTTGAAACGTGTATTACAATTAAATCACGATTAGAGCGATGCGAATATTCGGGGCTTATCTCCCTGTAAATACTATGGTAGACTACAACAAAATGAACATATTTTACCGTGATTTAATTGTAATACACGTTTCAAAATGATGAAGTAACAACATACTGATACCGGTTAGTAAAAACCATGAATTAATGCTTTGACAAGTCTGCAGACAGACGGCAGGCGAAAACCTTTTAAAATGCGTGTTTTCTGAATGGAGATCGGATCGATCAGGATAAACTAACCTGTAGCTGCTCCGTCCACACTCAGAACAACGGCATACAGACATAAATAAAGCTGCGACTGTATTCACCATGACACAGACAGTCTGTGGTTTGTACATGTTTAACTTTTGTCCAGTTTCTGAACAGATATGAGGAGCTGTGAGCTCTGTGTGCTAACAGCTAACGGCTGATGTTTTGGGGCATGTTGCGCTGTCGGGTGCTGACCAATCACGAAGCGTCATTTCTTGACTGGCAGTAAAAACAACCAATCACAGCAGTGCTTCTCTGGCTGGCTCTGTCCAATCACAAACAAGAAGTGTTCTCCCTAAAGGAATACCCTTTCCGTATAAGTTTAAATGCTGTGGTGTTTTCTGAAATGCTGTGGTGGTTCCTGAAATGCTGTGGTGTTTCCTGAAATGCTGTGGTGTTTCCTGAAATGCTGTAGCGTTTTGTGAAATGTTGTTTTGACTTGCACTTCAGGGCCACCGTAGATGTCAGTGTTGTGTCACATCTTGTTCTCACTGCCCCAAACAGGACAAAAATCTTCAGGGTCAAATACGAGTTGCCCAACCTTTACCAGTGGCCAATCAGAAAACGTTCATAAGTTGAATTCTTAAGTTACTAGTATTACGTGGAGGCCTCTAGTTATTTGTTATTATTACAGTTATTGACTGTGATCTTAAATCCAATATGAGTCTGCCATGACTGTTCTTTCTAAATGACATAAGGTCCCGTAATGATAATCCTGTGTGAATATGGCTTTACAAATCATTTGTGAAAGTTTTGGAGAGCACTGTCAAATGATGCCATCCTGAAGATTGGTTTGCCAGATTGTAGAATTCTCATTTAACAAATCTGTTATTTGGGCGGAAGGACTAGTTGAACAGATTGTGTAAGATTTCTTGAATTTGCCTTAGTTTTCTCTCCCAAGTAAAACAGATGGTTTGTTTATCATTCACTATTGTTCCTCTGCCTGTTGGGACAGTGTTGCCTTGTCCCTTGATCTCAGCAGTGAAGTTATTTTGTAAAATCGTAATCAGTAGCAAATTTTACAAAACTACATATACGTTTCAGATTTAAAGGAAAATGTGTTCAAATGTCTGACACTGGCAACCCAGGACAATGGACAATTTGGCTCAATAATGCACGCTGGCACTCAATCATACCTTTGGGATTGTTACACAGACAGAAAACGTATTTGAAAGATACATTTATCACATAGAATTTCCACACATAATGGCTTAATTAAGCAAACGTGACATTTTTCCAATAGTGTGTTGTTTCCACGAAATCTCACCAAAAACAAGTGGTTCACTCTGTGACACAAGTAGTTAGTAGAGTCAATGTAGAGTTAGAAGAGAGAAATGTTAATGTAGAGTTAGAGTCAATGGACAGTAGGTGAGTGTTTTTGTAACTGTAGTTCAACACACCTGTCAAATAAATCAATCTGTGATTATAGTTCTTGCATTGTTTGTTTTGTGAAGGAAGTAATACCTTGTCTTAGGTCATGTTCACACCAGCCTTGTTTAGTCTGGTTGAATCGAACCCTGGTGCGTTCAACCGCTTGGTGCGGTTTGGCCTATAAGCTAGGCTATATTTGCTTGTGACTGCTCACCTCACTGGTCCCCTGTGTACAACAAAAGGCTGTGGTACAATCTGATCAGAGCCCTCCTTACTGCAGTCTGTCATTATATGTGTTTATAATGTTTTAACACACCAAAGAAGAGGACTATTAGGTGTGAATGCAACCTTAGTTTCCTGAAAGACCTGAGTGAATACTTAGGACATAACACAGTATGGCTTATAATACTGTTTAATACACAAGGGAGGTATCAAGACTAGAAAGCAAAGACAGAATATGGTATGTAAATGCATGAAACAATGGGAATGGCTGTGAGGGATGCAGGAGGAGCAGGGCCATGCAGGGACAGCAGGACCAGGGACAGCATTGGGAGGCCTAAAGATGGGAGCCACATCCATACAGCAAGAAAGAAACACCAACCACTCACACAGACAGAGGAGAAAGGGTTAGTAACAAAACATGGGAGAAGAGAAGAAGGTGAGGATTTAAGAAACTGAGAGAGACATATACACCGGCATAGACTTTAAATTAAATACAGGGGCCTGCAGGCAGGGACTGAAACATATCATTATAGAATATTACATAAATAAGGTTTTAGGATTCAACAATCTCTTATCTCTTTGGATAACTGGACTTAAACTCACACTACATTTTACATGTATACTTAATTTAATATTCCATTCCTACACACTTAATGTATATAATATCCTGCTTTATATTTATTTTGTTTACTGTAAATTGGTATTTCAACATGTATATTTTCTACTTTTTGAATGCTGTTTTATTTCTATTTGTGATGTTTACATTTTAGAATTGTTTATTTCTAGTCTTTTCATTTCTCTTATGTGCAATGCCAATCTTTAATGCTGTGGGCCATAGGGCTCATAAAAGGTTTTTGAGAAGAAAACTTGTCAAAACTGCTGGGAAAAACACACACTTAAATCTGCCTAGCAACTGGCCGGTCCTCACAACACCGACCAAATTCACCACTTGTGTGAAAACACAAGTGTGTTTTAACATTTTAAGTGACTTTCTGACTCACTACCCCCATCTTGTGTTAGAGATATTTTTTTCATCTTTGTGGCTATAGCAGAAAGGGGGGTCCTCACACCCTACCCTTGGGTCATGGTCCTCAAAAGTATAGCAAAACACGTATGTGTGTGTGTGTGTGTGTGTGTGTGTGTGTGTGTGTGTGTGTGTGTGTGTGTGTGTGCGCGTGTGTGCGTGCGTGTGTGTGTGTGTGTGTGTGTGTGTGTGTGTGTGTGTGTGTGTGTGTGTGTGCGTGTGTAGGTCTGTAAAGATGCATGTGTTACTTTACTAATACCTTCTTTCTTTCTCTTTTCCCCAATTTCACTTTTATCATGACATTTTCACTATAAAATATATACACATTGAAGGAATGCTGAACATATGATAACTAGTTAGGATGCTAAATGTAAGCTGATGCACATTTCTGTTTACACCCCCACTCTTCCAGTAAAGTGTGTGTATATACTGTTCATTAAAATAAACATTTTACTCCATCTCCTGCTACATGTTGTTTCTGACTGCTTTCACTCCTACCTACTGTTACTTAACACCATGAGAACTTGAGGGTAAATATTTCCTCTTCAATGTTTCACTTCTTTCTGTTTCATCCAGGTGAGTCTCCCTCTGGTTTGATGCATCTAAAATAAATCATGTAAAGTTCTGGTGAGTTATTTCTCAGGAAGTTGTTATATCTCTCACAGGCTCCGCCCTCTACTGGACTCTATGGATACTACCTTATCATGCAAGCATTCACCTACTGAGATTTCTATAGATGTAGCCGGCCCCGGGGCGGGCCTACCTGAATGCGCTCGCATCGCCTCCTGACCATCTTCCCTTTCTCTTCAGCGAGCGGAAGTGACACTGAGAGCTATACTGACGTATGAGAGAAAGCAGAGAAGATTTATTTTAAATGGAGCCACTCCTGGAACACCGAACCTGTCCGTCGTGCCCTGGCCTGATTGCAGGGGCTGACCCGCACCGCCAGTGCTTCCAGTGCCTGGGGCCGGACCATGCCGAGCAGGGAATGGGCCAGACACCGGCCTGCATTGCCTGTCGCTCGATTCGAGTTCGAGCACTGTTTTCGGGCACACTTTTTTGCGAGGCAAGCGCGTCAGGGTGTGCTCTGTCAGCCGCAGCCCGGACTTCTCCACGGTTACAACCGAGGGAGAGGTGAGTGAGGCGCAGCGGCTGCTAAAGCCGGTCAGGGACAGTGAGGTGGAACGGTGTGCTGGACGACAGTGCGTGTATACATCGGGGCTCCGCCCACTGTACCCATAGAGTCCAGTAGAGGGCGGAGCCTGTGAGAGATATAACGGTGGGTTACGTATTGTAACCCTTGTTATATAAGCACAGGCGGAGCCCTCTACTCAGGGGCACTGTCTGTCCTATACCGCTCGCTGAAGAGAGGTGTAGGATGATGGTCAGGAGGCGAGGCCTCCTTTTATACGGCGGTGAGATGCGCGCGCATTCAGGTAGGCCCGCCCCGGGGCCGGCTACGTCAATAGAAATCTCAGTAGGTGAATGCTTGCATGATAAGGTAGTACCCATAGAGTCCAGTAGAGGGCTCCGCCTGTGCTTATATAACAAGGGTTACAATACGTAACCCACCGTTTTGGGTTTGTTTTCATAAATACAGCTGAGTGAGAGCTTGTTGACCTTCACACCAGGTCCTCCTGCTCCTCTGGTTCTTCTGTCTGTTCTGCAGAGACCATGTTCAGGTCTGAGACGTTCTCATACACAGAAAAAGGCTCTAACTGATGGAGAGAGAACAAGAGCCGAGTCAGAGGCCATCATTTGAGAGAAATACAATTATATTTTATATTAAACTAAAATTATGAAACCAAGTAATGTATATGTGATGTGTGACCTCATTTATTAACAGCAGGTAATAACCAGTTTCTAGAGTAGGATCTGTCACTGTGTAAATGCACATTGGTAGTTCCATTAAGAAAGTAGTTACTAAGGTAAATGCACATTTTCAAGATGACCCTATTAAACATTACATTACATTTCATTTAGCTGATGCTTTTATCCAAAGCGACAATTACCAATTACAGGGACATTCTCCCTGGAGTAACTAAGGGCTAAGTGCCTTACTCAAGGGCACACTAGTGGTGGTGTTCCAGGCGGGATTTGAACTCACAACCTTCCGATCTTCAGCCCACTAACCATTAGACCACCACTACCCCCTACACGTAATAACCAGTTGCTAGAGTACAATCTGTCACTGTCTCACCTCCACAGTCTCTATGGGTTCATTCACTTCAGTGGTAGAGCTCGAAGCCTTCTTCTTCCTGAATTTAATCCAAAAACAAACAGATTTATAAATCATGAGAGTCAGTACACAGGGGAACATATCAATGCTGGATATGATTATGTACAGTATTTGCAGAGTTACCTCATCCAGAGACAGAAAAGGAGCAGAAGAATCAGCAACAGAACCACCAGAACCACCAGAACCACCAGAACCAACATGTTGATGTTAATGTACGTTGTAGATTCATCTAGAAATGGAGGTAAACAGTTGAGATATTTACATAGTAAGTTAACTTACTATGTCTGTGAGTGGGATCCAGGGACCCTCGAACAAAAACACACCTGTCTGCTTTCCTGGTTCAAAAATGTTAGAACGAGCTGCCCATCGACACTAGAACAGCTGAAAGATTACACAACTTGCGTCTTAGACTGAAAACCAAATCTGTTTCGACAGCACGATGGCATTAATGTATTATGTCAACAAACATCACATAACTGTATCGGTAAATTTAATGCAATAATATTACGTTGAAATTCTAAACATTAGGTTAAACTTAATATATTTGGTTCCAACTAACCTAACACAGTTCTGTGAAATCTGTTGACATAATGCATTTAATTAAAGCCAACATTTTAGTTTTTTCAGTGTTGACATTGATCGGCACTGATAAGCAATAATATTAAAGGTGGGGTAGGTAAGTTTGAGAAACCGGCTCGAGATACACTTTTTGTTATATTACATGGAATGCTCTTAACATCCAGATAGCAATGAATATCTGAAGTGCTTTGACAAAAAATCCATAAAAAAATGTCATCTGTGGAAGTCGTAGTACTGTAAAAAGCACGACCAATCATTTTAGCCGGCCCGGCTAAAATAACTGGATGGCCTACCTGCCTGTCAGCCTTCCATCTGTGCACAAACTTATCTCGTGCCCTCATTGGTCATGTGCGCGTTCGTGTGTGTTGGAGGAGGGGCTCTGTAAGGAAGTGGCAGATTTTTTCCGGCTGTGTATTTTCAAATTTTAGCGCACTCGAGCTGGTTTCTCCGAAATTACCTACCCCACCTTTAAGTAGAACGTAATATTTCGTATTAAAACTTTTTGTTATTGCTTTCAACTAACCTAATACAGTTATGTGACCTTTGTTGACATAATACATTTAATTAAATTCAACAGTTCAGTTGCTCACCTTCAACTGGAGATCTGGATTTGTGAAGAAGATAGAGGAACAAAACTCTCAACATACGTGCAAAAACCACACCGTACAATTATATTATTTTGAGCTACTGAACATTTGGAAATATAAAACATGAGTGTTACCTGTGACAGACAAAGTGACTCCACTTAAACCAGTATATGATCCACCTTGGATGGTTTCAAACCCGAACATGTACTCAGCTGAGTCGCTCTCTGTCAGGTTTTTGATTCTCAGAGTGCAGATGTTGTTTTCACAGAGATCCTCTACACGACCTGCATACTCTGAGACTGTTTTCAGATCTACAGGTTTACCACCGTTCTGTTTAGTAAACCAGAATGTTTTCTCAACTGTGTTAACACTGCCTGTGAAGATGCATTTTATCTCCACTGTTGATCCTTTCACTGCACAGATCTCAGTAGAGGAGTAAGTCACTCCCCAGTAATCCTGACCCTGAACCACTGAAACACAGAGCACATCAGAAACTATTATCAGACTCATATCAACATCAGGAGACACATTTTCATTGGTGAAGCTGCTTAGTCCACATTTCTCACAGCTACATATTCTCCAACGCCATCAAAGTAAACTAATGTTATAGCGTCAACCTTTTTTAGGGTAAACTCTGACTGTTTTACTGCAGATTTATATTATTTCTACCTTTTTGCCTTCATTGGATGGACCCCCTTTTTGTACATGGCTTTCTCTAACAGGTGAGCCACATGAGTGCCCCTTGTTGTTTTATTTGACTAAACTGAGCTAAGGCTTGAGGTTGAATTGTCATAAAAAATCAGGTCCTATTGTTAAGGTTGAGCAGTGCAGGGTGGACCCAAGTGCATACAGACGAATGTTTTAACTGAAAATAAACTTTATTTAGGGCAACTGGATAAATGCAAAACCGACAAGTACTCTCATTCCCTCTAATCGCAAAAAGAACCCACCAAACCAGAACTTAAATACATACATGACCAATCAAGATGACAAGACACAGCTGGGGACAATACTTGTGCACCGATACTTTTCATAAACGTAGCTTCTTCTGCATTTCTGAGGTGCATTCACTGCCTTCAAATATAAAGAGATGTACAGTACCTTGTGTAGAGAGAAGGTAGACGACAAATCCTCTCGCTGGTAAACTCATAGCTGCTCCTCTCGTCTCTGATAAATCAGGTATCACATACAGGAGAAATAGGACGTTTCCTCTGTTACTACTGTATGTCAATGTGCTAAAAACACTGCAGGGGTTTCCTTCCTCTTTTCAGTTTGAAAATAGAGATGCCTAAAATAAGGCTTTAGGTTCAAATTAAGAACTTATTCCTGCTATGGTTTTGCAAACGATGCATTTACTTTTGGATGAAACTGGGTGACTCACAATTCAACATTGCAATCCGTGAAACCCCACGGATCCTAAAAAGAGGGACTAACAATTTGCATGGTGGTTATGTTGTGAAAAATCACAATGGACATTTAAAAAAAGTTTAAATCTTGTTTTTTCTGCCTAAAGAGCAATACAAATACGTAATAAAACATTCCTGACTGAGGTTGTCATAATTCATGTATGAAAGGGCTAGTTACTTATCAGGAAAAAAATATTAGCAATTAATCAGACAAGTCATATTTTCATGGCCCATTTTTTTTATCATTTGGATTGACAGAAGACAGAATAACGGTAGTTGTTTTCATTTTACTTTAATCAAATTGTTCCTTGCCTAGAGGACAATATAAGTAAACAATTGGCTCATATTACCCCACTCTCCCCTACAGTACAGTAAGTACAGTACTTTTCATTTAGTTCTTCAAGTATACTGTGATGCTAATACTGTTAGTATTACTTACGTTAAATGTAATTTAGCTGACACTTTTATCCAAAGATGATAATGAAGGATAAGTTAAATATGAATAAAATGAATATTATCAAAATGTAAAACAATAAAAAGGCAATTAAACTGAACAGCAGAGCAGAAAAAGATTGTGGTAAATATATATTGTACATAGAGAAATGTAGGCTACTTTGACAAGCTTAAAAATAGTTTTTCTGTATTGGTATTTATAAATTACAAGCTTCAGCATACGTTAGCTACATGATACTAGTAATCTAGCAGTGAATGTCATAACTCAGACCTTATATTTATACATGTATGTTTAAACTGTTTGAACACTGTTTAAGAGAACATAGATGTTATGTCAATACTCTTGGTTTTTTGTTGACTATGCTGTACAATGCAGATGGATCCTCCGCAGCCTCATGACGCTCTGATCTGTTGATGAAGCAAATTATAAACTCACATTAATGACTAATAGTACATGTTTTTGTAAAGAACGATGAAACAGCAAGAATAACGTTATGTAGCAAAGCAAAATGATCTTTTACTCACTCTGCAGTAGCACTGTGACTTTTAGATGTGACAGTAGAGTAGTCAACATCATCCTCCATGTCCTTCTCGTCCTTCTTGTGTCTGCGGAGATGAGCGGGCTTGATGTTGGAGTAGAGAGCCTCTTCCTGGTTTTTAATGAATCTCACGCTGGCATAGCAAACCTCGGCCTCCTGCTCTGGTGTTGTATTCTGTACTGCAGCTGAAGGGCTGTCATACATGCGTACCTGAAGGAAAAATCACAAAGACAAACACAACATATATTTGTAGTGGTTAGTGTCTCATAGATTGGCCTTTAGCCTGTTAAGCCCGAGAGACCCCGGTACCGGGGCACTGCCGCAACATCTTGCAGGAAACAGTGTGTGAGGGCATGTTCATTTAATAAAACTATGAATGTTTTATATCCATGTAACGGGAAGAAACTCATCTAACTGATCTTTTTTTTTTTTTTTTTTAAAGAAAACCCACAATGCTAACACTGAGCCTCTGAATTAGCAATGAGCGAAAAATGCTAACACCTTACTGCATCGAACATCACTCACAAAACCTTATTATTTATCTTTTCACGACATCCAACACATCGATTCACATCGTGAGGTGACACAGAATCTATTGACACCGACATTACCACTGAGTTATACGTATTTGCGACGTTATAAGCAAAAACGGACATCAAAACAGGTGACGCTAGGTAGCTAAAAATGCTAACATTCTTACCTTGGCTCTGTAGTCTCTCCAAAGTGGTCTTCAATGGCATTAAAACGATAAAAACGCTGCTGAAGTTAATCCATAGGTTAATCTAATGTGTCTGTGTCCCTTTGAAATGATTTCTGATAATCCATAAGCATTAAAACTGCTTTTCCGTTTCCAGATGTCAAAGCTAGAGATAGGTTCACTCTGATGGAAAATTACATGCGCGAAGCCCCCACATTTTCTCTTCACAACGTGTGTGTATGGGGGACTGCCCCTTCGATTCTATTGGCTCTAACGGTCAGAAAGAGGTGTCAACCATCAAAATCGAGCAAGGGGGGCCAGAGATATGGAAAATCCACCCAAATGACCCCAGAAGTGGTTTCTTTTTGCTAAATCTCTCTAAAAAGGTCAAATGTCACATGTTTTGCATCAATCTTGATACAGGGTACTTATTATATGTTGTACTTTGGATTCCTAAAGCTTTTAGTCTACTAACACATCATCCAAGGGTGGTTTTCACTATAAGTCAAAAATAATTTTTGGACGGACACTATAATTTACAGTTTTTTACTATGTAAAATCTGAATTTTCTTTAAAATAAAAAACATCTATATTGATTCTGACTTTTCTACATCCAACTCACAGGTTTATCATTACTTTGAGAAAAAAGATTATTAATTTAACCCTTTTAGAAGGGAAGATATGGTCATTTGTTCTGGGAATGTCATTTTCGAGCCTGAGACCTGAAAAACAGGCTCAGAGTGGAACAGGTTAACAGTTTAAGACAAAATGACCATTACTTTTGCAATGAGGCTTCTTTGCAATTTCAGTACATTTAAAAATTCCAAATCAGGCACCAAAGACTGCTCGATTTATTAAATGTCCTCATCTTTTAGGGTCAAGCGCAATTTTCAAAGCCTAAAAGTGATTAAAAGGTTTGAGGCATAGACTGTATTTAAGAAGTTGATATGATCAATATGAATTTAGCTAATTATGGTTTTGAAGCCTTGAATTTGGTATTTTGCCCACTGCCACCTCAATGTTCTGTTAGTGACATGAAAAGGTTTAGCAAAGAACAAAAAATATGTAACAAAAACTATATTTAGGACTGCAAATGGGTTCAAGTTGTAAAAAAGAAACTGTGGACAACATGTTTTTTGACAACAAGTTGCCCAACAAAAGACTTTGTGCTGCATTAAAGAAGACCTAAAACCAGCAATAAACTCATCAGGAAAATGTATACTGAGGTCATAAATCATGTTAAAAGTAGGGCCATTTTCTCATAGAATTCTACACAATCAGATTCTGTGTTATAGCCAGTGGATTCGCTCTCTGCTGGCCATTGGAAAGAATGCACCCTTAAGGCACTTCGGCATTGGCTTCATTTTTCAGACCTGAAGTGGCTGCTTGCTTTGAGATCACTTCTGTTATTGTCATTGTATCCCCCAATATTTAAAAAATGCTTACATGTATGCAAAGGTTTACATCCCAAGCAATGGAAAGACCAAAGACACCATACACATAATGTTGATAACCGTATGACACAGAATGACTGAGGAAAGGCAAACTAAGGTATGACAAAAGCATAGCTATGGATTTATCAAATTGAATTTAACAGGAGGAAAAAATAAAGTATGATAGGGACTGGAATGGTAATCGCCTGCACACTAGTAAGCACTGCAAAAAGGCCTCTCATTCACCAAACTCACACACAGATGGCGACAAAGCTTCACCGAAAAAGTCCTACATGGCCCATGAAGAGCATCTTGATTACGTTTATTTTGGTCTTTAAACATACAGACAGGGATCAAAGCCCCAACGCTGTGATTAATGGATGACTCACTCTACCTCCTAAGTCACGTTTCCCTAAGGTAAAATATTTAGTTTGGGATAAGGACGTTACCAAACTGGGACATGATGAATTGTTCAAATGAGTTGCAGGTGAGGGTTGACCCTTAGTGATACCTGAAATCTTCTTTCTCACCTGAGCGTCGTTGTCTGGTCTCTCTCCAGCTTCCGTGGATGGTTTCGAGGACCTCTTTCTTCTGGAAAAGAAAGTGAATTAACAAAGAAATGAATCTTAAAATTAAATAACTGTGGCCTTACTGAACGTAATCAAAGTAAAACTGAACTGCTTACCTAATCAACAGAAAGGCAATGAGGAATATGATACACACAATAACAGCAGTTATTGATCCAGCAGCTATTGTTTTCATTGAACCTGGGAAACAGTGGCAATTAGTTTTTTATTACAGGTATTTTTGAGTTCCTTAACAGGTAATAATTAGTTATTAAATCTTAGATCTTAAGAGAGAAGCATTTAAAATAGTAACTCATCACAGGTTTATTTTGCTTTTGCGTCCAATAAATGCTCAACAGCACAAGGGCGTTTTTAAACCGGGAACAACCATTGGTATTTGGTGGTCCCTAATGCTTTGACAATTGAGGGTCTGATTGTGGCCAACCTTGCTCCTCAGACTAAAGAATCATCGTTGACTTAAATGATCAAATCTCTGTCTTAGATTCTTTAGCAGAGCAGTCAACTGATCCCAACTTAGTGATGAGGTTAATCAGGAATGCTGCCCACTCCAAAGAAATACTTAATGGAAAGTTTGGGAAACTATAGTTTTCGATGCCAAAGAGAAGGACTTGAAGATATTCTGGCAATCTGTCAGGTGACTGAAAAAAAAGGGAGGCAAGACCTTTCCTAGCATCTCGTCAAAAGTGAAGAAGTGCTGACCTCGACTGGGAGAGCAGAGAGTGTTGGAAGACTTGCAAGTAGTCAAAAAGCCTCACTTTAGCAAGATGACCAATGGTAAGGCAAACATAAATATTGATTGGTTGTAATGGTTGACAACCCAATGCAGATTAACGCCTGTGGCCTAGCAGAGAGGGGAGGTAGATTATGTCTGTCCTTGAAATTATTGGGGTATGACAAAAAGTCTGGCAACTTTGAGCAGCAAACCTCAGATTTAGAATTAAAAATAAAAATTCTGTCCAGAGAGTGTAACAGTAAATTGTATCTTAGCTCTTCAAAGAACTGTAGTGCTAAAGTTGATGTGCCTCTTGGGATGTCCTGTGGTGCGAAATGACTTACCTGCCACAACACTCAGATTTAAGGTGGAGTTAAGACGTCCTAACTTGTTCTGGGCTCCACAGTAATAACTCCCACTGTGTTCAGCTCTGAAATCAGTGATGTTGAAGATCTGTCCTGAAGCTTTCGGAGAGTCCTCATTCTTCTTGTACCAGGTGTAGTTAGCTGCTGGGTTAGCATCACTGCTACAGGTCAGAGTCACTGAACTGCCCTCCTCTATCTCAGCAGAGGGACTCACTGACACAGAGGGGAGCTTTGGACCATCTGATTGTTACCATGACATATTTTAGGAAATTGATAAGATCGTTAGTCAATCAATCTATTCGCAGCACACACATGTTCTTGATCCTACGATGTGTACTTTGTTCCTGCAAAGATTGTGCCACTTAGCTCGAGTCGTATCCTTAAGGCCCCTACACACCAGGCCGATATCGGCCGTCTTGCGTTGTTGGGCGAAAACGGGTTCCTTGTCGCCCAAAGTCAATTTGGTGTGTCCCGAACCCTCGGCCATGACACGCCTTATTTGGCCTTTCACGGTCGACACCCGGCCGATTCAACATGTTGAATCGGCCGGGTGTCGGACACAAGCTATCGGGCCAAGAAACCACTCTGATCAGCTGTTCAGCTAGCAAATGAGAAGCGAAACGGAAGTGAGGGACGTAAACAAACGATTTAAGGCACAAGACAGCAGCTAAACACCAGCAGGTGATACTTAAAGACATCAAACATAGCCCTTAAATGTCCTCTCTTACCTCCCACACATAGCAGGGACATCTCTGATATCGGCGGGAGCGTCCCCGGCTGTCCTCTGCTGAGAGCTCCGTGATTTGTTTGGTCAAGTCCGGTTTTTCATCTCATCGTAAATTTAGCAAGAAGTGGCCATTATTACATTGCTGACTCAATAAACTACACACCCGCCAGAACACTGCGATCATCAGATGCAGGTCTATTAACTGTGATTTTATAGTATGTCTGCACTTTATGTGCTCATTTCATCATTCATGTATTTTTATATTCTAAAACATGTTTTCGATGGACGAGAGTGAAAATGGAACGCACATGCTATTTGTTTGTTTATATCAGTCTGTTCTTCTTCTCTGTCTTCCGGTTGTTGCCTATTTTGAATGACGAATACACACTACCGCCGCCTGCTGGTAAGGAGAGTTATTGCCACTCACGCATGCGCAGTTCGTACGTGCTCGGCTGAAGTCTTTGCGGTGATTTCCAGTGCGACACACGGCCAATACGTAGGAGAACTCGTCGATGGAACTGTCGGTGTCGGGTGTCGGGTGTCGGCGAGTTCTCTGGTGACTGCCTGGTGTGTCAGGGCCTTTAGTTGAAAGCAACAGTTTATTTGAATGAAACGTTGGTTTACTCTCTCAGCAGACATAAGTGGACCAAACAAATAAAACTGGAAACATGAAAAATGTTTTCATCCTTAAGATTTACATAAAGAAAGCCAAGTAGGCAAATCACGGAGTAACGTATGGAGAGCTCATGTCACGAATAACGCAAATCCTTCAGCTGCAGCCAATAAAGAGTCATCCCTTTATCAAACACAGAGGCATTTTGTACTAAATCAAATGAAACCTTAGAAGTAACAGTGACATATTAGCATTACATGAAATCCAACTCTTTTTTAGAGGTATTGCTTCCAAGCTGGCATGGACTAGAGGAATGAGTCAAGGGATCACAAACCTTCTTTTTACGTACTGTACACATGGCATGTGAATATGTTAGACATCAAAAGCTGATAGACGTCCTTTATGAATTTATTTTAGATAATGTTTCTACCAGGGAATGATCATCACAGGTTAACAATCACTATCTCTACTCAACACATTTGCATTGAGTGAGTTGTTGATGTTTTGTACTTACATTGGACATCTATGTGTACTGATGTAGAGTTGATCTGGCCGTACTTATTCTTAGACTCGCAGTGGTAGTTCCCTTTGTCCTCTAAGGTGATAGAGGCGAGTTGATAAATGTCTTTTGACCCCCCAGGCAGTGTTTGGTTGTCCTTGTACCAGGTGTAGTTAGCTGCTGGATTAGCGCTACCTTTACAGGTCAGCTGCAATGATTTGCCAATCTCTATCTCAGTAGAGGGTCTCGCTGACACAGAGGAAATCTTTGGAGCATCTGGAGGACAAAAGAGAGACAACTTGTTGAATATTTGTTTACAGGACAGTTTTTTGGGCATATGGCTACAACAAACCAGAAGCAGCAACACAATGATTAAGCTCACTTCACTTCCATCTACAATAGAAACCCTGCTCCATGAGACAGGGTGTTATCACATCTGCAAAGATGGCAGATTAAAATATTTCCTGATAGACCTGATCATGAAATTTGGCCGCAAGTTTTCTCTTCATGGCCTCTTCTTTTTGAGGAAGATGCATCACAACAATGTTAAGTGACTCAAAATCTTCTCACACTGTAGACAAACAACGTTTCTCCACAGTTTGTGTAGCAATGTGCCTCTGGGACCTCAAATGTTGCAATAACAAAAGTGACTGCAATTTGTTATGGCTTTACTTAGAAAGACGCTGCATGTACTTTACATGTTTTAACCAAGCGGCAAACTCAGGGGAAGAGCCGGGACGCCAATACGGAAGTGCCACAAACTGCAGTTCATATATTGGCCGATAGGCGCTGACTGCAGAAAGGAGCAATTTCCATAGAGCCCCATGTTAAAATGCCCAATTTCACAGCCTAAAAAAACATGTTTCTACCTATGGATCCAATAAATATTATTATGAATATAGTTAGATTCCACCTTCATGATTATGGATCTGTGAGTGAATTGTTTTCTAACACGACCCTTTTATTTATATTAGGTCTTAAAGTTTTTGCATAAATTAGGGCGTGGTCACATTGAGTGACAGCTCTGTCAGGTGACTGCTGCTGTTAGCTTTTTGTCTCTCTGCTAGCTGCTCCGTCCGTGAAGCTACAGGGACTCTGCCTGGTCAGTTCATCCAGGGAACACAACTTGATCCCGGCCGTGTTTGTTTGTTCTTCATGCTTATATATCGGACTATTGTGACTCGCTCTGCGGTTAAAACAGACGGTGCATGAATGCTGTTTTGCGGTAAGTGAAATTTGAGTACTTTATTTATGTGTTTATGATTTTAATCAGCTACGTAATGAATGTTAACAACTGCTATTTATCTCTCAATATTGTCTGTAAAAAATGTGGTAAAAGTTATGATTTCAGTGAGAGAACAGAGCAAGCTTCTACAGTTGCACTAAGTTTTGATAACAGTTAAATATTATTTTGATAATAAAATATATTTCAATGTTGATGAATGTCATACTGTTCATTCATAATCTGATTGTCTTTGTAGCTCACTGTTGAAATAAAATAAAACATTACAATTACAAAATAATTATATCTACAGCCCCTAAACACAAGCACACCTCTTTCATAAATAACACACTTGTTCTGCAATAATGTTTTATGTTTCCTGTAATTTTTGTTAGGAAAGGACATGCCTGAAAGACACGACTCAACATTTTCTCCTTCTCTGAGGGTCAAGAAGAACATCCAAGAGGAAAATTAAAAGCTGATGTTATGAGATTTTAAGACCAGTACAGGACATTCACTAAGAAACTACTTTTATTGTGAAGTCAGCTGATCGAATGCACCTATTTCCACATCTACACTCCATCAGCTGATTAATTCTATTTGCCTCACTTTATGAGCTTCACAACATGTACCTTGTACCGCAGAGTTTGCAACGCAAATAAATGGGGCCAATCTTCAGTCGGATGTGAATGTGTAATCTAACATTTTCAGTAAGAATAATGGACAAAAGGAGTGCAAATACAAATTCAATTTATTGAAATCTGAACCAAAAGTTAATCAAACATGTTTTAAATAAAAAAGCACATATGGACAGAAGGTGTAAACCTATTAAATGTATAAGTAAACACATTTAGTCAAATAAAGTGACAGACAAGGCCTGTGCAGTTGGTATCAGCTATGCCCAGCATGGGCTCCTCCATCAGGCCTGGTCCTTCTAGCAGAGGAACGACCCTCAGTCCTCTCCAAACCAACAGACTGGACGTCCATCACACGGAGGTTTCTCCCTGAAGTCTCTGCAGCTCTCTGGACACCACGCTGTCTCAATCCGTCCACACTGAATATGAGAGGGGAAAATGAAAATAATAAATGCTTTAGACAATAAGAAATATAAAGTTGACTGTTGAGTTGCTCAGTTTTTTTAGATTGTCAATACTATTACTGTATAACTAATATCCCAGGTTAAGAGGCACCTTCAAATAAAGATTGGTCTTTAAATACATTTTGTCTTTTGAATTGTTTGTCTAAAGTCAAGGATCTAGAACTGGTACTTGTAGTTTTAATGATACAGTCTGGTTATAATGCTGTTTGGAGGAGGCCTCACAGGTAAGAGCACTAACTAGCTACCATCACATGCACCTTAGCTTAACTTAAATGTATTAAACGTATAATTAAGTGATAGCAAAATATAAATAACTAATGTCAGGCAAACATATTAATATTTGCTTGATTCCAGTGTTGCATTTAGCACATTGCATACAAACGTTAAGGGATTTTAAGATTCTGAAGTATTATGCTAAAAACTCAATAACTTAGATTATTATTTATAGTTTTGCTGAATAGTTTCATGTCCGCTTACCTTAGAAACGTAAAATGTGACGGCAGTGTGCTGATGGGGAAGCATGTTAGCTTAGCTTCTTAGCTTGAGCTAGCTCTGTTACTTCCCAGCTGGAGGCAGAAGGTCCCGCCTCGGCTCCGCCTCTTTGCCCTTATTTGGAGCAGGCTGGAGCAGGCGGGAGTTAGACTCAGACGTCACTGTCGAGCCGTTAGTGGCCGACTCCGCCTACTAAGGGCTTCTCGGCAACTCTGCAGAATCCTATGGGTGACGTCACGGACCCTACGTCCATTTATATATACAGTCTATGGTTTTAATACCGCACCAGTGGCATTAAATGTGTCAACATGGTTTCAAGCTTGGTCAGTTAGGAGACTGACCTCCTGCGGTTTTATACACACGACTGGAAAGATATAAGAAAGACACATTTCCAAATGTACATTGAAATAATGAGTTGTTGAGTGGCCACGGTCAGGATGAATATTCATCTATAGCACATTTAAAATGTAAGCACTAGTCCCATTTTATGCCAGTGTCACAGTATTTGCATTTGTAGTATTAGTATACTGTATGCTTGGATATTTATCAGACATGACTGATTCACATAATGTGTTGCGCCCATTAGAATGGTTTATATGTTTTGCTATTTGAACACTAGATGGCGTAATGGGGCGACAGCATATAAGTGATCTCACAGGTGCATTGATTGTGACTGGGAGGGCAATCGTTTTTTGAGCATGTCTATCGTGTCTGTGAACACCAGTGGCGTCGCCTGGCCTGGGCATCCGGGGCTTTAGCCCCGAATGTTTTTTCTGTAGCCCCGGACAATTCTCCCTCAATAATATAATACATTAACCGTGCTTTACGTGAACCTCATCATGACACAAGAGAGGACGGCAGCACTGTAATTTCCCGTGTTCAGTGAATGCAACAGAGGCATGACACCAGACCAATCAGAGAGTTGCATGGAAATAAACGTGTGCTTGTGTCATTCAAACTCGGCTCTGTGTGTGTGTGGCAATAGCGCATTTATCACATAGTGTGATAGAGAGAGAGAGGGGAGAGAGGGGGAGGGAGGGCCCGGTGCCAGCATGGACCGTGTTGTTAGCATCTGGTTAGCTAGCTGCACTAACGGACATAAGGAGCTGTTTGTTCCACAAGAAGCTGGAGGTGAGTCCTCTCCTCTCAGACTGAGAGACTCAGGTGAGCTAAAGGACTCTCTGAGTGTTTAGATACATAACTTTAGTCTAAGTTATCTCAGTGGGTCTCAAACAGTTTGGTCACAAATTATTCAAAAGATTATTTCCGCGGCACACCTTCATATGATCATTATAGTTATAAAAAAAAAAAGAGAATAAAGGAAAAACAGTTATGAAATACTATATGGCAGTAAAACAAGAATAGAGTTTAAAAGGGGAGTGATTAGTAAAATATCCATAAAGAAAAAGTACATCTGTTTACAGTTCTGCTTCATATGGGTGTTGAGAGAGGTATCCATAGATCTCTTCATTTGCTCTCAAAGTGCACCAGATTGATGCATTTAACTTCAATATTTTAAAAAAAATCTTCCCGGGGGAGCGTCCCCCCGGACCCCCCTAGAGGAGGTGAGCCCCCCACTCATAAAAAATACCACTTTACCCCTGCCTATATGCCGTGAGCTGATTATCGAGCCTTCATTGTAACAGTGTACTGTGTGTGTGCGTGTGGGGAGTGTTGCAGTGAAAAATGCCACTAGTGCCGCCGCCACTGTGGGCTAAGCCCCGAATGTTTTCAGGTCCAGGCGACGCCCCTGGTGAACACGCTGTGTTTTTTGAAAATAAAAGATATTGAAAGCTAAACTTCTGACACCATAATAAGGCATCCGACAGAGCTATCCTTAAATACAGACCAGACTTTTACTGAAACCTAAGGTCAAAAGAGGATGAGAAGCACTCCTATGATTACTGATGTTACTGAGGCTTGCCCCACTGCAGCTGCTCATTCTGACTTTCTTCTGCTAACAATATATTCAGCCTTTCTTCCATGTTGGCAGTACTGTGCATGAATTTTTCTTGGATTTACACTTTTGCCCAGTTATGGGAAAGTTCTGCTCCAGTTCTTGAGGAGAAATGTGTTAACAAAGATGACCCTATATTGTTTCTCATGTAGTACATGTTGTACAGAGTATTTAAATCACAACATGTGAATAGCTCTGTGTAGATGCATTTTAGACTTTGAAGGTGGAGTGACAAATGGATGGGTCATTTTTTTATTCTGGGACTTTAAACCCAACAAAGCTTCTATAATCCCCTGAAGCTTCTCAGTGATTACACCAGACTGTTAATGTAAAGCAAGTAGAAATAAGAAACTAACTACAATCACTCACAATGCACATCAATAGAGTTGTCTTTAGATGCCTTCGTCCCCAGCTTGTTCCCAGCTGTACAGCAATACTGTCCAGAGTCAGAGGAACTGATGGAGCTGAAGACAAGCTGTGGTCCTTCACTGAGAGGAGGAAGGTCGGGATTTCTCCTCCCTTTGTACCAGGTGTAGTTAGCTGCTGGGTTAGCATCACTGCTACAGGTCAAAGTCACTGAACTGTCTTCCTTTATGTCCTCTGAGGGACTCACTGACACAGAAGGAACCCTCGGAGCATCTGGAGGAGATGTGATAACAGAGATTATTCCAAGACAATGTGTTGTTTACTAGATTAGCAAAATTGTTATTAAAAGTTTAAACTGCTGAGTGAAGCTGCATTTTGGATTGAAGGTGGTCCTACAAAATGCATGTTTGACGGTTTGAATCTGGGTCCCAAATCTGCATAAAATGTCACCCTTAAACCACGATACATTGCACTAAGATATCCGTATCTTAACGGACAGTTGTTGAGTATCTCCTGAGAAATGCATAGTTCTCAATTGCTTCCGTGTACTGCACTAAACAGCAACTAACCAATAACAAATCCTGACTTTATGATGAACCACATATTCGTTTTTATTTCTCTCTCCTCCAGTCAAATGGTGCACAGTACTGACTTGTTGGTTGTTACTGAATATGTTACCACCAATAACACAAATATATAAACAAATGGTAGGTCATAAAAAAATATAACGGTGAAAGCAGGTTATTAAGGAAGGATTTTGAGATACCTATTGACATTAATTAAAGTAAATATTAGTTAATTTACAAAATATTCAGTAGGTGTTTCGCAATTAAAGGTGGGGTAGGTAAGTTTGAGAAACCGGCTCGAGATACACTTTTTGTTATATTCCATGGAATGCTCTTAACATCCCGATAGCAATGAATATCTTAAGTGCTTTGACAAAAAATCCATAAAAAAATGTCATCTGTGGAAGCCGTAATACTGTAAAAAGCACGACGAATCATTTTAGCCGGGCCGGCTAAAATGATTAGTTGGCCTACCTGCCTGTCAGCCTTCCATCTGTGCACAAACTTATCTCGTGCCCTCATTGGTCATGTGCGCGTTTGTGTGTGTTGGAGGAGGGGCTCTGTAAGGAAGTGGCAGATTTTTTCCGCCTGTGTATTTTCAAATTCTAGCGCACTCAAGCTGGTTTCTCCAAAATTACCTATACCCACCTTTAAGTAAACATTACCTACTCTATAAAATGTGATTAGAAGTTACTGCCTGTACATCATTTGTTACCTATTTGTTATCTGGATTCCATGCAATGTGAAGCAGGTAGAGTTGAAGAGAGTATTTATGACCATTACAATCTTCTCATGCAGAACTAGACAGATTTAAGCTGAGTTACAACTGACTGTAAATTACATCGATAATAACCAATACTCACATTTCACATCAATAGAGATGTAATTAGATGTCCCCCTCCCCAGCTCGTTCTCAGCTGAACAGAAATACTGCCCAGAGTCAGAAACCTGGATGGAGTTAAAGACAAGCTGTGGTCCTTCACTGAGAGGAGGAACGTCTGCATTGCTATTCCTCTTGTACCAGGTGTAGTTAGCTGCTGGGTTAGCATCACTGCTACAGGTCAGAGTCACTGAACTGCCCTCCTTTATCTCAGCAGAGGGTCTTGACAAAGAAGGGTGCCTCGGAGCATCTGGAGGAGATGTGTGAACAGAAAATATTAAGAATGTGTTTCTCACTAGATTAGCACAAAGGGTATCTACATTATTGAATGCTGAATGAACTGTAGCTGCATTTTGGACTTCGAACATGGTTTGACAAAATGCATGTTTGACGGATTTAACATTTGTCCAAAAGGTGCACAACATTGAAACTTTACACTACAATAAGGTACACCTGATTTTTAGTCGATACAGGGCAACGAATGAAGACTGTGATGTTAACCTGTTAATCACTATGAACTAAAATGTATTATTGAAGATTATTATAATTATCTTATTGTTTGTTCACCTCCTTAACCTGTTGTTGGGTTGAGGAGCTTGGGAAAACGCTACAAAACTCAGTATTAAATGTTTTTCTTACATTGTTCATATTATAATAATTTACCTTAATGGGTTAAATATAAATGAATAAATATTAGAGGGTGTGGTACATAAAAAAGAGTCTTCTTTGCTATGTTGAGTATTTCTCTGTGGAAAGGCTGCTGCAGGGTGTGAATGGAAACTTTAAAGAAAAGCAGAACATTGACGCGTGTAAAACTAAGATAACAAATTACTGACAGAGAGTTTATTTTTAAGTATTGGACTGCTAATTGCTTTCAAAAGTCGACAAAAACCAAAAACATTGATTACTTCCTGTATGCTGCACCTGCTATATCTCTCCTCATTGACAGAAGGAAAGCATCATCTCTGCAGAAATGTCTAGATATTTATCAAAGCTACAACAGCAACTGAACAACATGTATTTAAAGTTATGTTGAGGACTGCAGGACGATAGAGGAAGTTCAACACAGCGATGAATTGGCAATTATTTAAAGCATGAGTTGTTTGTTAATGTAGGTACTGTATGTACAGTCATTATTTCCATCCATACAGACATAGTGTTACCATGCTAAATGGTGCTGTATTTCTAAAGTGTTTAAACTATCTTACAATTTAAATGTAGATGTACAGTACGTCTCACAGAGAGGAGGAACACAACAAATCCACTCGCTGCTGCAGTTCAACTCATAGCTGCTGCTTTTATTATTTCACCTCCTTAAATTATCTTGTGGGCTCTCAACATGATTACATTACGTTGCAGGTGCTTCCAAAATCTAAATGTTCTCATCTATCACCTGCAACCTTGCATGACCTACAGTCATTTGTGATATCTTTCTTTGTGGGGTATCTTGGTGCCTAAAGGATTTTCTGTTATTGTTGATATTTAGTTTTGTTTGTAACTCTTCTTTATTCAAAATGAGGTTTCCACTATAATCTATGTCTTCTGTATGTCTCTTTACCTAAAATGGCTTATTTACTGGCTGTAGTTAAGCTTTCTTTTTCGATATATATAACTGCGGCATCTGCATTCAGATTCAGAAGAATCCTGTGAAATTGTCATTGTATTGTCAGTGTGTGTGTTTATGAGTAAACTCACACACTGCAGGAGAGGGGAAGCCTTCATGTCCTTCCAGAGCACATGAGATCCTGTCTGCGTGGTGAAGCAAGCCTTTATAAGAAAATGTCACCGTCTTCATGATTTTCTCGTCGTTCTTGAACCAGACGTAGGAAACACCGGCTGGACTGCAGCTGCTGTGACACTTCAGCTCTGCTAAGGTATTAGACTGCTGGACTGTTGCTGTGATCACCTGCACCTGCAGAGCTGGATATGAGAAAAATAAACATTTGAAATGACACAATATTACATCACTTGGTCCAGCGGTTTATTCAGGATTTGTTATGTAAGGGGGGCTCTTTGTCGTCAGGGGTAGGGGGCTGACAGATGAAGAGCACAGTCTTTTTAATAGTCACATTAAACTGTTATTCATTTACATCTTAAAATATTGCAATATACACACTTTTACCGATATCAAAACGTTCCCTTTACTTCTCTAAGTGCCATTTTCAATTACCATTTCCGTGTAATCAAGCTAAAGGAAAGTGAAATGCAACTACAAGTGACTGAATATACCTTATCAAGCAGGACCATGGGGAAAGTGATAATCACAATTATATATCATAATTATTGTGACATAAACATTAAGAAACAGCGCACTGCTCTGACTTCCAATGTTAGCCACAATTGTGCTAACTTAAAAACTAGGGATGCACCTTATTAGAACAAACTGAAATTGCAATTTCACTTTTTATTGCAATAATTAAGAATTACAGAAAACTTCAACCCAAATGTTGCATTCTGAAGTCAAATGCATCTCTTAAAACTTGAAATGTAAAGAAATGTGAGGTCCAAAGATCTCTAACGCTGGCTGGTGGTTTAGGAAGAATTTGATATTCAGCAATGTTAACTTTTTTTTCGTAAACATATTAATTGTTGAATAGCTGCGAGGCTGATGACGTGAGAGCGAGGACTGTATTTGAAGGTATAACGTATATGTGTATTTTCATCAGTGAGTGATGATCAGTACCTGTGACAGTCAGAGTTGTTCCAGATAAATCACTCCTCCATGCAAAGCTTGGTGTTTTGAATTTGAAGAGATACTGAGCTGAATCTGAGTCTCTCAGGTCAGAGATCCTCAGAGTGGAGCGTCCTCTCTCTGTTTCAAGGATCTGAACACGACCTGCATACTGGGAGTCTTCACTAAGGTCCTGATGACTACGCTCAGGACTGAACCAGAATGTAGATTGAACATATTCATTACTGCTGTATGTGCAGGAAATGTCCACTGAAGATCCGTTGAAGGCACAGATGCTTCTTTCACTGTAAGCCACTGTATTGCAGTCTTGACCATTAACACCTGAAAAATGAAATATCTTTAGTTAATTATTATGAAAATGTAATTGCCTTAACTCAAGGCTGAATGTATTGATGTGGACAGTGTCTCCCTTTTATGTAATAAGGTATAGCATCATGTTGGTGGAAGACTGTAAGTGAACTCACACACTGAAGGAGAGGGGGAATTCTCATATCCTTTAACAGCACAGGCATAGCTTTCTTTAGGATAGAAATAGTCATAAAAAGATTCTCCTTGTTTTGGTGATTTCAGTCCATTCTCGTACCAGATGTAGGAACGATGGTAAGCTCGAGGACAACTGCTGAGACACTTCAGGGTTGCATATATACAGCTTCCTGCACAGGAACTTGTTTTGGTCACCTTCACCTGGAGACCTGGATTTGTGAGGAAACAATCAGGTTAAACTGAACTGTCATTGTACGTGTAGTAGAGGCACTGACATTCACTGCAGCGTTGACCAAATGTTGAGCTAACTTACAAAGTTACAAACAAAGTGTTACCTGTGACAGACAGAGTGACTGGTTCACTAGCATAAACGTCTTGGTTTGTTATGATCCTGAACCTGTACTCAGCTGAGTCGCTCTCTCTCAGGTTTCTGATTCTCAGAGTGCAGATGTTGTTTTCACAGAGATCCTCTACACGACCTGCATACTCGGACTCTGTGGTCAGATCTACAGGTTCACCACCTTTCTTCTGAGTGAACCAGAATGTTTTCTGTACTGTGTTATCACTTCCTTTCCATCTGGATGGGTATGTGTAGCTGCATCTTATCTCCACTGTTGATCCTTTCACGGCACAGATCTCAGTAGAAGAGTAAGTCACTCCCCAGTCATCCTGACCCTGAACCGCTGTAACACAGAGCACATCAGAAACATTCATCAGACTCATTAGACTTTCTTAGCTTTATCAAACACATCTTTTTACTATTTTATATTATATTAATTTACATAGACGGGAATGTTCTGATGTTTGTTTCTAACTGGGTTTATACTTTTAAAATGTTTTAATGTTGTTTCCAGTGAACAGAGGCATCAACAACATATATAATGTTGACGTAGGACATCATGCTGCAGTGTATTTAACCTTTAACGCATTATTTACCTGATAAATACTAAGATAAATACTTAGATTTCAAACCTTAGAAAAAGATAAGAATAACATATTAGAGGGTGTGGATCAGAACAAAGAGTCTTCTTTCCTGGCTTGCTTTTCTCTCAGTGATCAGGCTGCTGCAGGGCGTGAATGGAAACTTCAAAGAAAAGCAGAACATTGAGGCGTGTGATATTAAGATAACAAAGTATTGTACTCCTAATTGCTTGCAAAAGTCTACACAAATGTTTCACGTTGCACCTAGGTCTCCTCATTGTCAGGTGAAAGAAAGCATCTGACTTCTCTGCAGAAATTTGATATTTATCAAAGCTACAATATCCACTAAACCACATGAGTATTTATTTAAAGTCATGTTTCTAAATGACTCTTAACATAAATCCAATGTTCAGTCTTGTTTTGTCAGATAAATACTACTATGTCCCCATCTTCATGCTGCAGTAACTTTGTGTATCCTTATGTTGGTGATGCCTGAAGTGTAGAGTTTTAAGAGGTCTTATCATTGAAGAAAGCTGCATATAGCACCTTGCGTTGATAGTTACTTACTGCACTAACTTGTTACTGTGATCGCCCCGGTTCCTTTTTTGCATGTCATACCCAGATCTCTCTTCCTGTTTCCAGTTAGTCTTTACACTTTTCACCGTCCAATGGAGGCAAAAAATGAAGAAAATGCAAAAGCTACGATCATGTACATGCATGCAAACAGACGTTCATGCATTCACGTACACACACCTTCACAAACACTTGACCTGCAGGAACAAAACTGTGGCCGCCATAAAAGAGAGAAAGAGCGTTCAGTTGCAGGGCGCAGCTGAAAAACAGTAAAGTTGTTTTTTTGCCATAAAAGCAAAACAATAATCTAAAAGAAGCTTAAACTTTAGTGAGGTGATTATTATTGTCTTTTCATTTCTACAAGCAACCCCTCATTCCTTTGACTCATTGTTCATTAAAAAAGTATTCATTAGTGACGCTTTTTATCCACGTTGCAACTCCTACCATAGGTTATCTCTTAAAACACTAAAGACATGACACAAGCTCATGTTATGTTATTGATTTATTACATTATCAAATACTTCTAAATGTATTCTAAGGCGGAAAAAGACTCGCTAAAGTTAAGTGTTGAGGACTGCAGGACGACAGAGGAAGTTCAACAGAGCGATGAATTCTAATTTGCAATTATTCAAAGCATGTTTTGTTTGCTAATGCAATTATGTACAGTCATCATTTCTATCCACACAGACAAACACTCTGTTTTTCACTCTGAGGTGCATTAACTGACTTACAATATAAATGTAGATGTACTGTACCTTGCACAGAGAGAAGGAAGACCACCAATCCACTCGCCGCTGCTTTTAACTTCATAGCTGCTCCTCACGTCTCTGTTAGATTTGCAGGTAGATCACACATGAGAAATACTCTATCAGTATATCACCAAAAACAGCTCTACAGAAATAAGGAGGATATGGTCTTTGAAGGCAGTGTGTTCCTTCTGCGGCTGGTTTCCTTCCTCTTTACATTATTACTATGCTTGAGAACATGAATTACTGTAAATCCCCAAAATAAAAATTAAAGTGGACCTATCATGCTATATTTGAATAATATAGTGTAGGTCCATACCTATATAAGGCATATTTATACTTTTTTTTTTTCAAAATACCAAACAGATCATGCATTTTTGGCCATGCCTCATTTCGCTCAATTTGAAAAATGTTAGCTCTGTTTTTGCAAGGGTTGATTCTGTGAGCAACAGCACCATCTAGAGGCCTGGCATATGTACTACAGCGTCTCCAGCGCTTTCGAACGGCAATGGCCGTGGCTGTCTCCTCCTGATTGGTGGAGTTGGCCCAATAGCCGTAGCGCCACCGTCCTGACGTCAGGAAAGTGTTCAAATCTGGATCAGTTTTTATCAGATCCGTTGCAGCCCCTTTTTTAGAGATTTGGGTATGGAGGAAAATAGAGAGGGTTGTGTTTTCTGACACTTGGTGAGTTCCCTGGAACACCGGGGATACATACAGATGGAGCATCTTATTTCAGACAGTTTGAAACGCGAGGGTCGTGATTGGCTCGTGCACGGTCCGTGATCGGCCCGTGATCGGTTCGTGATGAAGAGCCTGCCCCCAGTTTGACTTGATACCGCCCCCGTGATAAATAAATGTAATTATTGTGAAGCCAGCTGCAATGGATCATTGATCCACCAGGGGGTGCAGTGGGGTTCCACACTGGAGCTCATGTGAAATCAACTTCGATACAGTAAGCTGGATGTACAGTATGTCTGGTACTAATGTATAGCAGATCTTCGTTAAGATCCATGTCACGGATAGGATCATAGTCTGTGCTAAATAAGGCATGTAATCATTTACAAAACATCACCATGTTGTTATTTAACAAAATAATGTTGTTTAGTCGAAAAAAACGAACGAGAGGAAATGCAACCGGCTCTCCCGATTTTTAATCCTAATTTAATCATCATCTTCACCACGATCATTTATGTTTATGTTCGCCGAATTGACATGAAATCACTGACAAATATGAATATTCTGTATTCAACTTCATTGAAACGATCAGGATCCTTGGGTGTTATTTTTCCCCACAATGACCAAGTCGCTGCAAATTATCCCGTTTATTACATGGCCACATTCTCAACAAAGTAACGACATGACTCCCAATCTTAATTGAAATGCTTTTATGGATTTAGAAAATGTTTTTATTGATTTAAAAAATAGTTGTATGTATTGATTTAAATTGACATGCATCCGCTAAGAGAAATAGTCACTAGTCCTCTGTCTTCAATGTTCGACATCGCGTGAAACAGAGGATTTCGACATTCTGTATTCATTGCTTACTTCCTTAAACCTTTTCTCCTCCTTATCTCTTTCATGACTTTTTATTTAATGCTTTATAACAGCTGTAATAGTTCGTTTAGAAATCCTAGAAACACTTTTACGGCAGCTCTCATTTACGGTAACTCCTTCTGACGTCATAGCTACCCACGTATAATATATAAACAAAGTCTTGGCTTTCAGAATATGAAACCTGTTATTTCCAAAATCACACGATAAATACATTTGTGAAGCTTGTAAAGGGAAGATGACAGGCACCTCTCACTCGCAATCTGCTCCTCCGCAGTGTCACCCCCCTCCCTCCGGCTGAAATTATGAATGTACAGTAAGGCATATAGTAATCATAGATAACACGGCAGGGTCCGTTACAGTTTGTTTTCATCTGATTTCAAATAAACAAAGTCTTGGCTTTCAGAATATTAAACTTGTTTCGGCAAATTTAGACGATAAATACAACTATGAAGCTTGTAACGGCATAATTACAAGCGGAGAACGGAGTAATTTAACGTTACAGCAGGCATAACAACAGCCGGTGTTTATTTTATTATTATATATAGTCGTTATTCATTTGTTTTAAAGCTCAATAAGGAAGATTTAAACTTTCACACACGTTGACCGGCGAAAAACTCTGCCCGGTTCCCTCGGCCCCCACCACGTTGAATAAACAGAAGGCTGCTTTTGTGGAGGAAGTTACAGTGCTACGTACAGGCTCGGCATATGTACTGCAGCTTTTTCCAGCGGTATCCATAAATCTCTTAATTTTGACCTCAAAGTGCACCAGATTGATACATTTAACTAAGAAAAACATCTTCTGTTGTAACAACAATAACATTATAAATAGTAACATAGCTGAACATGGTATTGCACATTTAGCTTTCAGTGTTACTGACCTGAGATGTTTTTATTACATGAATTAAGGTGACTGAGGCTTTTTAACATAGACTTTTCAGTGTCCCACATACCGTTCACCATCCCGCACCCCCCTACTGTATGTTGATTTTTGACTTGGTTTGCCTACATGTAAATGGGTGGCATTTAGTACCTACCCCCCTCTGAGTGAATACCTGCTTAGCTACTTGGCACTAAGTACAGATATGTCTACCCTTTCTTCTTAGAGTTAGCCAAGAGGCTATTTTTCATCTGTTTGAATTTGTAATACAGTGTGATACTGTACATTATGCTGCACTGTGGGAATATTATCCTTAGGCGGGAAATGTATGTAAACTGGAGTCTGAAATAAGCTACAAATATGTATTTCTTAATAAACTAAATAGGCCACCATTGGTAGCAGTTCTCATTATATACTTCTCAGTAACTGCTCCCCTTAAATTAAATGTATTCTGTAGATTTTGGGGATTCATTAATGCATTTATTGCCATCACCATGCTTTTTCAAGACTCTTTTAAATTCTATCATTTTATAAGGACTTTTCAGATGTCTGAGTGTAATATCTGCATTTTCTATTTTGGTTTGATAAGGACACATCCTGGGGATTGTGTTTACAAACATTGACCATACCGTTCACCATCCCCCACCCCCCTACTGTATGTTGATTTTTGACTTTGTTTGCCTACATGTAAATGGGTGGCATTTAGTACCTACCCCCCTCTGAGTGAATACCTGCTTAGCTACTTGGCACTAAGTACAGATATGTCTACCCTTTCTTCTTAGAGTTAGCCAAGACGCTATTTTTCATCTGTAGTTAGTTAGATTTTAAAAGTCAATCTAAAACACATTTCATTTTAAACAAGTACATACAATACATTTAAAATATGCAACATACACCGTAAACAAAATCTGTAATCTAGGCAGTAAATTGCTGTATTACCCACAGTCATTTACTTTGAATTTGTAATACAGTGTGATACTGTACATTATGCTGCACTGTGGGAATATTATCCTTAGGCGGGAAATGTATGTAAGCTGGAGTCTGAAATAAGCTAAAAATATGTATTTCTTAATAAACTAAATAGGCCACCATTGGTAGCAGTTCTCATTATATACTTCTCAGTAACTGCTCCCCTTAAATTAAATGTATTCTGTAGATTTTGGGGATTCATTAATGCATTTATTGCCATCACCATGCTTTTTCAAGACTCTTTTAAATTCTATCATTTTATAGGCCTATTTAAGTATCACTTTTCTGAAAATAACAAAGCAGGGTTGAGGAAATATTCCCAACTGCATCTTCAAAAGTAATCCAAATAGCTACATCAGCATCTAGCAAATGAAAAGCTTTCTTTGTAGACACACAGATCAACTGTAGTGGCACAGTGTATATATATGCTATATTTAGGGTCGATATGTGATGAATTTACTTTAAAATAGCAGATCACTGTGACCGGATATAGTTTTTTCGGCTTAGTGAACGTGTGTCTCTTCCTCCGCGGCTCCTCCGTGCAGAGAGTTTGCAGCGGTGTGTGTCAGCAACGTGCAGTCAGGGGAGGCACGGATTGGCCGTCGGGAGAGTCCCTGTGCTGTGAATCACAGAACGGCCGGACGCCAACGGCCCGGTTCGCTTACGGCCGACAACAACCCCCCCCCCCCCCCCCCCCCCCCCGTTGACAATTCACGAGCGTCTAACTCTCCCCCCCGTCCCCCCCGTCGCACCTTCTAACAGAGCCCCCCCCCATATCAAATCCCAATTTTACCCCTGGCCTCCGGAGCAGAAATGAAAGAGTTTTAAAAATGTTTACGTTTTGGTAAGTTTTTAGGGAAATGTTGTAATATTGCAACGTTGGCCTTAGGTGGGAGCAGAATTTCTGTATTTCAACTCACATTGTCTGAATAAATATAGTGAACAACTAAGGGTTAATTTGCAGGATTGATTGCTTACTTAGCCCTATATCAGTATATAGCATGAATAATAATCACACATCACTCATATTTGTTATGAATAATCATTTATCATTTATTAAATAGTAAGTCGCTTTGGATAAAAGCGTCAGCTAAATGCAATTTATGAAAGCCTCACTCATGATTTTTTTACCAAGTGTTTTTATTGCTCTTGGGGCATTAAAAACAAGATTTTAACTTTAGTTTTTTATATAATATCTGCATTTTCTCTTGTGAAAAACTAAGTCTTAGTTTGGCCATAGTTATTTAATATATAAAGACTATATATTATTGAATTACAAGATTAGATATACTTCATTTTATCTAAAATATTGATATGTTCAAATGCTCTTCTAAACAAAACTGAAAGTCCATGAAAGTTGTCTTCCTGTTTTTGTGAAGGAAGCGCCATCTCCTGGTTAAATCCTGAAATTGAAAATCTGGCAACGCCCTCTTGGAAAATAGTGGGAGGGCTTAACATTCCCAGATACTGGTCTTTGGCAGGTCTTAGGCAGGTAACTGGCAGGTAGTAGGCAGGAAGCAGTAAGCTGGAGTCTGAAATAAGATGCTCCATCTGTATTCATGTATAAAAGACGTACAAAAGTGCATTTTGCATGATAGGTCCCCTTTAAGTTAATGGAAATGACAAGCAGGGACTCCTTTTGTCCCCGAAAGTGCATCTCACAATTATCTTAAGGATATCAAAAAACAAGGTTAACCCCTCATTTGATCTCTTTTTACCTTATATTACAAGTAAGGATCAGTGTATTTAAAACCCAGGTACAAAAGATATTTGTGCCATAAACATGCACCGTGACGGCCATTGTAGTCTGAGTGTACGTGTAAAGTAAAAGACAACCACATTTACTTTATTTGTACCTCATGGCTTTCTAAATGTTAACATTAAGGCGGTAGACAGAGTGCACGTTGTAGAGAGAATGTTTGAGACCAGACGTTTAGATGTGGTTTGCGTCTACACTGTACATCATCAGAGCTTCCTGTTAGAGTTTCAGAAAGACTTGTGGTTGTGGTTTTATAAAAGGAACAGCTGAGGTGGGACGTGTACAGCTGAGGTGGGAGGTCACAGCTGAGGTGGGAGGTCACGGCTGAGGTGGGAGGTGTACAGCTGAGGTGGGAGGTGTACAGCTGAGGTGGGAGGTCACAGCTGAGGTGGGAGGTGTACAGCTGAGGTGGGAGGTGTACAGCTGAGGTGGGAGGTCACAGCTGAGGTGGGAGGTGTACTTGAACTAACAACTCACCTGCTACCATCATTACTACAGACAGACGTGTCCCTTGAGAACAACGCCATGCAAATAGTTGCATCGTTGTATAGATACTGAGATAAATGCTGTAATGTAATCCCTGTAATGCTACTGTATGATGTCCTTTTGTTGTTCTGTTTATGTTTTTAATGTTTCATGTGGAACCTACTTGAGCAGGTCTCCCTTGAAAAAGAGATCAATGATCTCAATGGGATACAACCTGGATAAATAAAGGTGTGAAATGAAATGAAATGAAATAAAAGGACTGAATAAGGAGAAAGAAAGAAGTTGCAAAGTGAGAAACGTACTATCTGTCAACATTACACATCCTTGTTGATAGATGATCCAGTAGTATTAAACAAACCACCTGATAAAAATGTGCTCTGTGGGGTTACTTAACAGTAGAGCTTAAAGGTCACCTATCATGCAAAATGCACCTTTTGATGTCTTTTATACATAAATATGTGCAGCTGGTGTGTCAGGAGACTCACAAAGTGTCTGAAAATACAACCCCCTCTCTTTTCCTCCTTACCCACATCTCTAAAAACGGGGGTACAACGGAGCTGATCCAGATTTTCTGCGTCATGACGACATTACTAAAATGCCCTATCAGAAACGTTGCTATCAGAAACAATGTGCGGCCTGTTTTGGAAGTAATATGGTCTTTGTTGACATTAGCATAGCTAACACTCAGAGCTAACCTGTACTGGAGAGAGCATGTGTAAAGAAGCAGGATGTTAAAGGAACTCACCTTGTGGTAAACCTGAGAGAGAAAAAGCATTTGAGCTCCATGCTGTTTCAGAAATAATCTTTAATGTGGTTTGGAACATAATATGGCGTTAAATCACGGCAGTATTTAGCTAAGAATCTGGGTAGAACTCTCATGAGCTCTCCTCTCTTTATTTTTTTTATTTTTTTTAAAGCTACAGACACAGAATCAGCCGTTCTCCAACAGGGCTGAAATAGAGGGGTTTGAGGCTAGAATGGGTGATCTGTTTGGTATCTTGAGTAAAACACTTCATAGACATGTTATTATATCTGAGACCTATAATATATGCCTAACAATAGTATAACAGTAGACCTTTAAAGCTAAATGCTAACATCAGCATGCTAACATGCTCACAATGACAATGCTACCATCCTGGTGGTTAGCAGGTTTATTGTTTACCACGTGTAACAGTTAGATTTAACGTGTTAGCTGGCTGGCTAGCATTTGGTAATTAGCAGTTACCACAAATTAATAGCTAAAGAAAAGTATAGGCCTGTTGAATGTTGAATTTCACACGCTAACATAGGGCAAAACAGGGACATCTCAGCTAACCAAATGTTAAAATAACATTGTTCCGGCGGTGGAAAGTAGTTAAATACATTTATTGAAGTATTGTACTCAAGCACTATGTTGAAATGATTTTCTTTATTTTGAGAGCATCCATTTTATGCTACCTAAACCTTTACTCCACTACTGTACATTTATTTATCAGTTTTAGCTTCTATTTACATATAAACACTTGATATGACATGATACAGTACTGTGCTATTTGGACGACAAGAGTACTTGAGTGCTTAACATTGAAATAGTGGGGATAAAAACCCAATTATATTTTACAAAATTATACAAATGTTTAATTATTTGGTTATTCTAATAGGGACTTGAAGGCCTAAACCACAGTTGCTTAGACTAACAAGTCTGTTTGACGTTGTAACACCTACTGGTCACCAGCAGAGGTCAATAATATTCACATTTTACTACACGCCTCATTGGGACCTGGAGTTAACTGAGGCGCTGTTTACACGAGGAGAAAACTGCTTGTATCTGCATAGTTTCGCGTGCGTATAGCCCTATTATTTACACGAGGCCGATAGAAACTGACCCCACAAACGATAACGGGTCCCAAGGTGGATAGATTTGCAAACGAAACGCTCTGGGGGGTGTAGGAGTAGAATACCTCTGCTACGCGCCGTTCGTTGGATGAGGCTGGATCTCTATTAAATTAAGAAAGGAATTGAAAACACCGGAATCAAAGTTATAACAAATTATCTGAGTTTACTTCTAGTAGGAAACCAAACACATATACAAGTTATACAGAGTACTCCGGGTACCCCGGGCTTTTAGATTTGTGATGCGATTCGGATAAATGCATCGGGATCAAACCAACTCATCAAACCAAAAAGAAATTGGACTTCAGGTCTGTGATGCGATTCGGACACAGATATCGGGATCAAACCAACTCACCAAACCCAAAAGCAATTTTACACACACAAACGTCAGTATTTCTATCTGTCTTTGGGGCGGAGATTTGTCGATTCTTCCTTCCCACTTTTCTCCCAAGCGAATCAGAGAACCCCTGGGGAGGAGCTGTTTAAACTGACCACCTCCCCCAAGTGCCCTGACTGGCTGGATTCGCTTCTGGCCGGGTTCAATAGTTCTCTCCAGGACTTGAAATTCCAAAGTCCCCTAAGGTCAAAAGTCAATTCTTATCTCCGTCCCGATCTCCCCTCCCTACCTTTTCCAGGGGATCTTTTCCTATTTTACGATGTCTTTAACGACTTAGAAACAGCATCTGGCTCTTAGTGGTGATAAGGATCAATGTTGGTGTGTGAAACACAGAATCTCTAAGTCAGTGAATTTAAAAGTGAGAATAACATTCTTTTTCTAAGTGATTATCAAAACCCGTTCAAACAATATATGTTTACTTCAATACAGTGTAGAATCATATCTTCTTACTTCAGGGGTCAACCGAGTCCGTGTAATCACCTCTATACGAATATTTCCTGAAAAAATAGCGGAAAAAAAAAAAAATAGCACCTCTCCTGCTCATTGCTGTAGCAACTATCAAAAATAGCTGTGTTAATTAAACGCACAAGGGGTTCTTGAATGAAATAATATTATAAAAGGAAAACCAGAATAGTTAACGCCCAATATACTCCTTAAACAAAATAAACAGAGTCAGATTTCATGCATTGATCCATTATATTGACAAAGGAGGATCTCACCCGGTGTTTGTAGAGAATATCTCTCTTTTCTGAGCGGGTCCTCTCCACGGAGACGTCGGTCGATGCAATATCCACAGATTCGGTTTCTTTCAGTTAACTTCCCCGTAGCATTTATCCATATGCTGAGGAAATTACTATATCCCGCTGAATACCAGCAATCACCACACACACTTCCTCCTGTCAGTAGCTACTGCTAGTGCTACTGCTACTGACCATGCTACAGATATTAGTGCAAAAATATACAGCTCCTCTACCACAACCATCAGCAACAAGTGGACATGGAGAATTACATGAACTACATGTTGCTAAATACACGGCGGGGCATGAACAGAAGGGTAGCCATGGCAACATTGCGGCGGGGGCTGCTGGGGCTGCTCTTCTTCGCTGCTTTTGGTGTATTTTGGCGGAAGTTACAGCGCCACTTACAGTCCCGGCATATGTACTACAGCGTTTCCAGCGGCCTCGTTTGAACAGACACGTTAAATGAAACAAATGCATGTGAACGGAAGACTTTTTTGAATACGCATACTGTGCATAAACGCAAACGGTCCCGTGTGAGCGGGGCCTGAGACTAATGATGGTTGGTAGAGTCTGACACTCTGGGGGTTACCAGTGAAAAAGTTTGATGGTTTATAAATAAATACACTTTAAAAAGGTTTTTCCTTTAACTTCTTTATTTCACACCCTTTTTTTGTAAACAAAACACATAGGCAATACAATGGACTAATGATAACACAACAGCTAAGTGCCTTTGATAGAAAAGACACTGCACACTCGAAAGGGCAAAACAGATGGATTAGACATACTCTATACAACTCAATATGAAAACATACATGTATAATATGGACAATGTGACAAAGGTTTGGTCAAAAGGACTGCAAATGTATTTACAAATACTCATTCAGAATTAAAAGACAATTCACAACTTAAAAAATACTTTAACAATTTAAAAAAGAGAAAGCAACCAAGAGCATATCCCTTTACAAGATCTATGACTAAACATATTTCATAAGGACAAATAATAATAATATTTCCAAAAACACATCAAATAAGGCTTATGCTACGCTGAAGGACAAGATGCTGAGGTTAAGACTCTGTTGAAAGAGGAAGAAAACATGTTACAGTTATTTATAAAGAATACTTAGAAGTAGAGCTAAGAGAAATGAGGAACTGATTAAAACTCAACCTTCATTTAACAACTAGAGGTCAAATGTGAGCATCATTTTAGAACCAGACACAATAACATATACAAAAATCAAGAAAAATTATATTTGAACAAGTTGCAATCTACTCATGCCTGTAAATCTCCTGCTGTCTGTGACTGCTGACTCCTACCTGCCGCTAACAATGAAACTCTCATATTTGAAGGTAAATGTTTCCTCTTCAATGTTTCACTTCCTTCTGTTTCCATCCAGGTCAGTCTCCCTCTGGTTTAAAGCAGCAGAAGAAAAGCATGAGCAAACGTTAGTGAGTTATTTCTCAGTAATGGACCTGAGTAGTTGTTTTGAGTTTGTTTTACGACACATGTAGCTTCTTATTGGCCTTTTTACTGCCATTCAATTTGTGTTAAAGTCCTTGCTGAAATTACAGGAGGCGTATTTGGTCAAACTTGGTAATGTGACTAAACTGCTATTTTTAAATCCAGACTGAAGACTCACTGTGACTTTTATTTATGTTTTGTATACCTGTCTTCTTCTATATAAGCATGTTTATTTTATTCTCTTTGCTTTTTAATGACTATTTTTAATGTGTTGCTGATTCACTATTTCTGAATGCTCTTAATGTTTTTAATTTTTGTAAAGCACTCCGAATAGCCTTGTGTTGAAAGGTGCTATATAAATAAACTGTCTTTGTTGAATACTCTATGCTGATTGGACAATTTTAAACATTCTGAGGTCTGCTCTTTTTTTGCTTTGGTCGCTCTGATCAAGGGACTAAGTGCCGTCAAATCAATCCGCCGATGGAAGTCCGGTCAATTTAACGTCAGCAATGGACAAAAAGTACATGTTTTCCTCCGTCAGAAAACGTTATTAAGCATTAAGGCGTTTTGAAAGACCTATAACGTCTAAAATTTGAACATATATGTCTACACAAATAGATAGGAATTAACTAAAAGATGACTCAACAGCACATGCTGCTGACTGATAGCTGGCTGACCTTCAGACCAGGTCCTCCTGCTCCTCTGGTTCTTCATCCTGTTCTGCAGAGACCATGTTCAGGTCTGAGAGGTTAGTATAATCAGGACCAGACTCCAACTGAAGAGTAGAGACAAGAAAAGATGAACGTTCAAGTCCTTTGATACAATTACACCTTTGAATAAAGGAAAGACTGTTTTATATATTTCTCTTTTGATTCGAATGACAGGAAGATTAATACATATTGGTAATTGTATATCAAGAAGCAAGGCATATTTACATTCTCCTTGTGAACACAATTATTAACAATTCTGTAATATCACTTTGCTGGAGTTGGATCTGTCACTGTCTCACCTCCACAGTCTCTATGGGTTCATTCGCTTCAGAGGTGGAGTTCACAGTCTTCTTCTTCCTGAATTGTGTTCAACCATAGTCAGATCAATAAGTAAAAGTGTTACTCTAAGTACCCCAAATGATAAATGTCAATGCAGAAGTTGAATAGTCTCACCTCATCCAGAGACAGACAAGGAGCAGAGGAATCAGCACCAGAACCACCACAGAGAACCTGGTGATGTTCACGATCATTGGGGATGTATCTAGAAAAGGAGGTAAACAGTTGTCAGATACTTTAACTGTGAGTGGGATCCAGGAACCCCTCAACAAACACACGCCTGTTTGCTATCCTGGCTCCACACTGGTAGAAGGAGTTCCCCATTGCTATCAGAACAGCAGAAAGTCTACACATCGTGCGTCATAGACTGAAAACCAAATCTGTGTCCACTGAACCTAGGACATTACATTCTTTAAACTTCCCATTTCGGTCACCTTTTTTAGTTTTCACTTCCTGGTTTTGTGGTTTCCCGCCTGTGTGTTTGTTCGCCCCATCCTGATTTTTGAACCCGAGACCCTTGTGTGTTTGCCTCCTCTCTCGACTATCTATTGTCTATGTGATTTCTGTTAGTATTTAAGTCCTGGTCTCCTGTTAGTCTTTGTCAGATCCTTGCATGTTGTTATATCCTCAGGGTTGATTGCACTTATAATCACTTTGGACAAAGTGTGAGCTAAACGTAATGAAATATAAAGAAAATATTTCTAACAGTTTCCCTCGATTCAATCTCTAGTTAAACTCACTGTATGTTGAAGTGATTTGCACATTTGTGTTGATATGTATGGATGTGGAGTTTATCTTGCCCTATTTAATCTCTACTAATTTAAATAACAAATTGGTTATGGCTTTGTGAAGCTGTATTTTAGACTTTGAAGATGTCCGGACAAATGGATGTTTTAAGGTTTGAATCTGGGTCCAAAACCTGCATTAAAACTGCAAAAAATCTCCTAAATCTGCAGCAGATGGTGAATGTGAAGGAGGGAGTGTTGTAGAAATTAAGATCAGTAAACGTTGCCCATCCAGGTACTGGGCACATGTTAGCTTTAAATAAACAATTTCACTCACATTTTACATTAATAAAGACTTTTTCAGATGTGCTGCTCCCCAGCTCGTTCTCAGCTGAACAGTAATACTGTCCAGAGTCAGAGGACTGGATGGATCTGAAGACAAGCTGGGGTCCTTCACTGAGAAGAGGAACGTCTGCATTGCTATTCTTCTTGTACCAGGTGTATGTAGCTGCTGGGTTAGCATCACTGCTACAGGTCAGAGTCACTGAACGGCCCGCCTTTATCTCACCAGAGGGTCTTGACAAAGAAGGGAGCCTCGGAGCATCTGGAGGAGAAGTGTGAACAGAAAATATTAAGAATGTGTTTCTCACTAGATTAGCACAAAGGGTATCTACATTATTGAACGCTGAATGTAGCTGCATTTTGGACTTCGAACATGGTTTGACAAAATGCATGTTGGACGGATTAAACCTTTATCCAAAAGGTGCACAACATTTAAACTTTACACTACAATAAGGTACACTTCATTTGTAGTCGATACAGGGCAACGAATGAAGACTGTGATGTTAACCACTACGAACTAAAATGTATTACTGAAGATTATTATAATGTTGTACATCTCTCTGTATGAGAACCTTGTTTTATTTATTTTTAATTATCTTATTGTTTGTTCACCTCCTTAACCTGTTGTTGGGTTGAGGAGCTTGGGGGAAACGCTACAAAACTCAGTATTAAAGGTTTTTCTTACATTGTTCATATTATAATAATTTTCCTTAATGGGTTAAATATATTGTGAATATAGTTTTAGTGTTGTTTCCATCTGATGCCATAGTGAACTGAGGTATAGAGTTATGAGTCAGTGATGTTAGTGCACTGAGGCAGGACAACATGCACCACGTGTTGAAACTGTAAACTTTAACACATTATTTCTTAGACAAAATAAATGAATAAATATTAGAGGGTGTGGTACATAAAAAGAGTCTTCTTTGCTATGTTGAGTATTTCTCTGTGGAAAGGCTGCTGCAGGGTGTGAATGGAAACTTGAAAGAAAAGCAGAACATTGACGCGTGTAAAACTAAGATAACAAATTACTGAAAGAGAGTTTATTTTTAAGCATTGGACTTCTAATTGCTTTCAAAAGTCGTCAAAAACATTGATTGCTTCCTGTATGCTGCACCTGCTATATCTCTCCTCATTGACAGAAGGAAAGCATCATCTCTGCAGAAATGTCTAGATATTTATCAAAGCTACAACAGCAACTGAACAACATGTATTTAAAGTTATGTTGAGGACTGCAGGACGATAGAGGAAGTTCAACACAGCGATGAATTGGCAATTATTTAAAGCATGAGTAGTTTGTTAATGTAGGTACTGTATGTACAGTCATTATTTCCATCCATACAGACATAGTGTTACCATGCTAAATGGTGCTGTATTTCTAAAGTGTTTAAACTATCTTACAATATAAAAGAGGAGGAACACAACAAATCCACTCGCTGCTGCAGTTCAACTCATAGCTGCTGCTTTTATTATTTCACCTCCTTAAATTATCTTGTGGGCTCTCATCATGATTACATTACGTTGCAGGTGCTGGCTGTTTTTACAGAGCTTGCAAAAATCAACATATTCTCATCTTGCACCTGCAACCTTGAATGACATGAAGAACAATTTAAAGCTAACCTCATTAGTGATATCTTTCTTTGTGGGGTATCTTGGTGCCTAAAGGATTTTCTGTTATTGTTGATATTTAGTTTTGTTTCTATTTCATACTTACTGACCGCCAGAGGCAGTGCTTTAGCACTGGATATCTTCTGTCTCGCGCATGCGTAGGTCGAATATTTATATCAACAAAGTCACGTGTGACCCCGTATGACCCCGGAAGGTATAAGTTCCGGTGCTGTCAACGGGCTCAGTCCTTTTTCATCTTCTCGCTGCGCAGGTTACTACTTATGAGTAGAAGCCAAGCTTACTGAAAATTGGGATTATAGCTCATCGCTACCTGTAGCCTTGCGATCGTTTGATCGGAGCTGCGGGCTAGGAAAAACGCTCGCCCTCCAAAGGCTGCGACGAGCTGTCCGCCCTCCCAAGGGAGGGGACCGCGGTGTTCACCGCTCAGACCCTAGGAGCTCCGGACCGGTAAAGAGCGGACGCTCCTGCACACAGCCGGTGAGATCGCTACCATTCATTGCTGTTTGTGCTATATCCTATATACTCTCAAACTAATGAGATAATTGTGTACAAATTAGCCGAGGGTTCTCGCTAAATTTGTTACTGCGCTAGTGAAGAGAGCGTCTCCGCCCTCCTCTCACTATATACATTTGGTTCTTACCTGTACTATCATCCAGTTAGCTGAGTGCTCCCGCTGAAAGCTAATTTCTACAGTGCTAGTGAAGAGAGTGTTTCCGCTCCCTTCTCCCTGCACACAGTTGGTTTCTGTTTTATCCTCCAGTTAGCTGAGTGCTCTCGCTCAAGCTAACTTGCTACAGTACTAGTGAAGAGAGTGTTTCCGCTCCCCTCTCACTACACACAGTTGGTTTAAATACCCGTTCCATCTCCAGTTAGCAGAGTGCTCACGCTGAAAGCTAATTTTCTACAGTACTAGTGAAGAGAGTGTTTCCGCTCCCCTCTCACTACACACTAGGGCTGTGCAATTAATCGTATTTTAATCGCAATTACGATTTTGGCCTGCCACAATTACGAAAACAACATAATCGAAAAAGACAATTATTTAGCTTTGCTAGGTTGTGACAGTGCACTGCAACATATTTGATCTAATTAATTTTAGTCTAATTTATTTGTATTTATCATATTTACATATGTTTAGTAGCTTGTTGAAGTGCGCTCCAAAATATTTGTTGATCTTGTTTATTGGTATTTATTATTTTGATATTATTTATATAAATGTATCATTTATTTTATTTATTTTTGTATTGGTTTTTCAGTTGAATTATACGTTCAGGGTAATCAACAGTTAGATACAGAAAAGATACTGTTCAAATTATTATTTGTATTTGTTTTAAAGTTCAATAAATGGATTTTTTCAAAGTCAATGAATAATCGTATTTAATAATCGTGATATCAATTATTGACCCAAATAATCATGATTATGATTTTTGCCATAATCGCACAGCCCTACTACACACAGTTGGTTTAAATACCTGTTCCATCTCCAGTTAGCAGAGTGCTCACGCTCACGCTACTATTATTGTGCTCACTCCCCTCCACTGCGGAGTTTGTTTTCTGGCCAGTTAAATACAGTTAGCTGAGTGCTCTAAAGCCCCCTTGGCGCTATGTTTAACGGCTGTAATACCTGTATGGCTTCTCTGCAACCAGAGGATGGCCATGACCTTTGCCCCTCTTGTCTTGGCCTCGAGCATCTGAGGGAGGGCCTGTCGGATGACCCGTGCATGAATTGCATCATCATGCCTCGGGCGGTAAGAACTGCTAGACTAGCCGAGGTTGAACTACTGACTGAGGGTGGCCTTCCCCCTGCACAGTCGACTACAGCCCAACCTACCCGTCCGGGCAGCAGAGGCTGCGGGTGCCCCGCCCAAGAAGAGGACTAAGCCTGATAGGCTGTCCTCTAGGGTAGACCTACTAGCTACTGAGCTAGCCCAGATGAAGTCACTCCTCTTGGATCTCCATTCTGGTGCCCGTACAGAGCACGCCACTGCACCCAGTCCACCCATGGCGGAGCTGATTCCAGATGACGATGTGTTCTCAATGGCAGCTTCAGCCACTCAATTTAATGAGTATGATGGGGAGGGCCCGTCCCAGGCTTCTGGGCCTGGCTTCTGTACCTCAGCTCAGGCATCCTCAGGGACAGGTGACGGCTCCATGGGTGCCGTCATTCGCATGGCACTGGCTCGCCAGCAGCTGGATGTACAGCAGCCCGAGACAGTGCCTGCCAGTGCGTTCTTCAGGCGCACCGTGGCACCAGCCACCTTTGCAGTTCCTCCCTCTGATGAGTATCTGAAGGAGTTACATGCATGCTGGAGGGACCCTAGGACTCTTTCCCGTCTTACGTCTGATGGCCGAGCCCTGGCAGCCATGCAAGATGCGGCAAGAGTTGGCCTTGACCACATGCCGGCTGTTGAGCCTACTATTGCTTCCCTCATAGTTTCCCCTGATGAAGCTCTGAGGTCGGAGGCCAGGTGCCCTCGACCCCAATGTCGGGTCACTGATGAACTGCTCACTAAGGCTTACGATGCAGCGGCGCGCATGGGCCGTATAGGCAATTCCCTCTCTCACCTCATGCTCGCCCTCTCAGCCTCCCTGCAGCAGGAGGCTCTTGGCGCTTCCTCTACCAGCCTCAGTGACGCCTCATTACAGGCGTTTGCTCTGATGTCCAGAGAGCTTGGGCGCCTGATGTCCACTCTCGTCCAGACTCGTCGCCAGGTTTGGCTGGCACAGTCACCCTTATCAGAGGCATGTAGGAGAACTCTCCGTGCGGTCCCAGTGGAACCGGGGGAGCTGTTTGGTTCAGCGGCCGTACAGCTGCTCGAACGGACTGTTCAAGCTAGTCAGACCAGGCAACAGTTCTCAGCTCTTCGCAGAGACATGCCCCCCCCCGGTAGGCCTAGAGGCTCCGCATCTGCCTCCCGAGGCAGATCCCATCCACCGACTTACCCCGGTGCCCACCTTGGGCCTCAGTATCCCACGGGGGGGGCCGGCCCGCTACGGTCCTGTTAACTCGCCCCCAAGGCAGCCGCGGTATCCGGTGCCTAACCGTCGCCCCCCCCAGGGCCTCCAGAGGCCGGGGGGCAAGGTACTGAGGGTCTGGGGCCGGCTGTCGGTTATTTCTCCCAGCAGCAGCTCAACTACTGGGTAGCTCAAGCTTCAGACCCCTGGGTGGTTTCCACTTTAACCCAAGGGTACAAGCTTCAGTTCCGATGCCGCCCCCCAGTCTTCAGCCGGGTCAAAATGACCACCATAAACGACCCGACAAAAGAAGTCGCCCTAAACCAGGAGCTGTCAGTCCTCCTGGCCAAGGGTGCAATCGAGCCTGTGGACCCCATCTTAGAACCTGGGGGCTTCTACTCGACCTACTTCCTGATAAGGAAGAAAGGCGGGGGACTTCGCCCAATCCTCGATCTGAGGGAACTCAACAAATTCCTGAAGATCTTACCTTTCCATATGCTGAGCACAGCGGACGTTCTTCGTACCGTTGCCAGGGGGGAATGGTTCACGTCCATCGACTTGAAGGACGCTTATTTTCATGTGCCTATTGTGCCTCATCACAGGCAGTTTCTTCGATTTGCCTTCAGAGGCCGTCATTTCCAGTTCAGGGTGCTTCCATTCGGACTCTCCCTCTCCCCAAGGGTGTTCACCAGGTGTGTCGCGGCAGCTCTCTCGCCCCTGCAGTCTCAGGGTATGAAGATTCTGCCATACTTAGACGACTGGCTAATCTGTGCACCATCCCGGTTGCAGTCGACCCAGGACACGGCTCTCCTTCTCTCTCATGTCGCCCGGCTAGGCCTCAAGGTGAACATGGCGAAGAGTTGTCTGAACCCCTCTCAGAGCCTAACCTTCATTGGGGTGGCTCTGGACTCAGTCACTATGCGGGCCTGTCCATCTGCTCAGCGCCTGGACGACATCCTCCAGCTTCTTCCCCTCTTCAAAGGGGGCAGGTCTCTGGCATATATCCTGTTTCTCCGCCTCTTGGGCAAGCTGGCAGCTGCCTCAACTGTCGTTCCCTTGGGCTTGTTGTCACTGCGCCCCCTTCAGAGATGGCTGAACGGCCTCCACTTAGACCCCAAGTGGCACAGGCACAGAAAAATCAGGGTGTCACAACAGTGCCTCTCCACTCTATCCCCATGGAGGAGGAGGTCGTATATGTCAAGGGGCGTGGCCATGGGCTCCGTCCCTTTCCGCAGAGAGACCGTTACGACGGATGCCAGCCTCTCGGGATGGGGTGCGGTGTGGCAAAACAGGACAGCTGTGGTCTGCTCTGGACTGCACAGAGCATATCAATGTGCTAGAGCTACGAGCTGTGCACCTAGCACTCAGGCACTTCCTGCCATACCTGAGGGGGAGGCATGTGCTTGTCCGCTCGGACAACACTACAACGGTTTATCATATAAACCATCAAGGGGGCACCAAATCTGCACGCTTGCTAGAGGTGTCCCAGACTCTCCTGACCTGGGCAGCCCCTTGCCTGGCCAGCCTACGGTCAATGTATCTGCCCGGAGAGAGGAACCAAGTCGCAGACTTCCTCTCCCGTCACAAGCCTCCACCAGGGGAGTGGCGGCTTCATCCAGAGGTGGTGGCCAACATCTGGGGTCTCTTCGGCAGGGCAGAGGTAGATCTCTTTGCCTCGAGGATTTCGACCCACTGCCTCCTATGGTTCTCCTTGATGGAGAAGACCAGCCCTTTGGGTCAGGACGCCCTGGCTCATTCATGGCCAGGGTGCCTTCTCTATGCCTATCCACCCCTTCCCCTGATCCTACCAACATTCCTCAGAGTGCTTCATCAGGGCCACAGGCTTCTTCTGGTGGCCCCCTTCTGGCCAGCCAGGACTTGGTTCTCCCTGCTGCACAGACTCTGTTGCGGGACACCTTGGCGTCTCCCCAACAGGGGGGACCTCTTGTCTCAGCTGGAGGGTCGGATATGGCACCCCGACCCCGGCCGCCTCCAGCTGTGGGTCTGGCCACTGGAGGGCCCGACCCACTGCTGAGCGACTGCGTAGAGCCTGTCAGGAGGACTATCCTCAATGCTAGGGCACCATCTACTCGTAAGCAGTACGAGAACAGGTGGAAACTGTTCTCTAACTGGTGCCAAGGGCGGAATGAGGACCCAGTACATTGCTCGGTGCCTACTATCCTTGAGTTCCTGCAGTCCCTCCTGGACGACGGCCGGTGTCCCGCTACCGTCAGAGTGTATGTGGCTGCTATATCAGCTCAACACTCAAGGGTTGACAACAGCACAGTGGGGAGCCATAGGCTGGTATCCCTCTTTGTAAGGGGAGCACTGAGGCTTCGCCCCCCGAACATCCCAAGGGCTCCTACATGGGATCTGCCCTTGGTGCTGGATGCCCTATGCTCGCCTCCCTTTGAACCCTTGTTACAGGCAGAACTGAGGTGGCTCTCAGTCAAGACTGCTTTCCTTCTTGCCATCACCTCAGCAAAACGTGTAAGCGAGCTTCAGGCCTTGTCTGTGAACAGCTCGTGTCTGAGGTGGAACTCAGATGGCTCAGGTGTCACCTTATGGCCGAACACAGCGTTCCTCCCTAAGGTGCTGGCACGCTCTCATTTTAATCGGCCTATCCAGCTGGCACGGTTTGACCCCCCATCAGGAGAGGGGGAAGAGAGGTCGAGACTCCTATGCCCGGTGCGGGCCCTTAGAGCTTATGTCCAGACTACTGCTGACATGCGTCAGTCTGAGCAGCTCTTTTTGTGTTACGGTGGTCCTAGAAGGGGCTGTGCGCTCTCAAAACAGCGCTTGTCCCACTGGATCGTGGACGTCATTGCCCAGGCATACAAGGCGAATGACCGTCCCTTGCCACCTAGAGTAAAGTGCCACTCTACCAGGAGTGTCTCCACATCATGGGCGACCTGGAGAGGTGTGCCCCTGGAGGACATATGTGCTGCGGCCACATGGGCATCTCCGAGCACATTCGCCAGATATTACAGGGTGAATGTTGCCGCCCCTCACCCGCTGGGTGTGGTCCTCCTGCAGAGTCCGTCTAGGCCATCCTTATAGGTGAGTATTCAGACTTCCTCGTGACTCTGTTGATATAGGTCATCCAGTGCTAAAGCACCGCCTCTGGCGGTCAGTAAGTATGAAATAGAACGATAGTTACGTATGTAACTACGGTTCTATGAATACTGGATGACCGCCAGAGTTCTTGGTCACTCGGAATTTCGTGTTTCTGCGAGAAGATTCCATAGGACTGAGCCCGTTGACAGCACCGGAACTTATACCTTCCGGGGTCATACGGGGTCACACGTGACTTTATTGATATAAATATTCGACCTACGCATGCACGAGACAGAAGATATCCAGTGCTAAAGCACCGCCTCTGGCGGTCATCCAGTATTCATAGAACCGTAGTTACATACGTAACTATCGTTTTAACTCTTCTTTATTTAAAATGAAGTCTCCACTATAATCTATGTCTTCTGTATGTCTCTTTACCTAAAATGGCTTATTTACTGGCTGTAGTTAAGCTTTCATTTTCGATATATATAACTGCGGCATCTGCATTCAGATTCAGAAGAATCCTCTGAAATTGTCATTGTAATGTCAGTGTGTGTGTGTATGAGTAAACTCACACACTGCAGGCGAGGGGAAGACTTCATGTCCTTCCAGAGCACAAGAGATCCTGTCTGTGAGTTGAAACAAGCCTTTATAAGAAGATCTCGTTGTTTTGGGGATTTTCTTGTTGTTCTTGAACCAGAAGTAGGAAACACCAGCTGGACTGCAGCTGCTGTGACACTTCAGCTCTGCATAGGTATTAGACTGCTGGACTGTTGCTGCGATCACCTGCACCTGCAGAGCTGGATATGAGAAAAAGAAACATTTGAAATGACACAATATTACATCACTTGGTCCAGCAGTTTACTCAGGATTTCTTATATAAGGGGTGGGGGGCTGATAGATGAAGAGAACAATCTTTTTTAATAGTCACATTAAACTGTTATTCGTTTACATCTTAAAATATTGCAATATACACACCTTTTCCGATATCAAAACATTCCCTTAACTTCTCTAAGTGCCATTTTCAATTCCCATTTCCATGTAATCAAGCTAAAGGAAAGTGAAATGCAACTACAAGTGACTGAATACACCTTATCAAGCAGGACCATGGGGAAAGTGATAATCACAATTATATATCACAATTATTGTGACATAAACATTAAGTAACGGTGCACTGTTCTGACTTCCATGTTGTGCCAATGTTAACTTTTGTTTCGTAAACATATTCATTGTTGAATAGCTGCGAGGCTGATGACGTGAGAGCGAGGACTGTATTTGAAGGTATAAAGTGTAGGTGTATTTTCATCAGTGAGTGTTGATCAGTACCTGTGACAGTCAGAGTTGTTACAGGTAAATCACTCCTCCATTCAAAGCTTGGTGTTTTGAATGTAAAGAGATACTGAGCTGAATCTGAGTCTCTCAGGTCAGAGATCCTCAGAGTGGAGCGTCCTCTCTCTGTTTCAAGGATCTGAACACGACCTGCATACTGGGAGTCTTCACTAAGGTCCTCAGGTTGAGAGGGATTCTGTCCCTGATGACTACGCTCAGGACTGAACCAGAACTTTGATGTAATACATTCATTACTGGTGTACGTGCAGGAAATGTCCACTGATGATCCTTTGGGGGCGCAGATACTACCTTGAATGGAAGTCACCGTGTTGCTGTCTCGACCAGTGACACCTGAAACATTCAAACTCATTTTTAAACCATATTTTGACCAGAGTTGATGAGAAGTCACATACCTATTGAGTTAGCTATGGCTTCCACTAGAGGGTCTTATGTTAGAATAATGTAGTGAAGTGAACTCACACACTGAAGGGGAGGGAGAGTCCTCATATCCTTTCAAAGCACAGGAATAGCTGTCTGGAAAACTCAAGTCGACTTGATGAGAAGAAGATGTTGCTGTTTGAATCTTTTCACGGTTCTTGTACCAGACGTAATCATTATCAGGTAAATCACAACTGCTCTGACACTTCAGGTTAGCTCTGCTAGGATCTTTGCTTTCCACCTGCACCGAGAGATCTGTATTTGTGAAGAAGGAACATGATGGTTATTTTATTGTTTTCTTAAAGTTGAACATTTGGAAATGATTGGCATGAATGAAAATATTACCTGTGAGAGACAAAGTGACTCCAGGTGTACCATAATATCTTCCACCTTCTTGGTTTGTTGTGATCCTGAACCAGTACTCAGCTGAGTCGCTCTCTCTCAGGTTTTTGATTCTCAGAGTGCAGATGTTGTTTTCACAGAGATCCTCTACACGACCTGAATACTCTGATTCTGTGGTCAGATCTACAGGTTTAAGATCTTTCCATTTAGTAAACCAGAATGTTTTCTTAACTGTGTTAACTCTGCCTCTCCATCTGGATGGGTATGCGTAGCTGTATCTTATCTCCACTGTTGATCCTTTCACTGCACAGATCTCAGTAGAAGAGTAAGTCACTCTCCAGCCATCCTGACCCTGAACCACTGAAACACAGAGCACATCAGAAACAATCATCAGTCTCGTCAGTAGGCAGACTTTCTTAGCTTTATCAAACAGTCTCTGTTTCTCTCAGTGATCAGGCTGCTGCATGGCGTGAATGGAAACTTCAAAGAAAAGCAGAACATTGAGGCGTGTGATATTAAGATAGCAAAGTATTGTACTGCTAATTGCTTACAAAAGTCGACACAAATGTTGCATGTTGCACCTAGGTCTCCTCATTGTCAGGTGAAAGAAAGCATCTGACTTCTCTGCAGAAATTTGATATTTATAAAGCTACAATATCCACTAAACCACATGAGTATTTATTTAAAGTCATGTTTCTAAATGACTCTTAACATAAATCCAATGTTCAGTCTTGTTTTGTCAGATAAATACTACTATGTCCCCATCTTCATGCTGCAGTAACTTTGTGTATCCTTATGTTGGTAATGCCTGAAGTGTAGAGTTTTAAGAGGTCTTATCATTGAAGAAAGCTGCATATAGCACCTTGCGTTGATAGTGACTTACTGCACTAACTTGTTACTGTGATCGCCCCGGTTCCTTTTTTGCATGTCATACACAGATCTCTCTTCCTGTTTCCAGTTAGTCTTTACACTTTTCACCGTCCAATGGAGGCCAAAAATGAAGAAAATGCAAAAGCTACGATCATGTACATGCATGCAAACAGACGTTCATGCATTCACGTACACACACCTTCACAAACACTTGACCTGCAGGAACAAAACTGTGGCCGCCATAAAAGAGAGAAAGAGCGTTCAGTTGCAGGGCGCAGCTGAAAAACAGTAAAGTTGTTTTTTTGCCATAAAAGCAAAACAATAATCTAAAAGAAGCTTAAACTTTAGTGAGGTGATTATTATTGTCTTTTCATTTCTACAAGCAACCCCTCGTTCCTTTGACTCATTGTTCATTAAAAAAGTATTCATTAGTGACGCTTTTTATCCACGTTGCAACTCCTACCATAAGTTATCTCTTAAAACACTAAAGATATGACACAAGCTCATGTTATGTTATTGATTTATTACATTATCAAATACTTCTAAATGTATTCTAAGGCGGAAAAAGACTCGCTAAAGTTAAGTGTTGAGGACTCCAGGACGACAGAGGAAGTTCAACAGAGCGATGAATTCTAATTTGCAATTATTCAAAGCATGTTTTGTTTGCTAATGCAATTATGTACAGTCATCATTTCTATCCACATAGACAAACACTCTGTTTTTCACTCTGAGGTGCATTAACTGACTTACAATATAAATGTAGATGTACTGTACCTTGCACAGAGAGAAGGAAGACCACCAATCCACTCGCTGCTGCTTTTAACTTCATAGCTGCTCCTCACGTCTCTGTTAGATTTGCAGGTAGATCACACATGAGAAATACTCTATCAGTATATCACCAAAAACATCTCTACAGAAATAAGGAGGATATGGTATTTGAAGGCAGTGTGTTCCTTCTGCGGCTGGTTTCCTTCCTCTTTACATTATCACTATGCATGAGAACATGAATTACTGTAAATCCCCAAAATAAAAATTAAAGTGGACCTATCATGCTATATTTGAATAATATAGTGTAGGACCATACCTATATAAGGCATATTTATACTTTTTTTTTTTTCAAAATACCAAACAGATCATGCATTTTAGCCATGCCTCATTTCGCTCAATTTGAAAAATGTTAGCTCTGTTTTTGCAAGGGTTGATTCTGTGAGCAACAGCACCATCTAGAGGCCTGGCATATGTACTACAGCGTCTCCAGCGTTTTCGAACGGCTATGGCCGTGGCTGTCTCCTCCTGATTGGTGGAGTTGGCCCAATAGCCGTAGCGCCACTGTCCTGACGTCAGGACAGTGTTCAAATCTGGATCAGTTTTTATCAGATCCGTTGCAGCCCCTTTTTTAGAGATTTGGGTATGGAGGAAAATAGAGAGGGTTGTGTTTTCTGACACTTGGTGAGTTCCCTGGAACACCGGGGACACATATTCATGTATAAAAGACGTACAAAAGTGCATTTTGCATGAGAACAACGCCATAAAAATAGTTGCATCGTTGTATAGATACTGAGATAAAACGACTGAATAAGGTGAAAGAAAGAAGTTGCAAAGTGAGAAACGTACTATCTGTCAACATGACACATCCTTGTTGATAGATGATCCAGTAGTATTAAACAAACCACCTGATAAAAATGTGCTCTGTGGGGTTACTCAACAGTAGAGCTTAAAGGTCACCTATCATGCAAAATGCACGTTTTGATGTCTTTTATACATAAATATGTGCCGCGGCGCTGGTGTGTCAGGAGACTCACAAAGTGTCTGAAAATACAACACTCTCTCTTTTCCTCCTTACCCACATCTCTAAAAACGGGGGTACAACGGAGCTGATCCAGATTTGCTGCGTCATGACGACATTACTAAAAATGTGCCCACGGCCCTATCAGAAACGTTCCTATCAGAAACAATGCGCGGCCTGTTTTGGAAGTAATATGGTCTTTGTTGACATTAGCATAGCTAGCACTCAGAGCTAACCTGTACTGGAGAGAGTATGTGTAAAGAAGCAGGATGTTAAAGGAACTCACCTTGTGGTAAACCTGAGAGAGAAAAAGCATTTGAGCTCCATACTGTTTCAGAAATAATCTTTGATGTGGTTTGGATCATAATATGGCGTTAAATCACGGCAGCATTTAGCTGAGAATCTGAGTAGAACTCTCCTGCATGAGCTCTCCTCTCTTTATTTTTATTTTTTAAAACTACAGACACAGAATCAGCACTTTAGTAACAGGGCTGAAATAGAGGGGTTTGAGGCATGACTAGAATGGGTGATCTGTTTGGTATCTTGAGTAAAACACTTCATAGACATGTTATTATATATATGAGACCTATAATATATATGCCTAAAAATAGTATAATAGGAGACCTTTAAAGCTAAATTTTTACTCCACTACATTTATTATCAGTTTTAGCTACTATTTACATATAAACACTTGATATGACATGATACAGTACTGTGCTACTTGACGACAAGAGTACTTGAAAAATTGCTTAACATTGAAATAGTACACTGGGGATAAAAACCCAATTATAATATTCTAAAATACTTTGCTAATTCAATCCTGTTAAAGGACAATTCTGCAATATGAGTACTTTTAGTTTGATATTGGAATTACAATTGACTGATTCTTCTGTACTTCTACTCAAGTCACATTTTCAATTCCTAACTTTAACTTGTGATCAAGTTCATAGTATTTCTAGTTTTTCTTAAGTAGAGGATCTGAGTACTTCTCCCAACACTGCTTTGTTTCAAAGGTAAGACATCAGTAGAACAAATGTTTAATTATGTGGTTATTCTAATAGGGACTTGAAGGCCTAAACCAGAGTTTATTAGACTAACTAGTCTGTTTGTTGTTGTAACACCTACTGGTCACCAGCAGAGGTCAATAATATTCACATTTTACTACACGCCTCATTGGGACCTGGAGTTAACTGAGACTAATGATGGTTGGTAGAGTCTGACACTTTGGGGGTTACCAGTGAAAAGGTTTGATGGTTTATAAATAAATACACTTTAAAAAGGTTTTTCATTTAACTTCTTTATTTCACACCCTTTTTTTGTAAACAAAACACATAGGCAATACAATGGACTAATGATAACACAACAGCTAAGTGCTCTTTGAGAGAACAGACACTGCACACTCGAAAGGGCAAAACAGATGGATTAGACATACTCTATACAACTCAATATGAAAACATATATGTATAATATGGACAATGTGACAAAGGTTTGGTCAAAAGGACTGCAAAAGTATTTACAAATACTCATTCAGAATTTAAAGACAATTCACAACTTAAAAAATACTTTATCAATTTAAATGGGACCTATCATGCAAAATGCACTTGTGTACGTCTTTTATACATGAATATGTGTCCCCGGTGTTCCAGGGAACTCACCAAGTGTCAGAAAACACAACCCTCTCTATTTTCCTCCATACCCAAATCTCTAAACACGGGGCTGCAACGGATCTGATACAGACTGATCCAGATTTGAACACTTCTCTGACGTCAGGACGACGGAGCTGACCTATCAGGGGAATGAGAGGTTGCCGTGGCATGGTAACAGCATGGTAACACAACGCTCGTAACTCGGCCCCCTCCTTTGCAGGGGGGCGTGGTCAGCTGCAGCGCATGCAAAGACAGGGTGGAGGAAAGCAAAATAGAGCGAAATGAGGCATGGCTAAAATGCATGATCTGTTTGGTATTTTGAAAAATAAAACGTATAAATATACCTTATATAGGTATGGCCCTACAATATATTATTCAAGTATAGCATGATAGGTCCACTTTAAAAAAGAGAAAGCAACCAAGAGCATACCCCTTTACAAGATCTATGACTAAACATATTTCATAAGGACAAATAATAATAATATTTCCAAAAACACATAAAATAAGGCTTGTGCTACGCTGAAGGACAAGATGCTGAGGTTAAGACTCTGTTGAAAGAGGAAGTGTGTGTGTGTGTGTGTGTGTGTGTGTGTGTGTGTGTGTGTGTGTGTGTGTGTGTGTGTGTGTGTGTGTGTGTGTGTGTGTGTGTGTGTGTGTGTGTGTGTGTGTGTGTGTGTGTGTGTGTGTAGGTTTGTGCAGATGTATGCCTATATGTATATCAACATATATACCTAATATGTATAAGCCTTCTTTATTTCATTTTTTCCTCATTTATCCCAACTTTACTAATATTATAACCTTTTGACTACAACATGTATACAAAATGAAGGAATGCTATAAATATGATAGGCATTCTTGATGATGGATGTTAGCACATGCACATTACTTTAGTAAAATGTGTTTATATTTACAGTATAACAAGTTGCAATCTACTCATGCCTGTAAATCTCCTGCTGTCTGTGACTGCTGACTCCTACCTGCCACTAACAATGAAACTCTTATATTTGAAGGTAAATGTTTCCTCTTCAAAGTTTCACTTCCTTCTGTTTCCATCCAGGTCAGTCTCCCTCTGGTTTAAAGCAGCAGAAGAAAAGCATGAGCAAACGTTAGTGAGTTATTTCTCAGTAATGGACCTGAGTAGTTGTTTTGAGTTTGTTTTACGACACATGTAGCTTCTTATTGGCCTTTTTACTGCCATTCAATTTGTGTTAAAGTCCTTGCTGAAATTACAGGAGGCATGTTTGGTCAAACTTGGTAATGTGACTAAACTGCTATTTTTAAATCCAGACTGAAGACTCACACTGCACTGTGACTTTTATTTATGTTTTGTATACCTGTCTTCTTCTATATAAGCATGTTTATTTTATTCTCTTTGCTTTTTAATGACTATTTTTAATGTGTTGCTGATTCACTATTTCTGAATGCTCTTTATGTTTTTAATTTTTGTAAAGCACTCCGAATAGCCTTGTGTTGAAAGGTGCTATATAAATAAACTGTCTTTGTTGAATACTCTATGCTGATTGGACAATTTTAAACATTCTGAGGTCTGCTCTTTTTTTGCTTTGGTCGCTCTGATCAAGGGACTCAGTGCCGTCAAATCAATCCACCGATGGAAGTCCGGTCAATTCAATGTCAGCAATGGACAAAAAGTACATGTTTTCCCCCGTCAGAAAACGTTATTACGCATTAAGGAGTTTTGAAAGACCTATAACGTCTAAAATTTGAACATATATGTCTACACAAATAGATAGGAATTAACTAAAAGATGACTCAACAGCACATGCTGCTGACTGATAGCTGGCTGACCTTCAGACCAGGTCCTCCTGCTCCTCTGGTTCTTCATCCTGTTCTGCAGAGACCATGTTTAGGTCTGAGAGGTTAGTATAATCAGGACCAGACTCCAACTGAAGAGTAGAGACAAGAAAAGATGAACGTTCAAGTCCTTTGGATACAATTACACCTTTGAATAAAGGAAAGACTGTTTTATATATTTCTCTTTTGATACGAATGACAGGAGGATTAATACATATTGGTAATTGTATATCAAGAAGCAAGGCATATTTACATTCTCCTTGTGAACACAATTATTAACAATTCTGTAATATCACTTTGCTGGAGTTGGATCTGTCACTGTCTCACCTCCACAGTCTCTATGGGTTCATTCGCTTCAGAGGTGGAGCTCACAGTCTTCTTCTTCCTGAATTGTGTTCAAACATAGTCAGATAAATAAGTAAAAGTGTTACTCTAAGTACCCCAAATGATAAATGTCAATGCAGAAGTTTAAAAGTCTCACCTCATCCAGAGACAGACAAGGAGCAGAGGAATCAGCCCCAGAACCACCACAGAGAACCTGGTGATGTTCACGATCATTGGGGATGTATCTAGAAAAGGAGGTAAACAGTTGTCAGATACTTTAACTGTGAGTGGGATCCAGGAACCCCTCAACAAACACACGCCTGTTTGCTATCCTGGCTCCACACTGGTAGAAGGAGTTCCCCATTGCTATCAGAACAGCAGAAAGTCTACACATCGTGTGTCATAGACTGAAAACCAAATCTGTGTCCACTGAACCTAGGACATTACATTCTTTCAACTTCCCATTTCGGTCACCTTTTTTAGTTTTGTGTTTTATTTTAAAAGGTCTTCGCCACTTTGTGTTAAATCTCTTTTTACTTCCTGACTTTGTGTTTGTCCGCCCCATCCTGATTTTTGAACCCGAGACCCTTGTGTTTTTGCCTCCTCTCTTGACTATCTATATACAAATGGATGTTTTAAGGTTTGAATCTGGGTCCAAAAGCTGCATTAAAACTGCTAAAAATCTCCTAAAGCTGCAGTAGGTTGTGAATGTGAAGGAGGGAGTGTTGTAGAAATTCTGTCCAGAGATAGTAACAGTAAATTGCATCTTGGCTCTTCAAAGAACTGTAGTTGTTCGGAGACTTTTCCACATGTATGATATGAACTTGGAAGTTGCTGTGCCTCTTGGGATGTCCTGTGGTGCGAAATGACTTACCTGCCACAACAATCTGATGTAAGGTGGAGTTACGACGTCCTAACTTGTTCTGGGCTTCACAGGAATAACTCCCACTGTGTTCAGCTCTGAAGTCAGTGATGGTGAAGATCTGTCCTGAAGCTTTTGGAGAGTCTTCATTCTCCTTGTACCAGGTGTAGTTAGCTGCTGGGTTAGCATCACTGCTACAGGTCAGAGTCACTGAACTGCCCTCCTTTATCTCAGCAGAGGGACTCACTGACACAGAGGGGAGCTTTGGAGCATCTGGAGGAGATGTGTAGAAGTGTATTTTACTAATTCCCCACTTGATATCATCAAGGTGTGCGGAAGGGGCCCAACTTGGCAGTGGAAACTACCATCTACGGCAAAAAAGCCTACATACTGCAGGATATATCCACTTGAGGCCTTGTTTTTGACCTGAGCACTGCAATCTAGATTCTGTACCATGCAATATTTTAGGAGATTGATAAAATCGTTAGTTAATCAATCTATTAGCAGCAAACACATGTTCTTGATCCTACGATGTGTACTTTGTTCCTGCAAAGATTGTGCCACTTAGCTCGAGTCGTATCCTTAGTTTAAAGCCACAGTTTATTTGATTGAAACGTTGGTTTACTCTCTCAGCAGACATAAGTGGACCAAACAAATGAAACGAGAAAAATGAAAAATGTTTTTACATAAAGAAAGCCAAGTAGGCAAATCACGGAGTAACGTATGGAGAGCTCATGTCACGAATGGCGCAAATCCTTCAGCTGCAGCCAATAAAGTGTAATTCCTTTATCAAACACAGAGGCATTTTGTACTAAATCAAATGAAACCTTTGAAGTAACAGTAACATATTAGCATTACATGAAATCCAACTCTTTTTAGAGGTATTGCTTCCAAGCTGGCATGGACTAGAGGAATGACTCAAGGGATCACAAACCTTCTTGTAACGTACACATGGCATGTGAATATGTTAGACATCAAAAGGTGATAGACGTCCTTCATGAATTTATTTTAGGAAATGTTTCTACCAGGGAAAGATCATCACAGGTTAACAATCACTATCTCTACTCAACACATGTATATTGACTGAGTTGTTGATGTTTTGTACTTACATTGGACATCTATGTGTACTGATGTAGAGTTGATCTGGCCGTACTTATTCTTAGACTGGCAGTGGTAGTTCCCTTTGTCATCTAAGGTGATAGAGGCAAGTTGATAAATGTCTTTTGACCCCCCAGGCAGTGTTTGGTTGTCCTTGTACCAGGTGTAGTTAGCTGCTGGATTAGCGCTACCTTTACAGGTCAGCTGCAATGATTTGCCAATCTCTATCTCAGCAGAGGGACTCGCTAACACAGAGGAAGTCTTTGGAGCATCTGGAGGACAAAAGAGAGAAACCAGTTTTTTTGGGCATATGGCTCCAACAAACCAGAAGCAGCAACACAATGATTAAGCTCACTTCACTTCCATCTACAATAGAAACCCTGCTCCATGAGAGAGGGTGTTATCACATCTGCAAAGATGGCAGATTAAAATATTTCCTGATAGACCTGATCATGAAATTTGGCCACAAATTTATATATTCAAAGTTAAGAATGTGTTGCTCACTAGATAGCAAAAAGGGTAAACAATAAGGTACACTTGAATTTAATCACTACTTGACAGACAGTTGTTGAGTATTTCCTAATCACATTTTTCAGTGTAGCTAATGATTACATTATAGAGAAACAACTGTTAAATATTATGTACATGAATTAATATGTACTGTAAATAATTGTTCATGGGTATTTCTGAATTCTTTAGTCATAATAAAGTAATGATTTGTCATTGGTTAAATGCCGTTTAGTGCATCACTTAATCAAGTCACAACTATTAATTGAGTCATGGAATTTAAGGATTTAGAGATAGCCTCGTAAAGTTAATAACAGTAAATATTAGTTAAATATAACAATATTGAACAGTCGTTCCTCAATGATGTCATCATTAGCAACTCTATAAAATGTGATTAGAAGTTACGGCCAGTTCACTTTTTGTTACCCACTTGTTCCCTGGATCCCATGTAATGTAAAGCAAGCTGAGCTGAAGAAAGTAGTGATGATAAGTAACATCTTCTCTTGAAACAACTAGACAGATATAAGCTTGTTAACTTTTAATAAACTGTCTTACTCACATTTCACATCAATAAGGATGTTTGCAGATGTGCTGCTCCCCAGCTTGTTCTCAGCTCTACAGAAATACTCTCCAGAGTCAGAGGCCTGGATGGAGCTGAAGACAAGCTGTGGTCCTTCACTGAGAAGAGGAACGTCTGCATTGCTATTCCTCTTGTACCAGGTGTAGTTAGCTGCTGGGTTAGCATCACTGCTACAGGTCAGAGTCACTGAACGGCCCTCCTTTATCTCACCAGAGGGTCTTGACGAAGAAGGAAGCCTCGGAGCATCTGAAAGAGAAATATAAAAAATGTGTTTCTCACTAGATTAGCACAAAGGGTATCTACATTATTGAATGCTGAATGAACTGTAGCTGCATTTAGGACTTCGAACATGGTTTGGCAAAATGCATGTTTGTTGGACGGATTTAACCTTTGTCCAAAAGGTGCACAACATTTAAACTTTACACCACAATAAGGTACACTTGATTTGTAGTCGATACAGGGCAACGAATGAAGACTGTGATGTTACAGTAATCACTACGAACTAAAATGTATTACTGAAGATTATTATAATGTTGTACATCTCTCTGTATGAGAACCTTGTTTTACTTATTTTTAATTACCTTATTGTTTGTTCACCTCCTTAACCTGTTGTTGGGTTGAGGAGCTTGGGGGAAACGCTACAAAACTCAGTATTAAAGGTTTTTCTTACATTGTTCATACTATAATAATTTACCTTAATGGGTTAAATATATTGTGAATATAGTTTTAGTGTTGTTTCCATTTGATGCCATAGTGAACTGAGGTATAGAGTTATGAGTCAGTGATGTTAGTGCACTGAGGCAGGACAACATGCACCACGTGTTGAAACTGTAAACTTTAACACATTATTTCTTAGACAAAATAAATGAATAAATATTAGAGGGTGTGGTACATAAAAAGAGTCTTCTTTGCTATGTTGAGTATTTCTCTGTGGAAAGGCTGCTGCAGGGTGTGAATGGAAACTTTAAAGAAAAGCAGAACATTGACGCGTGTAAAACTAAGATAACAAATTACTGAGAGAGTTTATTTTTAAGCATTGGACTAATTGCTTTCAAAAGTCGACAAAAACATTGATTACTTCCTGTATGTTGCACCTGCTATATCTCTCCTCATTGACAGAAGGAAAGCATCATCTCTGCAGAAATGTCTAGATATTTATCAAAGCTACAACAGCAACTGAACAACATGTATTTAAAGTTATGTTGAGGACTGCAGGACGATAGAGGAAGTTCAACACAGCGATGAATTGGCAATTATTTAAAGCATGAGTAGTTTGTTAATGTAGGTACTGTATGTACAGTCATTATTTCCATCCATACAGACATAGTGTTACCATGCTAAATGGTGCTGTATTTCTAAAGTGTTTAAACTATCTTACAATATAAATGTAGATACAGTACGTCTCACAGAGAGGAGGAAGACAACAAATCCACTGCAGTTCAACTCATAGCTGCTGCTTTTATTATTTCACCTCCTTAAATTATCTTGTGGGCTCTCATCATGATTACATTACGTTGCAGGAGCTGGCTGTTTTTACAGAGCTTGCAAAAATCAACATATTCTCATCTTGCACCTGCAACCTTGAATGACATGAAGAACAATTTAAAGCTAACCTCATTTATGATATCTTTCTTTGTGGGGTATCTTGGTGCCTAAAGGATTTACTGTTATTGTTGATATTTAGTTTTGTTTGTAACTCTTCTTTATTCAAAATGAGGTCTCCACCTAAATCTATGTCTTCTGTGTGTCTCTTTACCTAAGATGGCTTATTTACTGGCTGTAGTTAAGCTTTCTTTTTCGATATATATAACTGCGGCATCTGCATTCAGATTCAGAAGAATCCTCTGAAATTGTCATTGTAATGTCAGTGTGTGTGTTTATGAGTAAACTCACACACTGCAGGAGAGGGGAAGACTTCATGACCTTTCAGAGCACATGAGATCCTGTCTGCGTGGTGAAGCAAGCCTTTATAAGAAGAAATCGTTGTTTTGGGGATTTTCTTTCTGTTCTTGAACCAGATGTAGGAAACACCAGCTGGACTGCAGCTGCTGTGACACTCCAGCTCTGCATAGGTATCAGACTGCTGGACTGTTGCTGTGATCACCTGCACCTGCAGAGCTGGATATGAGAAAAAGAAACATTTGAAATGACACAATATTACATCACTTGGTCCAGCAGTTTACTCAGGATTTGTTATG